GTTCCAGAGCCGAGGGGCTGAGAGGCAGAAGGCCATTTCACAGTGGTTCTGTCAACAATAAATTGATTATTCACCTTATGTTTGTTTGTGGGATCTTGCTGTGTGCAACTGTCAGTAGTATTTGGCTACATTTGTCCTTTGAAAGAGATGTTAAATCGAGGTCCCACCTGACTGTTGAGGTGGACTTTCTAATAATAATAATCCTTGCATTTGATATAGCGCTTTTCACGTCAGGAGGACGTCCCAAAGCGCTTCACAGAACACACTGTAAAATGAATTGACTGTATATTTGTGGACGAACGCGGCAGCCAATTGCGCACAGCAATGTCCCACAAACAGTCGTAGATTAAAAATGACCAATTTATTTTTGGTTTTGGAGGGATTATTATTAGGCGTGTGGAGTAAGGAAACTTGCCCAAGGTTTCACCCTGCCTGGAATTGAACTCAGGTCTCTCGCTTGCAAAGCGAGTGCTCTAACCACTGAGCTACAGGACACCACTTTAAAGATCCCATGGCACTATTCATACCAGATAAGATTGTTCATTCGTTTCATGGTGGTTGGTGGGACATAGCTGTATGCAGTTTGGCTGCCGCATTCATCTGAAAACTACAGTCACTCCACTTTACAGTAAGTCCTGTGAAGCTTTGAAACTATTAGATATAAACATTATTTGGATCACAAACTGTAATCAGACAATGAAATGATGAGTTCTTTATTTTCATAAGAAAGCAAATTTACTGTTGCCCATATTGAACTTTCGATGTGTCCAGCAGTTTTATGATGTAGACGGTTTACATGGAGGAATGCAATCAGAAAAGTAATAGTTTGTATGTATTGGATTCCAATCTATTATTAACAAATGAAATCCGTAGATGTAGATTACGCTTATAAATGTACATAATGCCAACCTTGTGGTTGGGGTTTTACTTTCAATTCCTTCTAAATGCCAGATGAGTGTTTTGTAATATTTGGATGAATTTCCTGCATTTTTAAGCAGTATTGTTTTTGAACTGGTAAAGCAGACTAAAGTGTTGTGAGCTATTAGTTTTCAAATTAGCTATTCGCTCTGTATTTGTCAACCGTTTTCAGCCAGGTGTTTTTTTGTGAAATAAGATTTTTCTTTTTGAGCCACGTGCTGAGAAGATGGAGAGGGAACTCCTCTTAAACATCTGGGTGATTAGGAGCACAGGAACAACTAAATAAATGCAGGTTTCCATTTTTGCTCCACTTATTATGCCTTGCTACAAGAGCACAGTGTCTAGGAAACCTGTTCCAAAATGGGTACTAAAAGGTTCAAGAGGCAGAATTACTTTGACTGTGGTTTCCAGCCATGTTTCCTGTTTATATACCACAAAAGTCTTGATGGTTTGGATTTTGAAAGAATACCACATAGTTATAGTAATAATCTTTGCATTTGATTTAGCGTCTTGTCATGTCGTTGAAATGTCTCAAAGCACTTTACAGAATATACTATATTGACTGTGTATATTGTGGGCGAAACATTGCTGTGGCCCTGTTAACAGCTTGAAGGTGGTCCTGAGAAATGTGGTACTCAATGGATCTTTTACTTAATTTTTTTGTTCTATTGTGGTAATAATGATAATAATAATAATAATCCTTGCGTGGTACATTTCCATGGACATCAGAAACTGATCCCAAGTCACCATTGTTCTTTTGTGAGCCTTGATGATTAGTGGTGAGAGACTATTTATATGGGTGTCAATCCAAGTCCGATTCTGTCCTTGTCTGACTTCTGCAAAAGTACACCTTCCAGCAAAGGTCTATAATACAGAATAATAGAATAATAATCCTTGCATTTGATATAGCACTTCATCACGTCTTTGAGACGCTTCACAGAATACACTATAAAGTGAATTGACTATATATTTTGTGGGTGAAAAACAGCAGCCAATTGTGCACAGCAATGTCCCATAAACAGTTGCGGTTTGAGTGACCAAATGATTTTTTTAAAAAGTGAAAAAAGTGATCCGCCAATTGACTAACAAGCGGATTCCTACTTACTGCTAGGTAACCAGAGGCTTGTGGGGTAAGGAAACTTGCCCAATGTTTCACCCTGCCCGGGAATCGAACCTAGGTCCTCACGCTTGCGAGGCAAGTGCTCTAACCACTAAGCTTACAGGATTTTTCTAATTTTATCCCCGCCTACTGTTGTGTCTCCTAAAAATCAATTAACTCAGCACATACCCCCTAACCAGAATACAAACTGTAACCCATTGAACAGTCCCTTAGACCAGTTGGAGATACATTACTTATTCAGTGCTCTGCTCGTTGACCAGTGTAACTCAGATATGAGTTTTGCATGTGAACCCACACTCTTGGTAGATGCGTCTAAAAACTCTCATCCCTGCAGCCTGGTTTCTTTTTCTACCTGAAATCCAATTTACAGCTTGATCCCAAATCTCACACACGAGCCGAAGAATTTTTTTCTCTGCTAAATGCCTAGGAGCTCTGATGCACGAATGAGAACTGTTTCAAGACAATCTTCTATGTCGTGAGTTTAGCTACATTGGGACTTCTTTGCTTGAAGAGAAACTGAAAAGACTAAAATAAACCATGGCACTTTCTCAACCTGGTCTCGAGGGATTGTTTCAAAGCAAAAGTCAGTACCATCCTAGATATCAATGAGAATCAATACTTTGAAATTGATTTTTCAAGGTATTGAAAAAAATCACCCACAAAATATACAGCCAATTCACTTTACAGTATATTCTGTGAAGCGCTTTGAGATGTCTTGAAGACGTGATAAGGCCCTATATAAAATGCAAGGATTATTATTATATAAATTCCCATTTGAGCCTAAAAGTTAGCCTAATGTTCTGGATGGTGAGTGGAGCGCTTAAGCTCCCCAGCCTCATTAACCATCAATTCAATAGCAGCAAAAAGATGTTGTAATTTCATCAGGAATCATTGGAACAGATGCTTGAGACTGTCCTTTTCTTTGCCATCCAACATATGGTTGATGAAGACATTATGTAAGCTTAAAAAATGCTAAATAGGATCCTAGTCTATAAATTATTGTCTTAAACACTTCAGACGGTAATGTTTAGTGTTTGCTCTTCTGACCTATGGGGATTCAGGGTTGTAATTAGCTGTGGATCAAGGTTATAACCAGCAGGAAACTGAATGAAAAAATAAAGATTAAGATTAGGGTGGAGATGGATCGACTAAATTGGTTTGGAATAAAACAATTAACTTTGAATTCTTTGTGCGTTACAGAGCTTCATTCCAGCTCTATTGGTAATTCATTTTCTATTTAATTTCATGCTCAGTTGTTGGCTTCTTGTTTACAGAATTCTTTGAAATTCTCTTAATGACCAGATGTTGCACGAGGGAAATCTTTTGAACTATATTTGGTTATTTAGACTTTTGCCCCTTTATCCATTTTTGCACTTATGTTTGTCTTAACTGCTATAAGCAATATTGGTGATCACAGAGTCCTGCACTATAAGGAGAAGGTAATAATAAACAAGGCAGGTTTTATGGCGAGACTTAAAGACAGATAAAGAGGGAGCAAGATGGAGGAACAGAGAAGGGGATTTTCACAGGTCAGGGACAGAATCTGAAAGCTCTGCCACTGATGGTGCCGTGGTGAGGACAGGGGACGTACAGCTAGCCTAAGTTAGCCGAGCGGAGGGTGGTAGGAGATAGGAGGAAATCAGAAAGATAGGGAGGTGCTAGGGTGTTAAAGGGACTTCTAGGTGAGAGTGAGGACCTTGAAATTGATCTGCTGGGAGTCAGAAAGCTATTTTAGCCAGGCAAGGACTGGGGTGATGGATATGAAGAGTTTGGTGGCGGTGAGGATGCAAGTGGTGGCTAACTTGGGTTTTGGATAAGTTTAAGTTTATCCAAAGGCTTGGTCAAACAAGGGTTTTTAGAAAAATGTTTTTAGAAGGGTTTTAAGACAGGGTAGGGGAGAGATTGGGTGTAGGTGGAAGATATTTTGTGAAGGAGTTCTGGAGAACAGGGGCATAGTGTTCAAAAGCTTGGTGGCTCATGGTGGAGTGGAGGAGGCAAGGGACATGCAGCAGGCCACAGTTTATGAAGCAAGACTAGAAAATATTTCTGTGAGATATGTGTGTGATTGGATTTGAAGGTTTGGACAAGGATCTTGAAGTTAGTATCTTGAAGGCAGTCCTTTGTAGAGAAGGGAAAGAGAGCCAGTGGAGCCTCTTGAGGATGTGGTGATAAGCACATAAAGCCGAGTGAGGTAGCCTAGTATATTGGTGAGCATATTCACCTCTTGTGGGACTGCACTTTACTGGTTCCAGTCCTACTTGACACATCATCTCCACTTTATATTCTCCAATGGTTTCTCCTCCCATCTCTATCTCATCTGCAGTCATGGGGTCAACTACCACATGTATGGATGGCGCCCAAATCTACATTCCCTCTTTTAGTTGTGAAACCCAGGTCTGCTGATGTTCTTTCTCCCTGCCTGGACACCATCCTCCTTGGTTCCTGCCAATGTCTCCTTTCTGCCATGGCCTATCTCTCAGACTCACCAAACCAGTTCGCAAATCCAGTTCAATCCTTAGCTGTCATTGCTGCGTGTCCCCCGAACTCTCCACGCCTAATCTCTAAAACTCTCTCCCCCTGTTTATCTTAAATCCCATCTGGAAAAACTTATCTCTTCGACATCCTATGGTCACCTTTTTCTCTGCCTTCTCACTTGATTGGCGTCCAACCCGACACTGTTCAGTAGTCTGAGATATTATGCTGCTTGAAGGACGCCACATAAGTGCAGGTTGTTAGATGTTGCTGTTTGTTGTATTGTAGTATATTGGTACAAAGCACAGGTATACAGAGACTTAATTGAAAAATTTAAATTGATCATGCGTTGCACAAGAAGTAACAAATTCATTAGGAATTTTAATAGGAGATAAGATTGAAATGTCTACTTAGCCAGAATTGCTAAATATTTATTTGCATGGTGCAACCTTACTCTATTCCTGATAAAATGTGTTTGTTTCCTGTACAGAAAATGCCAGCCAAGCACTATGAAGATGGTGATATGGTAATGGGCCGTTGGCCAGGCAGTAGCCTGTATTATGAAGTGCAGGTAACGGGATTTGACAAGATTTCCCAACTTTATGGAGTCAAGTATAAGGATGGCACTGAACTGGAATTGAAAGAGAGCGATATGAAGGTAAGGCCGTGGCACTGGCTTTGACTTTAATTTCAGATTCATTTGCTTTGGTCCATTGTCTAAAATTCTGCTACTTTAGTAGTGTTTCTCAGTTTTATTTTCCTCTGATGTACCTTTTCACTCCACCCCCGCATCACCAACTGCAAGTGTCTTGGTGTAAATTTCTGTTTCTGTTTCTCCTTTTCCTTCCGTCACCTACCGCCTCAATACTCATATGCCCTCCTCGACGTTCTCCCGAAGCTCCACTGAACACAAAATCCAGCTAATCAAAAACTCCGCCGCCCAGATATTCACCCGCACTAAATTCCATATCCCCATCACACCTGTTCTAGCTAGGCTCCACTGGTTCCCTATCACCGAACGGATTGATTTCTAGATGCTCACACTCGTCTTCAAATTCCTTCATGCCATTGTACCTCCCTACCTCTCCGATCTGCTAACTCCCCAACCTACTACCCACTGCATCTGCTCGACTGGCTCTGGTCTCCTGCTTGTCTCTTGAGTTCTCCGTGGCGACGGTCACCTCCATCCAGCTCAGCATCGTGCTCTATTATGGTGAAGTGCCCTGGGACTCTGTCCTGCGTGAGGGGCGCTATATAAATGCGGTTGCTGTTGTTATCTTATTTCTGCCTCTCCCCTTCACACCACCCACCACATACTTTTCACTTTATGTTGTTTTTTTCAGTTTTTGAGGATGGGTCAGCTTTACAGCTTGCTTTAGCCACTTCCGGCACCTCCAGCATCTTCCAACCACTAAGCGTATCTTTCCCTCCCCTCCTAGCATTCCGAAAGGATTGTTGCCTCCGTGACTCCCTCTGGTGCATTCCTCCATCACCACCAACAGTTGCTCTCCTCCCCCCGGCATTTTCCCATACCAGCACAGGAGATGCAATACCTGCCTTTTCACCTCCTCCCATACCACTGTCCACAGCCCCAAACATAGATTTCAAGTGAGACAGCGATTTATATGTACCATCGCCAATATAGTTTACTGCATTCACTGCCCACAATGTGGTCTCCTCTACACTGGGGAGATAAAACGCAGATTGGGTGACTATAGCGGAACACCTCCGTTCTGTCCGCAAGCACAACCCTGAGCTTCTGGTTTCTTGCCACTTCAACTCTCCCTCCCACTCGCACTCTGACCTCTCCATCCAAATCTCCTACCCTGTTCCAATGAGCCACAGCACAAGCTCGAGGAACAGCACCTCATTTATGTGCTAGGGACCTTACAGTCCTCTGGCCTTAAATTGATTTCAACTATTTCAGACATTACCACATCATCTTGGTCCCAGACACACCTTTTCTCTCTCTGGTCTGCCTATTTTGTTGCAATTTTCACCCCCCCTCCCCCACACACTTTTGTTTTGCATTATTAACACCTCTATTCCCCCGTTTTGTTGCAATCCCCCCTTTTACAATTTTGCAAAAATTGTAAAATAGGCATCACAGAGAAATGTCATTGCTGCTGGTCTGGTTACTGAAGTGCAGGATAAATGCACAATGCAATTTATGTTTATATAGTTCCTTTCACTTCAGGAAGATTTCTCAAAGGGCTTTACACACCCAAAACAATAACTAAAGAGGGTGGGTGTGAGGGAGGAGAAATATGACTGAAAACGTGGCAATTAAGCAAGTCTTGAGGCGGTGTGGGGTGTCGGGGGGCATGTGGGGTAGGGAAGAAAAATATAATATCAGCGGGACTGAAGGATGAAGTTCGAAGAATCGGGGTCATAATGGCTGAAAGGTCACCCACCGACATGAAGCAGATTGGGTGGGAGACTAAAACAGGCAGCTCTTTGCTGAGAGGAGGGAGTATCTGGATTGGGAGAGTTGCAGGAGGTCGTAGAGGTAGGATGGGCGAGACTGTGGAAGGATTTAAATGTGAGGATGAGGATCTTGAATTTGATTCACTGGCGGATGGGAAGCAAGTGGAACAGAAGATCCATTCTTGCATTCTGAAACGTTGACTCACTTTCCTTTCTCCGTAGATGTTGCGTTTCGGGTCCACGGCCCTTCGTCAGAACGTTCTGACGAAGGGTCGTGGACCCGACACGTTGACTCACTTTCCTTTCTGCATAGTTGCTGTCTGACCTTCTGAGTGTTCCTAGCGACTTCTGTTTTTGTTTCAGATTTCCCGCATCTGCAGTATTTTACGTTAAGTTTAGTATTTGTTACATGTGACTCCAATTTCCAGCCTTAATGAATAGTTTAAACAGATTAAACATACAGCAGTAACTAACCTCATGATGGATCCAATTAAGATCAGATCAAAACTTTGACTGGGCAATCTTTGAGAAATGTGATTTTTGCGTTATAGAAAAGTAAGTAAATAATTAGAAATTTTTCTCCTCCTTTTAGCCCTTAAATTATTTTAAAAGCAAGAAAAGCCGTTCAAGATCATCTTCCCGTCAGCGTGGTAGATCTCGCTCACGATCCCGTTCCCCAGCGAGGGCACCTAGCTCAAAACGTTCAACCTCCCGTGGCAGGGAAACGAAGAAAGAAGTGGAGAAGCAGATTGTCCCAGAAGTCAAACCTGCCCCACAGGTATGTGAACCTGTGATTGGGCTTGAAAAAACTCTGGCCTCTGCTATTTGTCTTTTCATCTATCAGTGCATACCTATATTTATTTCTGTGCCTATAGTGAGCCTTACTTGTCGATACACCACTATTATAGTCTACTTGGTGCAGCTGAGGTTAGTGTTAACTTTGCAATAATTAGTGTAAATATTAATCCAGGAGTACCTAAATATGCAGTGAATTTCATTTTGGTCAGAGAGTGAATTACATTTGGCCACTCTCACACACTATTGGGTCTGGCTGGGGCCAGGAAGCAGAGATGCCTGCCTTTTTTGTTGTGGAGTAGAATGTGCATGAGATGGCAGAGATTAAACATTTTGAGCAATCACAAGTGCTAATTTCACTTTTAGAGATGTCCACTTAAATGTCTTCAATAAAGGAGCAAATATTAGAAGATGCATGTTCAGCTCCTTAATTCGCCCGATTTGAGGAGATGTCATGGTGGAAATTCTGTTCACTTATTGTGCTTTTAAGCTCTTAAAGGAGTTGTGCATTTTCTTTCCTTACCAATTTTCTTTTTTCTCTTCCAAAGACGTTTGAAGTCATTTGTTGTGCTTCAAAGGCTGAGGTCAACTAATGACACAGACCAGGAAGTAAATCTTACTGTGGATGTCTCAGACATTTTATTTAATATTTTAATACCACAAATACTGTTTCAAATTTCTTATTTTTTAAACAATAATTGAATACATTCTTTGTAACCTAGCTGGCTGCCTCTCTCTGCAAGTGGAGGGAGTAATGCATTCATTAAATAGGTTGGTAGCTATTTTGACTCCGATTCTACACCCCTAACATCTGGTCACCTTCCTGCCCTTCACCCATCCCAGCCCCAACTCCCAGCTCGGGTCCAAAAGACCCTGGCTGTCCAGCATCCTGGGACGTCTTTCCGACATGAAGGGCGCTATACAAAATTTGTTGTTGTTGTTGACTGATAACTGTGCATCAAGTTGGTTGAAGACGCATTCTCTCTGGTTCATTCAGGTTAGATGAATAAAGTTATAGTTGTGATGTAGTATCGTGCTGTAGAATCCTATTTAGGAAGTGAATACAATTAATTATAGGTAATACTAGAAATGTGAACCTGTGATTAGGCTTGAAAAAATTCTGGCCACTGCTATTTGCCTTTTCTGTGCATTCCAATGTATATTTCTGTTCCTATAATGAGCCTTACTTGTCGATACGCCACTATTATAGTCTGCTTGGTGCGGCCTCCCTTGTTTTAACATCCAGATAGTTTCCTTTGCTTGGATGGATAAGTGAGTGTTGTATTACCTACATTTTTCACCCTTTGAAATAGAAGCTTCAGGAGAACAGCAATAATAGCAAAACTACCCTAGTAGCGGAGCTCAATGAAGAGCAGGAAAACCACACCAAGACTAGTACCTACAAGATCACTGAGGTAAGAAAGCCTGTTTCTTCACTGTGCCAAGGAACTTCACCAGCAGCTTCACCTCAGAAAGATGGAAGTTGGCCACTGCTGTCATCAACCAAATATTTCCTACTTTCTCAACTTTCTTTAACAAAAAATACTAAATGCAGAGCAGATGGATAAGTGAAGGAGGGAGGTGGGGTGACGTTTTGGGAATTATCTTTTCTCCACTTCAAGGCAACAAATTAACCTGTTGTGGATCAGTTCCCACCTGTTTTGTAACCGTATCCTACATAGGTAGATGGTTGGTGTATAAAACGTTGGAGATGCATGCAATGAGACTATAATGACCTTTATTCCAGAATGTTTCCAGCGGTAATTAAAATTAATTATTTTGGAAATTGCACTTAGCAATTGATTATAGTGACCATTTTTCTGTTTTTAGAAGGTTTTAAAACATCCTGTTACTTCATAGCAAAGCATAATCTCAGCAAACCTGGCATGATAACCAGGTGCTGTAGAAAGTGTGCATTGTTGTCTGGCATATCTAATGAAGTAGTTTCCTTTTGGGGATTGGGGGATAGAGTATTATATTTACGCACTGCTGTTGAAATATTATTTCTCTTGCCTCCCTTATTATATCTGAAGCATAAGATCCGTAGTGAAATAGTGACAGACGAGTTGTCTCTTCGTTACAATCTACGCACTCGGAAAGAAAAGGAAGAAGCAAAGCCCATAAAACTGGAGACTAAAGATAAGCTCCTGTACATTAAAAAGGATGTGCCGCAGACCCAAGAGCTAGAGTTTGGAGGACGAATTGGTAAGATTGGATTTTTTTGGGTTCCTTGTTTTAACATCCAGATAGCTTCCTTTGCTTGGATGGATAAGTGAGTATTTTTTTAAACTACTTCTTTTATTAATGTAGCCAAGTCAGTTAGCATGAAAATCTCAGTGTTTCACAGAAACGATAATGAGGAGAACTTAAGGGTTAACAAGAGGCACGTCAAAGAACATTTTGACTGAAAGAGAAAGCAAGATGAAGGAATCTAGGGAAAGATTTCAGAGATGTGAAAATAATTATAAGAAAGTTTGAACATACAGCAAACTTATTTCTGTATGGACATCAATGTTGCAGATAAAGGATCGTGCCCTTTCATAGCTGTTTGTGGGACCATGTGCAAAAGGACTGTTGTGATTGCCTACGAGTACAGTCACTATTGTAGGGCAATATTAAATTCAAGGATTATTATATTCCATTGCAGTCACCACTAAAGTTCGAGGTTGAATTTTCAAAAAGTATGGTAATGTAGTAGGAATTATTGTGGTAGAAGTGTGCGTGTAATATTGTACTTTGAAACCAAGTGTTCATCAATTGCCAGAAAAATGTTCGGTAACTCCTAACTCACAATGCCCTTTAGGGGGAAGCCACGCCCATTTTATAAAGAGGTGAAGCATGACTCTTGGGTCAGCTGATCAACGCACTCTGCAGGGTACACCTTCTGCCATTGATGGGAGTGGGCAAGTTTCCAGATGATACTATTGGTAGAGTCTCCGATCACTCCGCGCTTTGGTAGGAGTCCCTCGTTTAGAGAAAAGATCTTTGAGTTCTCGACAGAGTCGTCTACCTTACGGGCTCCGGCCTTGATGCTCTCCAGCTGGTTCTCTGGTGAGCTTGCTGTGGCAGAATCTTCTGAGACTTGTTGACTATTGATAACTGGTGGCCCTCACATTGGGATAATCCCCTGTGGCTTTGGACTGTCCCCCCCACACCTTGCCCCCTCACAGTCTGGGCTGACACTCCAATGCAGTGCTGGCGATTTGATGCATCATTGGAGGTGCTGTCTTTTGGATGAGAGAATAAATCGAAGCTATTACTATTGGTATTAATAACTAAACCTGATAAACAATATGGAAGTAACATTTTGTTTCTATTTCAGGTGCATTCTTTATGGTGTTTTTATTGCCTGCCACTGTCTTCATCCTGCTGTTGATGTGTGGACAAGAGGATTCCAGTATCCTGAGTTTCCCACCCCAGGTGCCACCTCTCGAGACTCTGTGGGCATGCACTGCTTTGGGCATCTTTGTCCTGTGGTTTCTCTTTCAGGCTTTGCTCTACCTGCTGCCCATTGGAAAGGTAATCCTTTTGTATATTTGGTAACTGAATATTATTCTAAAATTTTGTGTTCCTTTTTTAAAAACAAAAGACAAGTACTTCCATGTGTTGTCCTCTAACTGGAATTATGTAGGAAATTCATGTAGGAAAATGTTTGAAGCACTTTATAAAGACTGGTTAGAAGCCCGACGAGAGAGATGATAAGCATAGAGGGTGGCACAATCAAAGTGATTGGATTTTTTTAATGGGTTTTGGAAGCAGTTAGGGAGATGGAGTGATCGCAAAAGACTTTCAGAAAGGAGGGATAGAGTGGTTGAAAGCTTACCCACTGGCAGTGGGCAGAGTTGGCAGAGGACTGAGTTGATGGAGTGGATGAAGCAATAGAACTACAGGAAATTGTAGAAGTAGGGTCAGGCATGGCTATTGAGCATTTGAAGATAAGGACATCTGTACACATGAATGTAGACCCTGTGCCTGTGGGTGATGTCACAAAATGTTTTGGGGTCAGTCTGTTACATATGGAAACTGATCACTATGCTTAAGAGTATCCAAACCAAACTGAGGGTTTCACATATGTATGCCACCTTCAAGTGGAAATTTCTCTTTGTCTGGAATGGAATGCACTGTTTACTTATTTCCACGGAGTATCAGGTGCAGGTTAGTAAGACTCGAGGCTTGGGGCCCCCAATCTGACCCTATAACTTCTGCTGACAATCCAGGCTGGCTGGTCTGTTACCAGCAGTGCCCTGAAATACTGTGGTCACACCTGGTTCAGGAACTGAAAATATGGAGTCTACCAGAGGGTTAACTGGATTCCAAAGTTGTGTTGCCAGGCACGTCACCTTGGAGCCAGATAGATCTCGGACATGGAGGCCTTGCATCCGCTCTTCCTCCCAAAAACCCTTCTAAAAATCTTATCTTCTCCTCTGTGCTTTCTGTCACCTTTTTCCTACCCTGTTGTCTTCCCACTTCTACTCCTATAAAGTGCTTTGAAACATTATCCTAAAACCAGTAAAACTCACATAAATCGATTTAGTCAAGACCATAGTATTTAATATGATTTACGCAAAATCCGAGGTTCAGGCAAACTATAAATCGTAACCAATCTGATTTAATCCATAACCCACATTGCGCATGTGTAATTTAATGCAGCTGGTAACTGTGCATGCTGTACTTTGTTACTGTAGCTGGTAAGTGGGCACGCGTCAACAAGTCAGGACATTTCCCACGATTCAATGCAACCGGTAAGTGCAAGAGTAATGGAGGATAGGGGAGTAATGTTATGAGGTAGGAGATAATAATTATGATTAGTGCAAAGAAATCTAAATGGTTCTGATAGGAACCTGAATGGGATTCGGTGCATGTATGACTTGGGCAATATACGATTTATAAAGATAAGACGTGTGCAAGTTTTACTGTATAATGTTTTCTGTTTCGGGGTCTCATTTTACAGATCCCAACTGCCACATTGCAATGGGGTCAGATACAATAAGAACATGAGAACAATAGTCCCTTTTCTTTGTGAGTGCACTATCCTTGGTTCTCTAATGGAATATTTATTTTGCATACAGATTGTTGAAGGAATACCCTTACCAAATGGAAAGACACTTAAGTACAGGATAAATGGTATGTTCATAACCAGATTCATGTTATTTGTAGCAGGGTAAAAAATGCATTAAAACACAAAGCTGTGTCTCCAGGGAGAACTCACCTCACAAACGAGAGTACCTGGGTTCGATTCCTGGGCAGGGCGAGACATTGGGCAAGTTTCCTTACTCCACACGGCTCTGTTCACCTAGCAGTAAGTGGGAACCTGGTTGTTAGTCGATTGGTGGATCGCTTTTCTGGGGCTAATAATCCCTTCAAGATAAATAAATAATATAATAATACTCAATTCACGACTGTTTGTGGGACACTACTGTGAGCATTAGCTGCCGCATTTCACCCACAAAATATACAACAACAACAAGATTCCATTTATAAAGCGCCTTTCACGTCAGGAGGACGTCCCAAGGCGCTGCACAGTTGGGTCATGACCCGAGCAGGGGGGATATGGTCAGGGTGAGGGAAGGGAGGGAGCGAGGAGGGGGGAAATGGTCAGGGTGAGGGGAAGGAAGGGAGGGAGCGAGGAGGGGGAAGAGAGTCGAGAGGGGAGCTGAAGGCACGGTCAAAGAGAATTCACTTTACAGTATAGTCTATGAATCGCTTTGAGACGTATCAAAGATGTGATAAGGCGCTCTATAAAATGCAAGGATTATTATGTTATTATATTGGAATATGGAGAAGTAAAACTTATTATTTTTAAAATTATGATGTTTGGGGAAGGGAGAAAATTGGGCATTTACTGATGCCTTTGCACATCTTCAGTGTTCTCGTACAGAAAAAAATATTCAAAATTTCCTAATTATATAGAATCTTGCAGCAATGAAACAGGCCATTTCGCCCAACTACTCTTTACTGTACTTTGTAGTCCAAATTAGTCCACACCCTTCCCAGCCTCCTTCCCCCCACCCCACCCCCTCATGCTCCTCGTTTCCATTCTCTCTTGTATGATATAATTCCTCTTAAATGCATTGGTGTTTTCTGCTTCAACTACAACTTCTGGCATTGAATTCCACAGTGTAAAGAAGTTGAGTCCTAGTATGGAAGTGGACTATTTTAAAGTGTAGAATATCTTCTTCCAAAGACTGAATTCAAGAATCTCCACATTTTTTTGCTGTCTTTAATGTTTGATAAAGTGGTCCTACAAGCTAAGACTAAGTGGAAATTCAGACCTTGGATCAAACTTAGCACAAACTGTATCAAAACAGTGCTACTAAACATTTTTTTTTCCTTTCAGTATCTATGAATGCCCTCAGTCTTCCTTCATTCTCTCTCTGCAGCTTTCTATGCATTTCTGCTGTCTGCAGCTGCAGTAGGAGCTGCACTGTACAATGGAGTGAACCTTAGCTACATCCATGCTAACCTGCTGCAAGTGGCGATCTCTGCAATGGTGTTCTCCCTGCTCCTGAGTGTTTACCTGTACTTGCGCTCCTGGCGAGTTCCCACAGACGAGCTAGCACCAGGAGGGAACTCTGGTAAGTGATTTGATTGTTGTCCAAATAAGATTGCAGTGGTAGTTTATATTGTCAGTAGTCATGAAAATCAATGAGCCAGACCTAAAGGCATTGTAACCAATTGTACCGGTGGAGTATACCTTTTTTTGTTTCTTGTACTTTTGACTTGTAGGTAGTTTTATCTATGACTTCTTTATTGGACGGGAGCTGAATCCTCGAATCAGAAACTTTGATCTCAAGTACTTCTGTGAACTGCGTCCAGGCTTGATGGGCTGGGTGAGTTTGAATGTCTGCTATCAAAATTTGATTATGTATAACATCGGCTAAAAGCTTATGGTCAGGTGTGTCAGCTTGGCTCAGTTGGTAACACCTCTGAGTCAGATGGTTGTGGGTTCAATCCCTACATTGGATGCAGTGTTGGGGTGTACTGCATTGTTAGTACAGTCGTTCGGATGAGACATTAAACTGAGGTCCCTTCTGCCTGTTCAGATGGACGTTAAAGATCCTGTGGTATTACTCGAAAAGAGAATGGAGTTTCTCCTGGTATCCTGGTCAATAATCCCCAAATATAATTGGTCATTTGTTTCATGGCTCTTTGTGGGATATTGCTGTGCACAATTGAAATGCTGCATTTGCCTTCAAATACAGTCACTCCACTGACTCTGGTAAATCCTGCGAAGCGCATTGAGATGTCCTCTTGATATGAAAGCCACCATACCAAATGCAAAGATTATTAGCATTATTATTAATAAGCAAATTATCTCAAATAGATCTCAATGTACTTCTTTGACCGTGCTTTTGGTCTCATCCCCACTTGGTCCCATCTCCAGCTCAGGTGCCCAACCATGTGTGTCGAGCAATTTGGGACATCCTTCTGACATGAAAAGTGTATATAAATGTAAATTTGTATTGCATAAATGTATAAGTGGCACTTTCTAATTCAAAATCATAACTCTTAAATATTAGTGATGTAAGAGGCTGTATAATTGCATTGAGCTGTTGAGATTGTTTTCAAGTGAGGGTGTTACCTTTTCTTGTTCCCAATCCTCCTCTTCTTATATTACTCTGGCCAGGTACACAGCATATATATCATCTCTCGCTCTCTTTTCCCCCACCCCCATGTCTTAGTTGATAAAAACACTCTCTTTGTGAACCTTAGCCATATAGACCCAGAAAGTCTCAATTCTGGTCTGTGTTGAGTTACTAGGAACACAATTGGCATCTGTACCCAAAGCTGTTGAGAGGGAAAAAAAACATCTATGGTTGCTCCTCTTAATTGCTATTAAATGACTGTTCCCTGAAAGTGTGGGTGTTTGTAGGTGCAGACTGGATAAGCTGTCTGGGCTCATGCAAGAACAGTGGCCACTTAGGTAAGCCACTGGGGATGCTAACTCTGGGAGAATAGCTAGCCAGATAAGTGGTTGATGTTGGAACTATTCAAACAAATCAGGCAAGACTTGAAAAGCAAATGTTGAAAGTTGTTTGAAGATTGTTTTTAAATCTTACAGGTTATCATTAACTTGGGAATGGTGTTTGCAGAGATGAATGTGCAGAACCTTGACATGCCCTCCTTGGCAATGATACTGGTCAACAGTTTTCAGCTCCTTTATGTACTGGATGCATTGTGGAACGAGGTACAGTTTATGGAAAATTATGGGTTACAGGTTCAGTTAATATAACTCTTGCAATTCTGACTTGTTCTTTTCCATTCCGAGTAAGTAGGAACCCTGTTGTTAATCGATTGGCAGAGTCCTGTAGTATGGAGTCCTGTAGCTCAGTGGTTAAAGCACTTGCCTTGCAAGCGAGATACCTGGGTTCAATTCCAGACAGGGCGAAACCTTGGGCAAGTTTCCTTACTCCACACACCTAATAATAATCCCTCCAAAACAAAACAATAATAAATTGGTCATTTTCAATCCACGACTGTGGGACATTGCTGTGCTCAATTGGCTGCCACGTTTCGCCCACAAATATATGGTCAATTCACTTTACAGTCTATTCTGTGAAGCGTTTGAGACGTCGAGAAGATGTGAAAAGTGCTATATCAAATGCAAGGATTATTATTATATTATATCGCTTTCCGGGGGTAATAATCCCTCCATAAATTAATAAATAATATTGGTCACTCAATCCACGACAATATGTGCAATTAGCTGCCGCATTTCGCCAAAATATAGAGCCAATTCACATACAATGTATTCTGTGAAGTGCTTTGAGATGTCTCGATGAAGTGATGAAGTGCTATATCAAAAGGGAATCTCTTTTGGAAGGCACTTCATTGAGTAATATGGTTGACCATTCTATGTTAAATCTTGAATTTGTTCCTCACCATTGGTCGAATGTTTCTATCAGACAACGGATCGATTTAAAGATCCTTGTCTACAAATCCTTTCCTGCCGTGACTCCTCCGTACTTGTTGACCTGATTTTTCCCCACTCCACTACCCGCTGCCTCCGTTCGTCTGGCTTTGGCCTCCAGCTTGTCCCTCATCCCCTTCATTCCACCATCGGCAGCCGCAGTTTCAGCCACTGTGTCCCGAAGCTTTGGAACTTTCTCGCCCAATGACCCCTCCTTCCAGTGTCAGGCTCTGCCACTGTTAAGCGCTCTGAGACGTTGCCCCGCATGAAGGGCACTATATTGCGAGTTGTTGTTTTTCACTTTGCTGTTGTGACAGGAGGCAATTCTCACCACCATGGATATTGTGCATGATGGATTTGGCTACATGCTGGCATTTGGAGATCTGGTCTGGGTTCCCTTCATTTACAGCCTGCAGGCTTTCTATCTTGTTAAACATCCCAGTGAACTGACCTGGCCTGTCGCTGCAGCAATCATCGCTCTGAATAGTAAGTTTATCTGTTGGGAACATGTACATCTTTAATCAATGAACAGTTTCTGACTATTAGATGGTCTCATTACTCACAATGCACCTGTGTTTGCATTGCAGCTGTGGGCTACATCATTTTCCGAGGTGCTAATTCACAGAAAAATGCCTTCAGAAGGAATCCCCTTGACCCCAAACTGGCCCGTAAGTACCATTGATACAATATTTAGAAACAATTTCAGCACAGAAGATCATTTGGCCCAATGTGTCTGTGTCATTGCTACCCTTTTTCCAAAGTCATTCTTTTTTTAAATTAATCTAAATTTCCAACTCTTTTCCCATATTCCTTTATATTGAGAGTTCCACCTATGTCCCCAAAATACACAATCACAGTATAACTTACAGTATATTCTGTGAAGCACTTTCATGTGATAAGGCACAATATCAAATGCAAGGATTATTAATTTTGTAGAGAACTGGACTTTACCATGAATATGACCAGCCAAGAGGAACGCCTCTGGCCATGACCAGACAGTGAAGGAAAAATTTGGGATTGTTCTTTAGAGTGGATCGCTCATGGATTGAAGCAACCCACTGATTCTACGAATAACCCTCTTAGCTTCAAGCCATACCTGGTCATTAGCCGATTTATTTTTGTAGTGGAGTTCCATGGGTGGTGTGATGCACTTTAATTACTGTCAGTTGTTGCTATTTAGCTTATCTGGTATTTTTTTACCTCAGTTGTTACAATAAATAATAGTTCTAACATTCTGAGTTGAAATCTTCAGTTTTGTAGTCTTTAATTGAGTCAGACCTGCATTGTTTTTCCATGTTTTAATTCACTTTCATTACAATCTTATGGGTAGCAGTATTTCAAATTGACTTTTAACACGTCTCTCATTCAGTAATGTACATTGAGCATTTGTCAGAGGTGGATTATGGGAGAATAACTGCAGTGGGATAAACTGCACAGTTCTAATGACAACTTTTCTTTCTGCAGATTTGAAAACTATTCCCACCGCAACCGGGAAGCATCTGTTGGTCTCTGGCTGGTGGGGATTTGTTCGTCATCCAAATTACCTTGGTGACCTGATCATGGCTCTGGCATGGTCTTTGCCCTGTGGTAAGTGGGAAGGAAAGGACTGAGTCTTGCTTACTTCTGAGATTCCCATTTGCTCTCACTTTACTCCCTGTTTGAACCACTCCGGTCCAGTTTTCGTCCTGCCCACACCACAAGACAGCGCTTGCCAAAATCACAAATGATGTGCGCTTACTCTGCGACAAGGCTTCCCTATGGCTCCTTATCCTCATTGACCTTTTTGCCACCTTTGGCACTGTTGACTACTATGTTCCTCGATTGTCTCTCTCATCCCCCTCTGGGACCGCATATTTCCTGGTTTAAGTCCGAGTTGACTCATTACCGCCACTTGGTTTCCTCCCAATAACTTCTCTTGCTCTTGCTTGTCATCTCTGATGTACCTGAAGCTCTATCCTTGGTCCCCTCTTTCCTCATCTACATCATCTGCAAACATGGGGTTATATGTCCATGTGACACGCAATTTACCTCTACTTCTATCGTTGATTGATTCCAGGTCCACTGGTGGTCTGACTGCCTTCTTTTAAGTCATCAATTCTGGATGAAGCTAAACTTTCTTCAGCCAAACACAAACAAGATGTATCATCCACGTATGATCCTGTCTCAAAGTCAAGTCTGTCAAAATCTTCCCTCATGTTTTCGTCACCTTCCAGACTTGACTTTTCAAATGCCTTCCTTGACATTCTCCCCATCTGTAAGCTCCAGCTCATCCAAATCTCTACCACTAGCATCCTTACCCACTCTACATCTCCATCACTCCCATCCCTGCTAGGATCCATTGGCTTCCTGTCAACTGTGGATTGATTTCAGAGTCCTCACCCTCAACTACAAACTCCTTCATTCCCTCGCATCTCCCTACCTCTCTGATCTTCTCCAGCCTCATTCTTCTGCTTGCTCCATCTGCTTGGAAAACTTAGACCTGCTTGCAGATCCTCTATTCCAACATCAGCAACCAAGCCTTGAGCCACTGTATCCTTAACCCATTGGAATCCACTTCTCCATCTTGCTCCAAGTCTTCAAAACTGCCTCAACACCTACCTCTTGGATCATGTCAAAGGTCTTGTCCATTGTCTACCCCCACTCCCCAAGCTCACCATACTCAGTCTGAAAAACATCTCTTTTTTGTTTGGTCAACTGGTTGTCTGATATATGTGGGCACCCATTACCATGTTCGGGAGTATCCAATACACAGGAATTTTCATGTATGGGGTGCATGGATCTTAGTTCGGTTTGGATACTCTTAAAGATGGTGATGGGTTTCCACATGTGTCAGACACCCGGCTGTCCTTTATATATACAAAAAAAAGGATGCAAACCACCCACATGTTGAAATTTCCCTGTGTCTGGATTTGAATGTGCATTCTTTCTGTGGAGGGACCCATTCTGTAATCTAATTCTGGAGTTATTGGACACAGGTTGGCAAGAGCCAAAGCTTGGGGACCCCAGAGTTTGCATTCAGTACTGCTGGAGTTCATTCAGCTAAAACCATGCAGCTTGCATTGACAGGATTGTCTGGCAAGCTTCCGACTACTTGTCCAGGTATGACTACCCTGTCCATTAGAGCTTTGTCTTGTAGGATTAACAGGTGCTGGGTGAAATGAATCCCAGCTTCCAAGAGATTGCCCCTCTTGTCCAACAAGCTAGGCTGGCTTCTCTATCCTCAGCATTGCCCTTGAGTACTGCGGACCCACCTAGCTCAGGAACCGGTTCCGTGGAGCCATTCCAACATTCAGTTGCCAAGCACGTCATCTTGGATCCAGCTCAGCTCCAAGATGTTCCTGCTTATCTTCACCCCTCCCCTCCCCTGGAGGAGAAGGAGCAGTGTGTGGTGCGATGATGCATGCGTGTATGCATACCGATGGGGAAAAGAAATTGAAATGAAGTGTATAAGTGAAAGATTTAGTTTTAAATTTGTTTTCTTCCATTTTTGTTGTTCCAGGTTTTAATCACGTTCTTCCTTATTTCTACGTAATCTACTTCACTTGTTTGCTCATCCACCGTGAGGCCAGGGACGAGCACCAGTGCAGGAAGAAATATGGAGTGGCCTGGGATAAATACTGCCAGCAAGTGCGCTATCGAATCTTCCCTTACATTTACTGAGTCCACTAATCTTTTGCCTGCTTGCCTCCCCGGTGCTTAACCTTTACAGATCTAGAACATAGTGAGGGATATCACAATGCAGCCGGTAATTAAGAAGGCCCACCTATGTCAATCATGACTTTTTATTCATTTTCATTCTGTTCCCTTTGGTTTCCCATTTTTAAAAACAAAGTGGCGTATTTTCACACTTACTGCTTAGCCTGGTGGGTAAACCTGCTCAATTAGCAAACAAAACACGCAGACAGACAGAGCTACTCACATCACAGAAAGATTCAGCTATCTCAGGTATTTAAAGTCAAGCGGGCTCTTCTGTGCACTTGAATGTTTCTTTTAATGATGGTCAAATGCCAGCCTGTGGAGGAGATCATTCCTAGCTGTGGTTTGAAGCCCCACCACCTGTATGTATAAAAGTGGGCTTTGTTTTAAAAATGGACTTCTGCTCCTTTCTCTCGCCATTTGTAGCACTGAGCTGATTAACGCAACAGTGAATTGACTGGCTTTCATGTCGCTTCAGATTTTCATATCTGCTTAAACCGAGAGCAATAACGATGCTCACTTCCTAGCGCTTTCATAAGCCTTGCAGATTTTGCCTAGTTTCTTAAACTAAAATCAGAAGCATGTGAGATTTTACAAACCAAACGTTTTGTAACAGTAATAAGGGGTGGGGTTTTTCCCCTAATATTTTATTCCTCTTTGAATCACGCACCCACCCCCGCCCCCCCCCGCCCACTCCCAAAAAGCTGAACTTTTATAAGGTGCAACCTGATATTCATATTTGTAAGAGTAAATGCCACAGTCCTTTGTTTCACTAAAATCCTCCATTGTCTAATTCTCACATAGTTGGCTTTCATTGTGTGCTTACACAGTGAGCTTGTATTGTTCATCTTCTTTACACAGTAAGCTATTTTATTTGCCGATGGTAAATTCTACACCGCTTTCTCTCTTTCAATCCTCCCCCGTCCTGGCCGGCAGCAGAGATTCACAATTTTGAATCGTAGCAAATGGCTTGGAAACAAACTAAATTCTATTCTGTGTTTAAAGGAAACAAAGTCATTTACTCAGTTGTAAGTGGTTAACTGTTTGCTCAGTTGTACTGTTTAGCTTATGGCTTGTACGCTATCATGCGATTTGTGTTGAAGTTTTCAGGCTGAAAATTGAAGCCGTGCAATGTTTGCCTTTGGAAGTGTGATTGAAATGTCTGATCACTTGACCCGCACAATAATCCTACTGCTTACACTGGCGTCTGAAAGTGCTCACAGCGTAATGAGTCTGATCTTGAAGTTGTTGTGTGCTTCCATTCAGGGCCCAACATTTGCTTTTTAGGGGTGTGCACAGTAAATTAGCCACTCTCTGAAACAATGAGGCTTGGTACTCAGCTGTTACTGAGCCCTGGTTTGCTGTTCTTGACCATTAATACTTTCGATGGTATATATCTTTTGTGGTTTTCAGAAGGCCTTATTTTGTTTTTTCCTTCATACTTAGCATAAATGTTTAGTTACATCATTTTGTTTTTTTTTGCGTAAATATTCAGGCTCTCTCTGCATTCCAGCATACACGGCGGTTCACATGGAACCCCTCCCCCGGCCACTTTTCAATACCCACTGTCCGTGTGGAGCTGCCTCTGCTTCCAGCATGCGCTGCCCCTGTGGAATCCCTTCTCTGCTTATTAGTAGGCACTGTCTATAGAACCCCTTCTCTGTGTTCATACTGCCCACAAATACTGGACTAATGTCTCTAAATCCAGTTGAGGGTTGGGTTCCTCAAGTGCTCAGAGGACATTTATTGTCCAATTTCTTCTAAAGATTCCTTCGTGATATGGGATGTGAGTTTCCTAATGCCCCTGGATAAGGATCCAGGAAGTGCCCTGGGTAGAGCTAGCTCCGTGAACCTGTATTTTCAAACCTGCTTTAGAAGGAAATTGACTTAGTGGGGTTTTGTGGATTGAAGAATGAATCTTGTATATATAGAGTTTAGCACCATTTCTTTTTTGTCTCCCTGTGTCTTTGTGAAGGAAAATTCTGTGAAGTTTAAACGCTGTTTACATTTGGTGCATTTGACGCAAATACACTCAACCATAGGCTAACCCTACTATGGGTGGGTGGGACGGGACAACGACTGGATTTTCTGGCTAAGTTTTGATGCATTATAAGATAATTATAATAAAATACACCCCATAAATCTCCCTAAAATAAGTAACAAATCCTTCCTTACAATTAAAATGAATAAAAGTGAACTTTAAATAAAAAATTGTAATTGCAGGGTGTGGCGGGAGGTTGGCTCACAGAATTATAAATTTTAAAGACTGTTTGTGGGACACTGCTTTGCAATTGGCTACTGCATTTCACCCACAAAATACAGTGAATCCACTTCACAGTATATTCTGTGAAGTGCTTTGATACATCTCGACAACTTGATAAGGCACAATATCAAATGCAAGGGTTATTATTAATTTTTAAAAATTCAGAAGCCATTCCGCCTAAATCCAAATTATAATAATAATCTAAACCACTACGCTAAATTGCGGAAACTTGAATTCCAATTACCTGTGGGTTGAGTGTAATTATAAAATTTGGCCTTTGCTACCTCTGTGGTCTTGCGTGTAATCTGTACATCCACTGCCCTCCATGTTGGATGAATTTAGAGGCACTTTGATTTTTAGGATAACTTGTCAGAATCATTTTTTTGTGGGGCCTCAGCTAGCCTCAACGAAGTGGCACGGTCACCACTCGTCTGGAAGTACCACGTGATTTTATAGATTTGGGAGTCGTTCGTTGAGGCCTGTTCAACAAGGAGAGAGACTGCTTTCTGCACATCTGCCTCTAATGTTGCCTTCATGGCTGGTTCTTTCCTCGTCGCTCATTTTGGAAGTAACTTGCTTTGATCATGCAGCTGTCAGCCTGGAAAATTGCAGCTGTCCTGCCTTTAATTTAATCGAGCAGTTAGTCTTCCTTTTCCCAGTGAGCTTTAGTCTGAAAATATTGAGCCATCTAATCCACTATAAAATACATTTTACATTTATATGGCGCCTTTCACTTTGGAAGGGTGTCCAAAAGCACTTGATTCTCTGAAAGCACTTGGCAAATTCTAAACAATTTCACTAGTGCAACATTGAGCTTTCAGGAGCATTGGGACCACTTTCATCTCATCCCTTGCTCTCGCAAAACATGTTACAAATGTATTGTTACCATATCCACAGCATGTTAAGGCTTATTGCTTGCAATCGGGCAGTGCATTCTAAGTGAGTGTTTGGCAATAGGGCTATGTAGCTTCTGGGCCAGCTTTTCACTGTAGCCCATGTAAAGATTGTTATTGCTGAAGCCTTTTCTGTATGTACATTCATAGCCATTTCAGTATTATTGCAACGTTGGGGGCTGCATCAACAGCTTTGTGCTCCCAACCTGACCCATACCCAGCAGAAGTGAACTGCTAACATTCTCTGCCTCAGCAGAATGTTGACAGCTGCCTGGGAATTCCCAACAGAGCTGTGTATATAGCCTACATATTCTCCAAAAAATATTTTTTTATAAACTTTGAAAATGTGCTGTGTTAGTTATCCTAAAAATCAAACTTATTTTGATTTTTTAAAAAAAAGCCTTCATGCTTTCAGTAGTTGTTTTGATGAATATGTTAATTGAGATTGTAGCTTTGTTAGTTCAAATGAAAACATTTTAATGTAAAATTAACTAAGTAAAATTTGCAGTTTCAGATTTTGGGTTCCATTATTACAAGTGTAACTTTCATTGTATTTGGATTTACTCCAGCCAAGTCCCTTTTACATGGGTATATTATTGAATTAGATTGAAAGATCAATTGATGTGCAGTGGTATTACTTTTATTTAGATTGTTCTCATCCTTCCTCCCCTTCGAGGCTTTTAGAAACATAGAAACAGGAGTAGGCCATTCAGCCCCTCAACCCCATTCCACCATTATATAAGATCATGGCTGATTTGTACCTCAACTCCAATTACCCGCCCTTGCCTCACATCCCTTAATACCCTGACCTAACAAATATCTATCCATCTCAATCTTGAAGATGTGAATGGATCCAACATCCACAGCCTTTTGGGGGAGAGAGTTCAGATTTCCACTATCCATTAGGTGAAAAACTGCTTCCTAATTTCACTCCTAAATGGCCTCACTCTAATTTTAAGATGATACCCCACTTGTTCTGAGTGTTCAGAGAAATAGTTTCTTTGTATCTATCCTATCGAATCCCTTCATTATTTAAAAACCTCAATCAGATCATCCCTAAACCTTCTCGAGGGAATAGAGACCAAGTTTATGTAACTTGTGCTCACAATTTAACCCTTTTAGCCCTGGTATTATTCTGGTGAATCTCAGTTGCACCCCCTCCAGAGCCAATATATCTTTCCTGAGGTGTGGTGCCCAAAACTGAACCCAGTCTGACCAAGGCTCTATATAGTTGAAGCATCATTTCCTCTCCTTTATATTCCAGCCCCCTTGAGATAAAGGCCAACATCCCATTATCCTTTCTGATAACTTTTACTACCTGTTAGCATGTTTTTAATGATTTATGTACGTGGACACCCAAATCCCTTTGCTTTTCCAATAGTTCTTAGTTTCTCACCATTTAGAAGAAATCTGTTTTGCTATTTTTGGATCCATAGTGGATGACCTCACACTTCCCCCACATTGAATTCCATCTGCCAGTTTTGCCCACTCACTTAAACTACCAGCTCCTTTGTAACTTCCTGCTCGCACCTTACAGTTTACTGTGCCTCCAAACCTTTTGTGCAGCAAACCTGTCTGGAATGTAGCACTACAGTGTTTTGTGTAAAGCACTCCCAAATAGCTGGGGCTTTGGATTCTTGGAAGTGTACCGACTACAGCTCAGACAACCGTTTCTGCCTCATTGCCCATATGATGGGGCATTTGACAAGCTGATCTTTTGGGCTGATATTACTAATATTCAAAGCAACAAACCAAGTCATACAGCGGGAGATCCATGCACCTTATCACACTCTGCTGATGCACACTCAAAGCAAGAACAATGAATCCTAATGGCTTGATGATAGGTATAGCCTTTAGAATAGGTGCTACATTAGGATAAGTTGGATTGCAGCCTTAGGTTTGGAGGGGTGTGGGAGAGGAAGGGAATGTGTTTTGCCCTTATTTGAAAGAATTGGGAATGGTGAATCTTGGTGCCTGGGAGCAGATTATAGTCAGGAATGGTTGCAGTGAGGGTGAAACCCCAAAACACTCAACAGAGATTCTGCTGCCAAAGCCCATTGAGGATCTTTCCAGCGGTGCACTGATCTGTTCTGACTATGATAGGATTCTCAGCTGAAACCCGCACTTAATGTTGCAGTGCACATCCACTGTAGATGAACCAATGTTTAACATTTGTAGTGACAATAATTCTTTGTGTGAAGCAGCTTAAAATGTCTGTAAATAGGAATGCTTGTGTGTGATTTAATTGATCATGAAAATTATTTGGGGGTATTTGTGGGAGGGTAAAATTTTCTCTTCTGGATTTGTTTTATTGTAATTTGCTTTTATGACAATACATGACTTTATTATTCATAGTGAAAACTGCATTGTACAAATACAAAGTAAATTTACTTTTTTATATTTTTGGCTGAAATAAAGATTTACAACAAGTGTCTTGGGCAGATTGATGTTTAAAGAGTTTGCAAAGGACCGACAAAGAATAAATATGTCAGGCTATTTGATTTCAGGTTTCCAAAATACCTACTGTCCTGTCTTAAGTCACCCATTGAGCCTTTCCAACTTTTTATTTGACCATGGCTGATCTGCAACTTAACACTATTTCCCTGCCTTTCACCATATCCCTTCATACCCCTGCCTCACAAATATTGATTTACCTCCTTAAATATTTTAATTGACCCAGGAATCAACAAACTTGTGTGACCATTAAGTTCACATTTCCACAACTGTTAAGAGTGAAATCAGAAACATTTTTTCCTCCTACTTGGTTCATTTTATATCCTTGTTCTGGATTCCCATAACAGAGGAAAATGTTTACCTTGTATCATTTTAAACAAACTTCCCGTTACAGCGTCAATGAGCTTTTGGGCTCTACCACTGCCTGGTAATCTGTTACAGTCAATTTCCCCTTGACGTGAAAGGTGCTCTACACATGTAAGTTTGTTGTGTAGTGTTTGTGCTGAACTTTAGTTGCCGCACAAACCAAAACTATTTCCAATGTGCTGGGGCTTTTGAATGTAATAACTGTAGTCAAAACTATTGAAAAAATAATTTATTCCTCAGTGAAACAAGTCTACATACAGTTTACAGGAACCTCACACAAGAAGTAGGATCATAACTATATGGATATATTGTATGTCACTTGTCTCACTCTAAAGGCAACCACCAACCGCTGCATTGTCTTGCTCTGCAAAATGTTGGCATTTACATGATCGCTTGAGAAAATGAGTAAAGGGGGTTCACAAAAAACACTACAGCTGTCAGAATCAAGTATCTCCAGTCTCAGCCAGGTGGGCCTGCAGTCCTCCAGGGCCCCGCTGATGGCACACTCGCCAGCCTGGATCATCTTGAAGAGGCAAACCAGTCACTGGGAGCAGGGATTCTTCTCATTCTGCTACTGTTAACCTGCCAAGTGAAAGCCCTGGTGAGTAGGGTGGTTAGAGGGAAGCTTGCCAGAAAAAAGCAAGCTATCCAGGTTTAACTGGTTACATTCCTGCTGTACCTCAACACACTTCCTGGGTTCCCCAAGCCTTGTTCTTGCCAACTGGTACCCAATACTCTGGAATTTGGAAAAAAGGGTGCACCCTTCCAGAGAGACACAACACATTCCATTCTACGCATGGGAATTTCCACGGGTTGGTGGTATACATATATGGAATTCTCAGTCTGGTTTGAATACTCTTAAGCATGGTGATGGGTTTCTGCTTGTCAAGACACCCCGCTGACAAAAAAACAGACACCAACAATCTTAGACAAGATCTCCACATGTGTATATATATCCATCCTTTGGCTGCAGCTCCATTCAAAGTGAAACAAGCACAGGAGACTGCTACCTGCACAGACTTGTCCAAGGTGACTGCTGTTCAACAACGCACCTGCCACTATGGGTATTGTCTGTGAGTGATCCTGGGAATGAGACCAGTGGTCAGGCAGCAGTGCTGGGGCACAATTTAACAATAATAATCCTTGTATTTGATACAGCACCTCATCGCATCATTGAGACGTCTCAAAGTGTTTCACATTTTGAAGTTTGTGTATTTTGTGGGCAAAACCCAGCAGCCAATTGCACGCAGCAGAGTCCCACAAACAGTCGTGCATTGAGTGATTTCAGGGTGTTTCTTGTGCATCCAATACTGTAGGTTCCTGAGCTGCCAATTTGTTTTTTGCATACTTGGTCGCGAACTTCAATGTTGCCTCCAGATCTGAGTTGGTTCCTGAGCCCTGCGCCACAACACTGGATCCCCCTGCGTTTCCATCCATCTGTGCACAGACAGCAACGGCCCAGTCCGCTGCGCACAAGGTGCTCATCAGACTCTGAGAAGAGAATTGGAAAAGATGCAATAATCCTTGGATTTGGAGTCCCATAGTGTACTGGTTAGCGCTTCTGCCTCGCAAGCGAGAGGACCTGGGTTTGATTCCCGGGCAGGGTGAACCCTTAGGCAAAGCTCCTAACACCACAATGCTTACTTTACCTAGCAGTAAGTAAGAAGATGGGGGTAATAATCCTTCAAACAAACAAACAAACAAACAAATAAATCAATAAATTTGGTCGCTCAATCTACGACTGTTTGTGGGACACTGCTGTGCACAATTGGCTGCCATGTTTCGCCACAAAATATACAGTCAATTCACTTTACAGTACATTCTTTGAAGCGCTTTGAGACCTCTCAACAACATGATAAGTCGCTGTATCAAATCCAAGGATTACTATTATTATTTGATACAGTGCCTACAAAGTTGAAATACGTCAAACAAATTCAGGGGGAATTACTGTCAACTATCGTGATTATTTGTAGAAAACGGACTGGCCAATTTGCGCAAAACAAGGACCCACGAACAGCCACAAAGCGAATGAGAAATTTCTCTGAAGGATTATTGTCCTGGACACCCACCTGCACACCTGGTGGAACTTTCTTGTCTTTTCTAACAGTATTGCAGGATCTTTAGAACTGGAATATGCAACCCGTCTCACCAAAGGACAATATCTACCACATAACTCAATATTACCCCAGAATTGTACTGAAGTGTCAAAATCGTCTGCCTGGGATAATGTGAGACTTGAACTCTTAAGCTTCTGAGACATTCCAAAGGCAAGTTGTTCATCTGACTGAACCAAGCTCCACCTTGAAGAGGAACAGCATTCCTTTCTTCACCCTCTCCACACCTCAGACTCGGTGAGAGATGTCGCAGGCAGATTGTGAGCAATCCTCGGTTCAGCTTTGAGCTGCTGCCCTCCAACAACAAATTACATTTGTATAGCGCCTTTCATGTCGGGAGGATGTCCCAAGGTGCTGGACAGTCAAGGATTTGCACCCAAGCTGCGGGTTGGGATCAGGAGTCATGGAGGGCAGGGAGAGTAGGGGTAGGAAGGTGATCGAAGGTGCGATCGAAGTGGAAGGTCTTGAGATGGTCCTTGAAGGAGGCGAAGGAGGGAGCAAAGTGAAGGGACTGTTGGATGGCATTCCAAAACGTGGGGGCAGAAAGGCTGAAGGCCCGACTGCAGATGGTGGGGCGGACAGAGGACATGGAGCAGGCTGGAGCCCACTGAACGGAAGGAGCGGACAGGCTGGTATGAAAAGGCTATGTGGGATACAAACATATGAGTATCATCCACGACAAGTCTCTGCAAATAAATTCAAGCTGTGGAGCAGCACTTCCACATTCCGTAATCCCACTTTGTATACTTCTATCTCTTCTGCCTTTTGCTCAATCGCTCATTCTCTCTCTCTCCTCCGTATCCCACCTCCTGAGAACTGAGAAAAGCTAGACTCACCTTTGGCACTTGACACGCACAAAAAACCATCCCAGAATCTTGCTGGCTCAGCAGCATCACAGACACTTGAGGCAATTTCTCACAGATCTGGTTCACCACCTTCATCAGGATCTGAGGGGGGGTGGGGGGGGGAGGGAGAAAGAGAGGGGAAAAGAGAGAGAAATGGGTAGGGGAGAGGGGGGGGGAAAGAGAGAGAGGGGTAGGAAGAGAGGGGGGGAGAGGAGGGAGGGGGGAGAGGAGAGAGAGGGGGGGTAGAGGAGGGAAGAGAGGGGGGCGAAGAGAGGGGGTAGAGAGAACAAGGCAAAGAGAGGAGAGAGAGAGAGGGGAAAGAGAGGAAGGGGGCAAGAGAGGAGGGGCAGGGGAGAGAAGGGGAGGTGAGAGAGAGAAGGGGTGAGATGAGGGAGGAACAAATAGAGAGCTGACCATGAGAAAGCCTTACAATACAAATTGACATGTATCCAGAGCTTTGCAAGAGCTTTGCCCAGCAGCACATTGAGAAAGAACCAGATGGTGTGGTTCCCTGGCAGGAATGAAGCAATGGACATGGGCCTACTGATAGTCAATGGTTAAAGAGAGTAGGAAATAGCAGGGAGTCACAGAGAGATTAAGTGAGTAGGCGGAACTACGACAGATGGAGATCAACAACAACAAATTACATTTGTATAATGCCTTCCACATTGGGAGGATGTCCCAAGGCGCGGAACAGTCAAGGATCAATGTAGAAAAGTGAGAGTTTAATCACTTTTGAGCTAAGAATGGGAAGCACTGGAGCAGCAGCAGATGAACAAGAATTGGGTATCATATCTATTTTGGAGTTGCAGAAAGCAATCCAGAAAGCTAATTAGAAACTGGGCTTGACACCAGGTGTCAAGAGATACAAAGCCAAGAAAACCGGGAGAGAGTGCAGCCTGGGAGTGATGGATGTGCGGAGTCTGGTGTGGGTAAGATTGCGGGTGGCACACTTTAGGATGAGTTACTGGTTGCCATGTTTCGCCCACAAAATATACAGTCAAATCACTTTACAGTATATTCTGTGAAGCGCTTTGGGACGTCTCGATGACGTGATAATGCGCTACATCAAATGCAAGGATTATTATATATTAGTTGTGGTTTATGGATAGTGGAGCTTGGGAGACCGACTGGCAAAGAGAGCTTTTGAAAAGTCCAAGCAAGCGGTAACAAAGGCATGAATATGGGTATTGATTAGCGTTTGGTGTGAGCTAGGAGCAGAGGCGAGGGAGAATGGAGAGCTGAGGATCAAACATGGGGTGAAGGAGCTATTGAGAGACTGGGGAGAATTGGAGAGGAGGTTACCTAATTGAGGTGTGTAAGATAATGAAGGGAATGGAAAAGGTAGGTAAGAGACGATTCCCTGGTAGAGGAATCCAGTACGAGGGGATATAATCGTAAAGCTACAACTAAGATAGTTATTAATAATTAATTATTACCCCCGGAAAGAGATCCGCCAATCAACTAACAACTGGGTTCCTACTTACTGCTAGGTAAACAGAAGCGTGTGGAGTAAGGAAACTTGCGTAAGGTTTCGCTCTGCCCAGGAATCGAATCTGAATCCTCTCACTTGCGAGGCGAGTGCTTTAACTAATACAATACAGGACTCCACAAGTTGAATAGATTTAGCTATGACGAGAGGCCGGGTAAACAAGGGAAGTGGGAGGAGGAGCTGGGTGCAAAAGAGAAATTTGGGGAAGCAAATCTCATGCAGGGAAAATCGCCACGTGCTGAAGCAAACACCAGCACTGGGAATGCCAGGAATGCTGGAGACTCACCGAGAGGGAATCAACAGGAAAAGCGTCAACAATGAGGGTCCCGACCTCCCCACCTGCTCCCAGAAACACCTGGACTTTTTTAGCTGCCTGAAAAGAGAAAATCTCATCACTGGACACACTGGCACAGGTATCTCTCCCCCTGCCCTGCCCTACACATAAGCCCTGACCACAACCAAGCCCTACCCCAACACACGCCAAAAAAACCCAACAAAATTACATTTGTAAAGTGGTTTTCACGTCGGGAGGACTTCCCAAGGCGCTGAACAGTCGGGGATCAGGACGCGAGCATGGGTGATGAGGGAGGGAGGAGAGGTAGAAAGCTGGCTCCCATAGGTAAAACTTCCAGTGCCCTTTTTTTTGGGTCGATCGGCTTCCATTCAGAACCCCATCCCTGTGCTTAACAGTATCCAAACTCAACTGAAAATTCCATACATCCCACCTATACATGGAAATCCCAGAGATGGATTGTTGGAATGGAACGCGCGCTCTCTCCCTGGAGGGACGCCTCCTGCTCACCTAATTCCGGAAAGTATTAGGCACAGGTTGGGGACCCCAGAGTGTGTGTTGGGGTAATTGCTGGAGTCTATCCAGCTAAAACCCCATAGCTTGTCATTGATATCAAAGCACCTCCTGATCCGAAAACCTAACACTAAAGAATAACACTCCAAATTATTGCTAACCTTAACCAACCCTCTCCCCTGCCATTTTAGACCCATTTTATCCCTTAAAGATTAACGCTACAACTATAGACTAAATCACTAAACCCTAATGTGCTGTGCAAGCTGAATAATCCCCTCCCCAAAGAGAATCCCAAACTCGAATGGGAATTAAAACCCAATTTAAAAATAAACTTTCAATATTAAGAGAAGGATTACGTTCAAGAGCCCAAGATAAATTATTCAGCAAAACTCACATAAGTTGGTACCACAACATTCAATATGACTTACGCGGAGTCTGAGTTGCAGGCAAACTGTAGAAATCGTATAAAATCTGATTTAATCAATAATCTACACTTAATTCATTAAGTGCGCATGTGGTGACGGGTCAAGACTACATTTCCCGTGATTCAGTGTGTCTTGACCTGTCACCGCATGTACACTAGCCAGCAAGAATTAGAATCACATTGAATCGCGGGAAATTAAGTTCTTCTGTACTAATGGCGACGGTTCATTGTGTCTTGACCCGTCACCGCATGTATCATGATCACGTTTCCTGCGATTCAATGCAGCCGGTAAGTGTGGGAGTAATAAGAGGATAGGGGAGCGGAGTTATGAGTTAGAAGGTGTTAATAGGACTAGTCAAATTAAATCTAAGGGGTTTTGATAGGAAAATTAATTGGACTCTGTGAGTATTCGACTTAAACGATGATATGATTTATAAAGATAAGAATTATGTGAATTTTACCGTATACCGACTCCAGCAACAGGAGGTACCAGAAAAACAAGACACATCTAAATGCCAAACCCAAAGTTAAAATCCAACACTAATGCTCCACCCCACAGCCCGTGCTCATGCTCACGTCCCACACCAGCACTGGGGGTTGTGTGTGTGTGTCTGTAGAGGGGTTTAATCTGATGCTGGGTTCAGGGTTGTCGGCTCCTACATACCATCCCCGTCTCCAGCTTCCTTAGTGCTGTGTTCACTCGTCGCTGCAGAGCTTTCAGCTTCGTCTGTAGCTCCCGACGCTGCCACTGCGGCATTACAGCTTCATCCACCGTCTGTGGGGAGGGTGGGGGGGGAAGAGAGAGGGAGGGAGGAAGCAGAAGGAATGGAGGGGAAGAAAAAGAGGGGGGAGAAAAATGGAGGGAGGGGGAGAGGGAGGGAGAGAAAGAGAGGAGGGAGAGTTGAGGGAGGGGGAGAGAGAGAGAGAGAGAGCGAGGGAGGGAGGGGGAGAGAAAGAGAGGAGGGAGACAGTTGAGGAAGAGATAGAGAAGGGGGGGTGGGGGGAGAGAGACAGCGAGAGAGATGGGGAGAGAGAGAGAGGGGAGGGTGTCAGTCAGCGGCATAGAGAAGGGCAAGTGCGAGCTGGCGAGGCAAAGTGTCACAATACATCTTGTGATCTCCCTCCATCTCCCTAATGACATCCCCATTGTTTCTGTTTGCAAGACTTCAGGACCACATTCACACAACCCACACAACAAAGGGCAAGTTTGGTCTTGATCTCAGTCTGGTTTCTGTGACTTACGCCAACCTCCTCTGTTTGGATCTATCATTCAGCAGAATAACATGAATCCACCTCTCCCCCTCCCCACACCTCTTCCCCCCCTCTCCCACCACCTAACCCGGTCATGCACTGCTGACACTGACCTTTGTCATCTGTCCGACTTCCCTGGACATCCTGTGGGAATCTCCCAGAGACGTGGCTCCCGGCTCCGCCCGTACGCAGAGAGACTCCACCTCTTGCTCCAAGACACGTCCCATCTCCCGGGCCTGCACAACAGCATCCAAGGCATGGATACTAATAATATATAATAATCCTTGCATTTGATATAGCGCCTTATCACGTCATTGAGACGTCTCAAAGCGCTTCACACAGAATATACTGTAAAGTTAATCGACTGTGTGTTTTGTGGGCGAACTTGGCAACTAATTGCTCACAATAAAGTCCCACAAACAGTCGTGGATTGAGTGACCAAATTATTATTCTTATTCTTTGGAGGGTTTATTAATACCAGAAAGTGATCCGCCAATCGACTTAACAATCGGGTTCCTACTCATTGCTAGGTAAACAGAGGCGTGTGGAGTAAGGAAACTTACCTAAGGTTTTGCCCTGCCCGGGAGTAGAACCCAGGTTCTCTTGCTTGCGAAGCGAGTGCTCTAACCACACCACCACAGGACTCTCTCTACATTTGGTGTCTGGTTACACACCAGGCACCACACGTCAAACACTGGGGGAGGGGGGTGGGGAGTGACTCTGGACGGCGATCGGGAGTGGGAGATCTGGTGAGTTTCCCCCCTCCACTTTCCCCCTAACCCAGGGGGCACAGAAACCACTTGTAGCTTTCAGTAAGTCAGCGCACACCAGAGATACGAGGTGTCCATACTGACACCGTCGCCCACTGAGCGCAGTGACCTCTCACCTCTCGGGCTTGGTCCCTGGTCACAGCTGTAATCCGGCTGATTCCCTTCACCTGCTGGCGTTCCCACGTGATCACCAGGTCCTGGATCAGCCCCGTCTGGAGCAGGTGACTGTGGAGGGAGAAGAGATGCTATTGAACATCAAGCTCCTGCTCCTCTTCCCCCCTCCCCACCATACTACCCATCCAGGTCAGTTGCAGCACTAGTGTAAAGCTCCATCTGCACCGTCCGTCCTGTAGTAAGATCAGCAGCAGGTCAGGTTGGATATAAAGTGAAGCTGCCTTCTGGTCTCTCTGACCAGGAGCGGAGGAAAAACTTGGATGACTCCCCGTCCCAAACTCATCGACCTAATTCCTCAGCGAACCAGTGTAAGAGAGCATTAGAACAGGGGACATCACACCAGTTCTAGCAAATACTTACGTGCCACAGCACAGCTCCACAGAACCAGACACACCATCGCCAGAGCTCAGCAATCTGTCCACGGCGACTCCTACTGACACCACCCGCACAGGATCTGGGTACAGCTGGGGACATGATAGTGAAGGGGAGAGAGATAGAGACAGTCAATGACCTCAGCAACTCTGGGCAGCTTTCTCCAACCTCATAACCTCCCAACCACGCACAGCCCGCCTCTACCTCCTCCCCAAGATCTACAAACAGGACTGTCCCAGGACACCTATTGTTTCAGCCTGTTCCTGTCCCACCGAACTGATCTCTTCATATCTGGACTCCATTTATACTCCTCTTGTCCATGCCCTACTTATCTACATCAACGACTCTTCTGACGCCCTCCGCCACTTCAACAATTTCCAGATCCCTGGCCTTGATCCTCTCCTATTCACAATGGACGTTCAGTCCCTCTACACCTCCATTTCCACAAGGACAGCGTGCAGGCCCTCCACTTCCACCTCGAACAACGGCCTAACCAGTCTCCGTCCACCACCACACTCCTCTTCCTGGCTGAACTTGTTTTGACATTGAACAACTTCACCTTCAACTCCAACCACTTCCTCCAAATAAAAGGTATCGCCATGGGAATCCACATGGGTCCCAGCTACGTCTGCCTGGTTGTTGGCCACCTGGAACACTCTTTGTTCCGGGCCTACTCAGGTCCACTCCCTGACCTGTTTCTCAGATACACTGACGACTGTGTTGGAGCTATTTCCTGCTCTCGCAGTGAGCTGGAAAAATTCAACAATTTCACTTCCACCTTCCATCCCTCCATAAGATTTAAATGGTCCATCCACGACTCTTCCCTTCCTCTACTTCATCATTTCCATCTCGGGGCATAGATTAGCAACAGATTTCTTTTACAAGCCCACCAACTCCCACACAGTTATCTGAACTACATCTCCACCCACCCCACCTCCTGTAAAGACTCCATTCCCTGTTCCCAGTTCCTCGGCCTCCACTGCATCTGCTCTGACTATGCCACCTTTCATATCAGAGCAGCTGAAATGTCTTCCTTTCTCCTCAACCGAGGATTCCCATCCACTGTGGTAGGCAGGGCCCTTGACCATGCCCACCCTATTTCATGCAACTCTGCCCTCACCTCTTCCCAGAATCGTGATAGGGTCCCCCTAGTCCTCACTTTCCACCCCAGCCTCAACATCCAAAAAATAATTCCGTCATTTCCGGCACCTCCAGCACGATCCAACCACTAATTATATCTTTCCCTCCCCTCTCAGCATTGTGAAGGGACCGTTCCTTCCTGACTCCCTAGTTCATTCCTCCATCCCCACCAACAGTTGCTCTCCTCCCCCCAGCATTTTCTCATGCCAGCCCAGTAGATGCAATACCTGCCCTTTCACTTCCTCCCATACCACTGTCCAAACATGGATTTCAAGTGAGACAGTGATTTATATGTACCACCACCAATGCAGTTTACTGCATTCACTGCTCACATTGTGGTCTCCTCTACATTGGGGAGACGAAACACGAATTGTGTGACCGATTTGCCGAACACCTCCGTACTGTCTGCAAGCACAACCCCGAGCTTCCGGTTTCTTGCCACTTCAACTCTCCCTCCCACTTGTACTCTCCATCCATGGTCTCCTACACTGTTCCAATGAGCCACAGCACAAGCTCGAGGAACAGCACCTCACTTATCTGCAAGCGATCTTACAAATCTCTGGCCTCAATATTGATTTCAACAATTTCAGACCATAACAGTTCACCTTCCCCCTCCCCCTCTTCTATGACCATTACCACATCATCTTGGTCCCAGACACACCTTTTCTCTCCCTGCTCCATCCCGCAGTCCCTCCGCCTCACCCCTTCCCTTGCCTCCTTCAAGAACCATCTCAAGACCCTCCTCTTTGACCGTGCTTTCAATCTCCCTGCTTCACCCCCTGCCCTCCACCCTCCCCGACTCCAACCCCCAACTCAGGTCCGAAACTCGGGTCCGTTTTGTTTTCCTTGGGGCTAAAAGCTGGTTTCATGATGACGGCTTGGCAATTGAATCAAGTCAGCCCTGTATGAGAGTCTCTGGTCCAGTTTCTGAGCCAGCCTAGCCTGCAATACTCCAGGGCACTGATGGCAGCATAGCAGCCTGGCTCATTGGCAGGACTTGGAAGGGCAGACAGGTCACTGGGAACAGGATTCTTAGCAACATAGGAACAGGAGTAGGCCATCCAGCCCCTTCAGCTTGTTCCACCATTCTATTAGATCATTGCTGATCTGTACTTCAACTTCATTTGCCTGCCTTTGCCCCATATCGCTAGATACCCTGACCTAACAAATGTCAGTATTGAAAATTTGAATGGAACCAGCAATCCACAACCTTTTGGGGAAGAGAGTTCCAGATTTCCACTATCTTTTGTGTGAAAAAGTGCTTCCTAATTTCAATCCTAAACAGCCTAACTCTAATTTTAAGATTACTGCCCCTTGTTCTGGATTCCCCACCAGAGGAAATAATTTCTCTGTAGCTACCGTATTTAATCCCTTTAGTATTTCAAACACCTCAATCAGATCATCCCTCATGGTTTTAAACTTCCCACTTAGCTCCTGTTAAGCCTGCAAGCCACAGTCCTAACGGGTAGGGTGGAAGCTGGAAAAGCAGCAGGAAAGCCTGCCAGGCATCACCAGTCACCGTTACCTCGTGTCCTGCCCTCAGTCCTGGGATCCGGGCCGTCTGACCCAAAGGAACCACCGCGATGTGCACTTCCTCGTTCCTCTCAACCAATTCTTGCGCGATCCTCTCCACTTCCTGCAGCTGCTGTGTAGTGACTGGAGCCTGACACAGAGAGAGACAGAGAGAGTAAGAGGCAGACCAGGTTAATACCAATTCTTGTCTTCGATAGAGTTAATAGTGAAAAGTCTTATAGAATGATTTACAGAGAATTACTGACAAGTGCAGTGACTGAATTTGTCGCAAACAAAGCAGCCAACGTGAGCACAGCACACGGCCAAGAGGTGGATCGACCAATTTATCTGGGGGATTGTTGGACAGGAAACTGAGAGAAACTCCCTTCTCTTTTCTAATAATATTGCGGGATCTTTAATAATAATAATAATCCTTGCATTTGTTACAGCGTCTTATCACATAGTTGAGATGACTCAAAGTATTTCACAGGATATACTGTAAAGTGCAGTGTATTTTGTGGGCAAAACACGGCAGTCAATTGAGCAAACCAATGTCCCAATGAGTGAGTGACCGATTTTATTTTATTTATGTGAGCTCAGACCCACTATGGGGTTTGGTGTAACCAAAGGGCTGGAACAGGGACTGAGTGTATCGTGACACTCCCTCCCCCACTTCAACACCGCCCCCCCCCCCCACCCCCCGTCCCACACACACATATACCTAGGTCAACCTCTTACCTTGACGCTGAAATCGAAACGCAGACGCTCAGCAGTGACGTCGGACCCCCGCTGCTCTGTGTGGACCCCCAGCACCAGGCGAAGGGCGTAGTTTAGCAGGTGAGTGGCTGTGTGATGCACCATACAGCCCACACGGTGGCTCTGAGGGACGGAATTCACCAAACACAATGCCATTTACAGCTCAGGACAGGAGTGAGAGCATCACTCTCAGTACACCAGAGACAGAACAGAATGTGGGCAAGGGGGGCAAATGGAGAGCGCGTTTATGGTTCGGGGTGGGGAGGGTGGGGCGAAGAGAGTTCATTACAGGACTGAGGAGGGAGCTTGTTACAAGATTGGGGGATGGATAGAGCTCATTGCAAGATGGAGGGAGAGGGCACATTACAAGACAAAGGGATACAGCCCTTTACAAGACTGGGGGAGAGAGATCATGTGGCAAGAGCAAGGGAGAGCAAGAGCACGTTCCGAGATTGGGGAGGGTTGGGGAGGGGGAGATGACACATGAAGAATACCGGTAAAATGATTACCTCATCCACATAGAGGCTGACTTTCTCACCCACACGAAGGGTAACCAAGGCCGTGACCTGGTGAGCCACGTACCCAGCCCACATCTGTACATCCTCCACAGGGAGCAGCGAGTCCTGCAGAGATACCCCTGATCATAGTGTAAGTAATTCCTTCCCCATTCTCTCTCCCAATCCTCTCCCAAGCTCCCCTAGACCCCGCCTCCCACCCCCAACCAGCCTTCGGTGGGTGGGTGGGTGGGTGAGTGAGTGGTTGAGTTGGTGAATGAATGAGTGAATTGGTTGGTGAGTGAGTGAGTGAGTGGGTGGGTGGGTCAGTGGGTGGGTGAATGAGTGGTGAGTGAGAGGGTGGGTGGGTGAGTGAGAGCCCTGGGGTCAGAGATAAGGCTTCTGAACAAACCTGGTGTTGATCTGGAACGAGATAGCCCCGGTCCGGGCTCTGCCCTCCCTGCTCCGGGTAGAAGTTGGTTCGGTCCAGAATGACACTGCAACAGTGCCCTTCCCCCACCTCCTGTACCAGGGACTGGTCCACACACAGCGCCAGGACCTGGGCTCGAGACGGCTCAAAAACTGAAACAGAGAAAGAGCAAGAGAGAGCGTTAACATTAATACTTGCAATGACTCTCGCATTTTCATTGTGCCTTATCACATTGAAATAATAATAATACTTCCATTTGATATAGGGCCTTATCACATCGATGAGACGTCTCAAAGCGCTTCACAGAACATACTGTAAAGTGATTTTGCCAACTGACGAACAACCGTGTTCCTGCTTACTGCTAGGGAAACAGAGGCGGGTGGAGTAAGGAAACTTGCGTAAGGTAGGGAATCTTAAAAGTCTAGCGCAAGATGGACCAATGTGGGCATCTCAGGCCTCAAAATTCCGAGCAAAAGAAGCCTTTACCGTAATTCCCGTTGCTACCGAGGGTGTAGGAATATTTCGGAGTGTCGTCAGTGGTGGGAACGCCGTTCCGCTGGAGCTCGGCGATGGCGTGAACACTCAGCCGGCCCGTGACCTCCGACCCTGGCTGTCTGGACTGGCTCTTGCGCTGGGAGACACGCAACACACAGGAAACAGTTACACGTGTGAGAGCTGGGGCGGGGAGGTGGGGGGCATGATTGCGGAGAGAATGCTGTATTCCCTTGAGTTTAGTTTAAAATGATAAAGGGATTTGGCAGGATAGATTGGGTGTCCAAATTGGCTCCAGTGTTTGACTTACAAAAAAAAAGTGCAGTGGCTATGTATTTTGCACACAGCAAAATCCCACAATCAGCCATGAAGCGAATGACTAAATGATCAGTGCTTCACCAGCACTGTATCGGAGCGTCAGCCTAGACTGTGAGCTCAAAGTCCCAACATGAGGCTTTGAACCTATGTCTAATGCAGCCTTTATGTAGCCTTGGTCAGACCCCATTTGGAGTACTGCGTTCAGCTTTGGGCACTGCACCTCAGGAAAAATATATTGACCCTGGACGAGTTATAGCACAGATTCACCAGAATTATACCAGGGCTTAAAGGGTTAAATTATGAGGCCAGGTCGCATAACCATGGCTTGAATTCCCTTGAGTTTGGAAGGTTGAGGGATGATCTAATTGAGGTGTTTAAAATAATAAAGGGATTCAAATAGGGTAGCTGCAGAAACTACTTTATGTAGTGGGAAATCCTGAACATGGGGCATAATCTCAAAATTAGAGCGAGGCCGTTTAGGAGTGAAATCAGGAAACATTTTTCACACAAAGAGTAATGGAAATCTGGAACTCTCTCCCAGATTCGGGATCAATTCAAATTTTCCTGAATGAGGTGTATAGATATTTGTTAGGTCAGGGTATCAAGGGATATGAGGCAAAGGTAGGTAAATGGAGTTGAGGTACAGATCAACCATGATTGGCAGAATAGGCTTGACAGGCTGAATGGCTTGCTCATATGTATAACGTGTGCAGTGATAACAAAGCCAGACTGCCTCTCACCTCGGTCTCCTCTCTCTCGCGCTGCTCCAGACCCGCTGAGTCTAACCTCACCCCGCGCTCCTCCAACATTACTGAGATCAGGTCGAGGGGGAAGCCCAGGTTCTGGTACAGCGACCAGGCCACGTCCACTGTAACCACAGAAACCATCCACTGTAAATATGTCCGAACGAGAGATTGAGAGAGACACAGACACAGGCAAAACTAGAGAGGGCGCAAGAGAACGAGAGGGAGAGAGAGGGGAGGAGAGGGGAAGAGAGAGCGAGAGAGGGAGGGGGAGAGAGAACGAGAGGGAGGGATAGAGAATGACAGAGACGCAGAGACAGAAGGACCCAGGCTACAGGGGGAGGAATCAGTCAGGGTTACTGCCGATGATCAGCATGCAGGCACCCCAAACAGGAAGGTGCGTTTGCTGTGGTTGGGATGACGGCTACATGGTTGAATCCTCTGCCGACAGACACCCTGGGGGCTCAAATGCTCCCGAGGGACCGTCCCACCACCCCCCCAACCCCACAACAGGCAGACACATTACCTGGGAATGTCTGCGCTCCTGACGATCGCTCCAAAGTCCTGTTGATGATCCTCCGACCTCGGACCAGTGAGGACATGAAAGCCTCCTCATTCTCATTGATCACGTCCATGATCTGGAGCGAGAGTGTGAGAGATACACACACACAGAGTGAGAGACAGAGAACATAGGAATTTGCTAATTGAAAGAAGATTAAGGTCCAACCTATTCACCTTCCAGCATCCTGGCAGTCGCATGACAGGTCGTGTAGCAAACTATATATTGTGTCCTGAGGTATTATAATAATTATATTCTAATAATAATTAGTATCATTCGGGATACAGTATATATAGAGGTGGAACATAGCGACAGAAGAGTGAATCGGGAGCACTCACAGCCCCCAACCTCATCCAGGCTTGTCTCAACAGAGTGATATGGGAATTAGGATTAAAAAAAGATAAGAGGAGTCTCACCTGAGTCACATCCCTTGTCAGCTCTGGGTAGACATCGCCCTGTGGGGAACCAGAGCAGTGAGTCAGACACATGCACGAACACAAACACACAGAGCGCAGAGGGACACACCACACAGTGCGTATTTTAGATGAGATGTTAAACCGAGATCCCATCTGCCTGTTAGGGAGGACGTTAAATATCCCATGTCACTCTCCCGGTGACCTGGCCAACAATCCCCCTAATAATATTGGTCAGTGACTCCCCTGACTATTTGTAGCACATTGCAGTGTTCAAATGGCATGTTTGGCCTCAAAATACACAGTCACTTCATTTCACAGTATATTGTGTGAAGCTCTTTGAGCCGTCCTGCCGACGTGACAAGGCGCTGTATCAAATACAAGGATAATTATTCAGTTGTAGTGTTAGAGTTCACAAGATTCTTCAGTTGTATCACAGTCCCCTCTTTCTCACTTCCCGCTCCACACACTGCACACAGTCACACAGAGAGAAGAAAATCGGGATTTGCATCACTGTAGTTTGCTGGGCTGGCAAGCGGCAGATGCAGTTTAACATTGAAACGAATGTAAAACAATAAACGTCAGAGTGCGTGTCATTCTATGGGCTCCAAATAACCAACCAACCAATGCTCCTCACCAAAGTCTCCACCACGGTCGGCACCAAACTGGCGAGGAGCCCCGGGGGTGCGTGAAGCACCTCTGAGGAAAACCGCACCGCTCTTCGCAGGATCCTCCGCAGCACCAGCCTGCAGTAAGAGAGGACGTTACTCACAGCAATGTGTGATCTGATCCTGCCACTCAATCACCTCCACCACCCACCCATCCACCAAAATCTCCCTTCCCGAGGCCGATAGTAATAATAATAATCTTTGCATTTGATAGAGCACCTTATCGAACCACCAATCGACTAACAACCTACTTATTGTTAGGTGAACAGAGGTGTGTGGAGTAAGGAAACTTGCCTAAGGTTTTGTTCCGATCAGGAATCGAGCCCAGATCCTCTCGCTTGCGAGGCGAGCGCGTTAACCACTACGCTACACGACTCTGATCACCACAACTCTACGCCTCTCACAGATCACACACACCGTAATGACTCAGAAAGCCATAGGAGCTGCTCACTATCTGCGCACTGAGCTGGGGAAAGCCCCGCGCTGTCCCTTTAAGACGTTATCCGAGGCTGGTGACTCACTGGGGGCCGGTCATGCCCGGGAGGATGCCGTCAGCGATGCAGACAGCGAGGGCGCGAGCGTGATCGGCCAGAACACGGTACGCCATATCCACAGATTCGGTGTCAGCTGCTCCCACCAAACCCCGATAACACCGTGCTCCCGAGCCCTGGAGAGTGAGAGAGAGAGAGTTACTGATCATCACGTCACCACAACCCATCTCTCACTCTCATCACCCGTCCCTCTCCTCTTCCCTTCCCTCTCGCTTCATAGAATCATAGAATCCTACAGCACAGAAGGAGGCCATTTGGCCCACCGTATCTGTGCTGGCCCTTTGAAAGAGCTCCCCAATTAGTCCCATTCCCCCGCTCTTTCCCCACAGCCTTTGCAAATATTCCCTTTTCAAGTAAATATTCAATTCCCTTTTGAAAGTTATTCACAAATATGCTTCCAAGTTTGGGCTTTAGTGCCCACACAGATCCCCACCCCACACAAGACCCACCCCCACCAGACCCCACCCATCCCCACACCCCCACAACCCAGTTCATCTCTTACCATGCGAATGGCGTCCAGGAGGGGAGTGAAATGATCTGTATCATAATTGGAGCGTTTCCCTTGGAGCACGGCTGTCAGTCGCTCCAGCCCCAGCCCAGTGTCAACGCTGCGGCGCGGCAGAGGGCGAAGGTTCCCATCAGCCTCCCTGCACAGAGCAACACAACAGTGAGTGTTCCTGTCCGTCCAGCGCTTCCAGGTCAACTACTGCACAGGTTAGACTCAGAGTAAAGCTCCCTCTACACTGCCCGTCCAGCACTTCCAGGCCAGCTATTGCATAGCAAAAGCAGTCATGACAATAATTACCTGTGAAGCACTTTGAGACACTGATAAAGCACTATATAAAAACTTCCATCTGCCTTTACATTGTGCGTGCGACACCATGGACACTTCTAGAACTTCCAGAAAACAAGTCAGTCAACGCCCCACCGCAGGGTTAAGAGCCAGCATGGTAACAATAATAAGTGACAATAATCCTTGCATTTGATATAGCACTTTATCATGTCTTTGAGACGTCTCAAAGTGCTTCACAGAATGTACTGTAAAGTGAATTGGCTGTATATTTTGTAGGCAAAAAGTGGCAGCCAGTTGTGCACAGCAGTGTCCCACAAACAGTCATGGATTGAGTTACCAATTTTGTTTTGAAGGGATTATCATCTCCGGAAAGCAATCCGCCAATCAACTAACAACCCTGTTCCTACTTACTGCTAGGTAAACAGAGTTGTGTGGAGTAAGGAAACAAACAAATAATATTTCTACAGCGCCTTTCACGTTCGAAGGACGTCCTAAGGCACTGATTAGAAGGATCACGAAGATCCTTCACTGCCCCCCCAATCCGCACCTGTTGTACTCCATGAAGACCAGGTTCCAGATCTCCAACACTTCGGGATCCGCTGCGTTGACCTGGGCGGAGGCATCTCTGCCCCGCACATGGTCGTAGTGTATCTCAGTGCATGGCCCACATGGGCCCGTCTCCCCCATCTCCCAGAAATTGTCCCCGAGTCCAAACGGGAGAAGCCGCCCAGGAGAGACGCTGAGAGAGAGAAAGAGAGAAAGTTAAAGAGAAAAGGCAACAGTGAGAAAGAAGAAGGTTGAGACACATTCTGAAGGCAAGTTTCCTTGGACTCGGGGCAAAGAGAATAGAGGTGCAGCAAGGTTAGGTTCTGGATAGGATGTCCATCCTTGAGATAATACCATACATTCAGGATTGTTTTCTGGTTACACTTTTGAGTGCATTTTCCTGACAAGGACATGTTTATTTATCAACAAAACCAGATGGTAAGATCACGTGCAACTTACCCAGGAATAAACTTACCCTACCCACTGTCCTCCTGAGATTGAATGGGCAGGGGTTTGTCCATGGGATTTCGTACAGGGTGTCCACAAAGTCTTGTTACTACAATGATTCTTTTTTTTACTACTGTGCACTGACCAACAACTCAAATGTGGAAGAATGATGCAAATTGTACAGTATTTAGAAGTACTTTTTTGCATTCAGTACAAGTGTTTAACTATATTTAGATGTCCAGAGGATAGGTGTGTATGAGCGCCATCATTTTCATGGCAGATAATGATCGGTCACTATGTTCGGCGCCACATTTTTCATAACATGATGGGAGTGACAAGGCAAAATGTAACTCTGACTTGTTTCAGCTCCTCTGTAGTCTTGCATGGTTGTTTTGCAACAGGAGGAGTAACATGACTTTGTGAATAGTCTGTACAATAGGAGTGAATGGGGAGAGGGTAGAACCATTGGGATTGTATTAGAAGGGATTGAGTCCATTTGCACCTCTCCTATCCCCACTCTGTCCATGGTTATGGGCCTCTCACCCGATGCTGCGCCAGATCTCCCGGGTCTCCTCGTCAGGGCTCAGCCTCAATGCTGCATCTCCTCCAAAGTAGGTCACGTAGAGCTGGTCCTCGGGGATTCCATACACTTGCGTCAGGAGTTCCCAGGCCATGCTGCACGCTTCCTCCTAACACGGAACCAGAGGAAAGCAGAGCAATAAGTACATGACAATACAGGCATGAGAGGAGGCCGACTCGATTGGACTTTTCCTATTGGAGCAGAGAAGATTAAGAGGGAATATAATAAAGGTGTTTAAGGTACAGAACAGGCACGACTTTTTTGGGGGCAGCCAGGTATCTTTAACATGGTGATGGGTTTCTGCGTATATCAGAATATACACATCAAACTGAGAATTCCATGCATCCCACCTACATACGGAAATTCCAGAGATGTTTATTTGAATGCAATGTGCACTCTCTCCCTGGAGGGGAGCATCCTGCTTACCTAGTTCCAGAGAGTTTTAGGCACAGGTTAGCAGGAATCGAGGCCTGGGGAGCTCAGAGTGAGTGTGCGACGGGTAACAAACTAAAGCCATATAGCTTGCCATTGATATCGCTGTCTGGAATGCCAAGACTACCGAGACCGCCACAGAGAGTTCAACTCCAAGGAGATCCCGCTTACCTCCCCCACCCCCTCCCCTCAACCCCACAAAGGAGGATAGTCACTAGTTGGTCATTTGACATCCGACAAGTGCGGGTTTAAGCCTTCACTAGGTGGATGGTAGGTAGGGTAAATGGCTTACAATAATTCCCTTTAGTTGGGGAAATGCGTGACAAGGGGTCCCAGTGTCAGGATTGTGGTCAGGAGAAGCAGGGCAAGAGTTTAGAAGGAATTTCTTCACTCAGGGGGTGTTACCAAGTGGAATTCATTTCAAGTGTCCAACGAGGCTGGATGAATAGAACCGCTTAAAGGGAAGTGGATAGACAGTAAACCATTAAGGGATCTCATGAGGGCAAAGAGCTGGAAAGTGGGATCAACAATAAAGGGTGATATTACTGGTAGCAATGGCGCCTTGGGACGTCCTCCCAATGTGAAAGCTGCTTTACAAATGTAATTTTGTTGTTGTTGTTGTAGATTGCAATGTGGCACCACAGGAAATCAATCTGGCATATAATAGTGCCACCTAGAGGCGGGATAACAGTTCTGCAATAACGCGAGCAATTTAAAACAGCGGGACATAATAACGATAATAATAATCTTTACATTTGATTTAGTGCCTTATCGCATCTTTGAAAAGTCTCAAAGCGCTTCAGAGAATTTATTGCAAAGTGGATTGAGAATTTGTGAGTGAATCATGCCAGTCATTCCTGTGGGAGGAATCCCTGCCCCCAGTGACTGGTCTGCCCTCTAGCTATTTAATCCCAGAATCTTTCAGCGAGCCATGTTGTGCAACGCGCTTCCTTACCTTGAAATAATCGCCGAAGGACCAACTGCCCAGCATCTCGAAGAAGGTGTGGTGGTATAAGTCTCGGCCCACATCCTCGAGGTCATTGTGCTTCCCTCCCGCTCGCAGGCACTTCTGACTGTTCACCACCCGCTTGTACCCGGCCATTTCACTCCGAGGGTCCACAGTCCCCAGCAGGAGAGGTTTGAACTGCAGAGAGTGATGAAGGGGGAAGCAGGGATGGCATCACACAGCAAGTCAGAGGGAAAAACACGATAGAAACAGTCATTTCGCAAGGATCCGAGTCTTTGTGCTGTGGTTAGCGTGCTCGCCTCTCAAGTGAGAGGATCTGAGCAGGTTGAAACCTTAGGCAACTTTCCTTACTCGACACGCCTCTGTTTATCTAGCAGTAAGCAGGAACCCGTTTGTTAGTCGATTGGTGGATCGCTTTCTGGGGGTAATAATCCCTCCAAAATTTTTCTTAAAAAAATTCGGTCACGTAATCCACGACTGTTTGTGCACAAGTGGCTGCCCAATTTCGGCCACAAAATACACAGTCAATCTACTTTACAATTATATTCTGTGGAGTGCTTTGAGACATCTCAACGACTTGATAAGGGGCTATATCAAATACAAAATTATTATATTATTGAACCGCATATTAAGTTATTTATCGAAATTAACTATATTAATTCACGTCCTCCCGACGTGAAAGGCGCTCTATAAATGTAATTTTGTTGTTGTTACATTAATTCATGATGCATATGAAAAGTTTTCATGCATTAATATCTAGTCACACGATGGAAACCCAACACCACGCTTAAGCCCTTAAACTCAATCAAGAGACCGCATCCCCACCCTCCCTGTCAATCCTCCCACTCGTCTCCCACATCCCCACCCTCCCTGTCAATCCTCCCCCTCGTCTCCCACATCCCCACCCTCCCTGTCAATCCTCCCCCTCGTCTCCCACATCCCCACCTCCCTGTCAATCCTCCCACTCGTCTCCCACATACCCACCCTCCCTGTCAATCCTCCCACTCGTCTCCCACATCCCCACCCTCCGTCAATCTTCCCCCTCGTCTCCCACATTCTGTCACCAACTATCCCCTACGCATCGGCCTACAAAATATACGCTCCCTCTCAATAAAACACTCACCATTCAAGTCCTCACTGTTTACGAAAAATCAACATCCTTGCCCTCACCGAAACCTGGGTCACTCCAGGCAACACCTTCCCCGATAGAGGCCATATCACCCGGCTACATCTCCCATCAAACCCCACGACCGCTGTGGTGCCGATGTGGCTTTCATCACCTGATCCCCGCTCAGCATATCCCTTTACTCCCCCGGAACCTTCCCCTACTTTTGAGCACCTTACCCTTCATCACTCCTCCAACCTTGCCCTCAAATATCTTGTTATCTGTTGCCCCCTCTCCCCAGCCCTCCCCCACCTCCCTGCGTCATCTCCACCCTCCTATCTTCCCTCTCCCTCTGCTCCGAACGCCTCCTCATCCTAGGCAACTTCAACCTTCACTTCACCCCCTCCTGCTCTACCTCTGCTGACTTCTCCTCCATCCACCTCTCACATCCCCGGTCACCCCCCCGAACTGGCGATCACCTGAGGACTCACCATCTCCTACAATGCGATCTCAGACCATCACTTCATCTCCCTTAACTCCTCCACCATCCAACCCACCTACTGCCCTGGAAAAAAAATCTCCCCCCCACCCTCCCTCTTTGCTGCCTTGAAGTCATCTGAACTCCTCCCCCTCTGGGCTTCCTCCCACAATAATCTATCCTCCTCAGTCACTCTCCTCCACAACTCCCTCTCCACCACTATCTATGCCCTTGCTCCCCTCACTTCCTGAACCATCTCCTACTCACGAAAGTCACCCTGATACACTAGCCACCTCCGCTCCCTTAAAGCACAGGTGTCTGCCGCTGAATGCACTTGGCTCAAATCCAACTTAACGGTCCATCGGCAGATCTGGCTGGACCTCATCAAAACTTACTGCTCCACCCTCGCCTCTGCTAAATCATCTTTCTACTCCAAGACAATCTTGGAGGCCAAGGACAACCCCAGGCTCCTCTTCTCCATCACCAACCGGCTCCTACATCCACCCTCTCACTCTTCGCTCATTCTCTCCTCCAACACCAACTGCGAGGCGATGCTGGACTTCCTTGAAACCAAAGTTGAGTTGCACTCAGCTGCCTCTGCCTTTCCGCCTACAAAACCCTCGCCATCTGCCCCTACACATCTCTCCCTCTACACCTTCGAACCTGTCTCCCACTCCTCTCTCACCACCGCTATAACCCACATAAAGCCGACCACCTTCTTCCTCGACCCCATGCTTTCTCCTCTCCTTGCCTCCCAGCTCCACTTCCTTGCCCCTCTACTCACAGACATTATAAACCTCTCCCTGTCTACTGGCAACGTTCCCACCCCTTTAAAAATGGCCATCATCACTCCTATTCTTAAAAAAACCCTCCCTGGACCAATTCCTGCCCTCAAACTATCGCTCCATCTCCAACCTCCCTTTTTCCTTTCCAAGGTCCTGGGACGAATTATTGCTTCCCAGCTTCGCTCCTTCCTCTCCCGCCACTCCCTTCACAAACCCCTCCAATCTAGTTTCCGTGCTGCCCACAGCACAGAAACAGCTTTGGTCAAAGTGACAAATGACATTTTGTCTATCTGTGACCAGGGCTCCCTCTGCCTCATTGTCCTCCTTGACCTCTCTACTGCCTTCAAAACCATTGACCACTCTGTCCTCCTCCAACGCCTCTCCTTTCACCTCAACAGTTCTGTTCTTGAATGGTTCAGATCCTATCTCTCACAACGTCTCCACTTCATCTCCACAGCCCCCACATCATCTCGTGCAGCATTCCTCAGGGCTCTGTCCTTGGTCCCCTCCTCTTCAACATCTATATGCTCCCTCTTGGTGACATCATCTGCAGACGTGGGGTCAACTTCTACATATATACGGATGATGCCCAACTATCTCTCTTCCTTCACCCTCGACTCCAGGACCACTGCTGTCACGACAGAATGTCTGTCAGACATCCAAGTCCTGGATTAGAGCTAACTTTCTTTAGTTGACGTCAACAAGACCGAGGCTCTCCTGATTGGCTCCCATCAGCGCCTCCACAACTCAGGCGCTGACAGCATCACCATCCAAGGATGCACATTCCATCCTACTAAGCCAGTCCGGCACCTTGGCGTCTTGTTTGACCCTCAACTATCCTTTCTACCCCACATTTGCGCCATGACCCGCTCTGGCTTCTCCCACCTCCGCAACATCGCCCGGCTCAGCCACTGTCTCACATTGCAGGCCACCGAAACCCTCATACACGCATTCTTAACATCAAGGCTTGACTATGCAAACTCCCTGCTTGTCAGCCTTTCCAATTTCTCCCGCCATAGGATGCAGGTCATCCAGAAATCTGCAGCCCGTGTCCTCTCCCGCACTAGGCTCTGTGACCCTATCACCCCCATCCTCGCCCGACTCCATTGGCTTCCCATCACACAGAGGATACAGTTCAAGATCCTGGTCCTCACCTTCAAAGCCCTCCATGACCTTGCTCCCCCCCTACCTCAGCGACCTCCTAATCACCTACCAACCTGTCCATTCCTTCCTCCCGACATGAAAGGCGCTATACAAATGTAATTTTGTTGTCGTTGTTGACATATGCATGCTTTCCCTTTGTCAGATTTGGAGTGCCCACACGCTCCCCTGAGCGACATGTTGTTCCTAATCCCAGCAACATTAGGTGCACATCGCCCGAAAGCCATCTATCTCTTGGGGACCCCAGAATGTGCTTTTGGGTACATCTTGGAATTTAACCAGTGAGCACAGCTCGCTATCGTGAGAACCGTCCGGCAAACCATCCGCTGCTTGTCCTGCTAATCAGTCTGTCATCAATAGCGTCTTGAAGTACTGCGGACCTGCCGAGCTCAGAAATGGAGTCCTGTAGCTCAGCGGTTAGAGCACTCGCTTTGCAAGTGAGAGACCTGAGTTCAATTCCAGGCTGAGCGAAACCTTGGGCAAGTTTCCTTACTCCACACAGAGCCTAATAATAATCCCTCCAAAACCAAAAACAATAATAAATTGGTCATTTTCAATCCACGACTGTTTGTGGGACATTGCTGTGCGCCATTGGCTGCCGCGTTCGCCCACAAATATACAGTCAATTCACTTTACAGTGTGTTCTGTGAAGCGCTTTGGGACGTCCTCCCCCGACATGAAAAGCGCTATATCAAATGCGAGGATTATTATTATTATTATTATAAATTGGACTGTTCTGTCTCAGCACCTGACAGGGCATCATCACAATGCTAATACTTTATCGCCAAACAGGTCACCCCGGGGAGGTGTGTAGCCCAAGGTTTCGCTCTTGACCGGGAATCAAACCTCTCGCTTGTTGTCAGGAGAGCGCTCCAACCGTTACACTGCAGGACTCCAGATGTTCTATCACACCCCCCAATGTATTATGATTTTTAACTCATAGGGGGGAGTTATTGCGCATCACTGCGGCTGTTTGCGGTGTAAGGCCGTGTGTGTGCGTTCAGCTCCCCTCTCGACTCTCTTCCCCCTCCTCTCTCCCTCCCTTCCCTCCCCTCACCCTGACCATTTCCCCCCTCCTCGCTCCCTCCCTTCCCTCCCCTCACCCTGACCATTTCCCCCTCCTCTCTCCCTCCCTCCCTTCCCTCACCCTGACCATTTCCCCCCTCCTCCTCCCTCCCTCCCCTCCCCTCACCCTGACCATTTCCCCCTCCTCGCTCCCTCCCTCCCCTCACCCTGACCATTTCCCCCCTCCTCCTCCCTTCCCTCACCCTGACCATTTCCCCCTCCTCGCTCCCTCCCTTCCCTCCCCTGACCATTTCCCCCTCCTCGCTCCCTCCCTTCCCTCCCCTCACCCTGACCATTTCCCCCCTGCTCGGGTCCTGACCCAACTGTGCAGCGCCTTGGGACGTCCTCCCGACGTGAAAGGCGCTTTATAAATGGAATCTTGTTGTTGTTGTTGTGTGTGTTGGCTTCGCTGCCGCCTCTCTGCTCACCTGGTTCATGCCCGCGTTCACAAACAGGAGGCTGGGGTCGGCCCTGGGGGTGACAGGGCTGGACGCCACCTCCCGGTGCCCGTGTTTCTCCCTGAAGTACCTCACGAAAGTGTCGCGGACGCTGTTGGCGGAGGCCGTCCCGCGGGCCGAGGCTGAGAAGCCACGGCGGGAGGTGGGCCGGGGCCGGGCCCGGGCCCGGGGCCGCAGCAGAGCCGCCGCCAGCATCAGCCGCCGCCGAGCGGGCGCCGCCATCTTTGATCCTGGCAAACTTGGCGAGTCGGAGACCAAGGAGCTGCGTGTGGGGGGGACAAGAGGCTCCCTTCCTCGCTCCAGACCTCCAAGCCAGCAACAGCCCTCCCCCGCCGCCCCCTCCTCCACCTCACACCCCCAACGATAACATTCCCACAACAAGAGACGTAATCAGCTTCAAACACTCAAAAACTAAAATATTCGCGGCGAAGCGCAGTGACTGTGTATCTCCAGAGGTGCACCTGCATTGGAATGGGCGAGAAAGCCGCGGGGGGGGGGAAAAGAAAAAAAAAATCATTTTAAAAGGAAAGAAAAAGTTGAATTCGACTCCATTTCAACGGCTTTTCTCTCCGCTTTTGATCTGAGCTTTTGACCAGAGTCGCTCCCGGGAACCGCGGGCGACTCCGCCCGGAGCGGTTTCGGTGTGACTCCCGGGGTCCGGGCAGGTCACGTGCGGGTTGGTGTGGGGGGGGGGGGGAGGAGGAGGGGGGGTGGCGGTGTCACACCCTCTGCGGTCCCCCAGCGCCAGGGGCGGAAGTGAAGATGGAGGCGTTGATCTTCATCTTCTCGCTGGTTGACTGCTGCGCCTTGATTTTTCTGGCAGTTTATTTCGTATCCTTCACGCTCAGCAGCGGTGGTCTCAGAGGGAGAGAGAGAGAGAGAGAGAGAGAGAAAGAGAAAGAAAGAAAGAAAGAAGAGAAAGAGAGAGAGAGAGAGAGAGAGTGCAAGCAGAGAGGGAGGGAGGGGAGGGAGTGTGTAATGCAGAGAGGAGGGAGTGTTCCAGAGAATGCAAAGAGCAATTGAAAGAGCCGCAAAGATCGAGGCTCTCAAAGTCCGGGTCCAAGTCCGCGTACGAGGACTTGAACCCCGAGAACGTCGCAGCAAAATAGGTAGAGTCCTGCAGAGTGGTGCTTTGAGCACTCGCTTCGCAAGCGAAAGGTCCCGGGTGCGATTCCAAGGCGGGATGAAAACTTAAGTCAGTTTCCTTACTCCACACGCCTCTGTTTATTTAGCAGTAAGTAGGAACCCGGTTGTTAGTCCATCGGTGGATTACTTTCCGGGGTGATAATCCCTCAAAAAAAAATTGGATTACTCAATCCACGACTGTTTGTGGGACACGGCTGTGCACAGTTGGCTGCCGCGTTTAACCCACAAAACACAGTCAATCCACGTGACAGTAGATTCTGTGAAGCCCTGTGAGACGTCTCAATGACGTGATAAGGCGCTATATCTAATGCAAGACTTATTATTCAATCTGCTGGTTTTCAACAATAAATTACATTTGTATTGCGGCTTGCTCGTTGGGACGTCCAAAGGTGCTGATGTCACAAGGCGCTGAAAGCTATTTACGCCCAGTAGGACAAGATGACTGTTGAAGGCTGCCTGTCTTCTTAGAGGTTTTGGCTCAACATAATGTCTCCTTGACTTGTGGCCCAGATAATAACACTGTCAGACTTGGAATGCGATTACATCAATGCAAGAGCATGCTGCTCCAAACTGAACAAGGTAAGGGACCAGTATTTGAAGATGATGTGAAGTCCTGTAGCGTATTGGTTAGTGCGTTCACCTCGCAAGCGAGAGGACCTGAGTTTGATTCCCGGGCAGGGCGAAACCTTAGGCAAGTATGCTTCCTCCACATGCCTCTGTTTCTCTTCAACCGTGCCTTCACCTCCCCTCTCGACTCTCTAACCCCTCCTCGCTCCCTCCCTCCCCTCACCCTGACCATTTCCCCCCTGCTCGGGTCCCGACCCAACTGTCCAGCGCCTTGGGACTTCCTCCCAACGTGAAAGGCGCTCTATAAATGCAATCTTGTTGTTGTTGTTGTTGTAGTAAGTAGGAACTCGGTTGTTAAGTCAAGAGCCTTGGGAAGACCTCCCGATGTGAAAGGAGCTATACAAATATAATTTTGTATTGTATTGTAAATCGATATGCAGATTGCTTTCCGTGGGCAATAATCCACAAAAAAAAACATACCAGACTGGGAGGTCCACATATGTATTCAACCTATACATGGAAATTCCTCTGTGCTGGAATAGATATGCACTCTCGCTGGAGGGATGCACCCTGCTTTACCTCATTCCAGTTTATAGTAAATTTCCTACTGCTTGTCCTGCTAGGGCCACCCTACACATAAGGCTTGCAGGGTTAACAGTAGCTGAATGGGAGGATTCCCTGAACTCAGTCACTCATCTGCCCTTCCAGGTCCTGCCGATGAGCCAGGCTGGCTGTGCTGTCATCAGCAGTGACCTGGAATACTGCGGACCCGTCTGGCTCAGGAACTGGCCTAGAGACCCTCACAGAGGGTCTTCACTCCACTTTTGACATTCCATTGCCTAGCATGTCACCTTGGTGCCAGCTCAGCTACATGCTAACCACCAAAAAAGGGGGGAGATAAATGTGAGAAATGTTTATCATAAAATATTGTATGTTTCTGCTTGAAGACTTCCAGTGTCGGCATTCAATACCTCCAGCTTCTCCTACCCCGGCCTGGGTCAGAACAACAACAACAATTTACATTTATATAGGGCCTTTCACATTGGGAGGACATCCCAAAATGCTGGACAGTCAGGGATTTGGACCCCAGTTGGGGTTGGGATCAGGAGGGATGGAGGGCGGGGAGGATAAGGGTAGGAGGGTGACCGAAGGCAGGTTGAAGAGTAGGGTCTTGAGGACTACTGAGACTGCCACAGAGTATTGACTGGACTCTGCCATCAGCACAACTCCAGGGCAATGCAGGTGACAGGCAGTATGCAAGTTATTGGTGACCATCGTCATGTTTTTCCACAGTGGGTGCTGCCTGAGCTCGTCGGCCTGGGAATTGTAACTGCACTGATGCTCATCTCCATGCACTGGTTCATCTTCCTTCTTAATCTTCCGGTTGCTGCCTGGAATTTGTACAGGTGAGGATGCATCATGCGTGCAATAGAAATTATTTAATCTTAATTTTATTTAATTTTTATTTTATTAAAATTATTACATTTTAGACAATTAAATATCTCCCGCAGCACTATTTGAAAAGAGAAGAGAGTTTCTCTCTCTCTCTCCCGGTGTCCTAGCCGACAGTCCCCCAAATAAAATTGTTCGCTCGCTCCATGATTGTTTGTGGGACGTCGCTGTGCTAAGTGCCTACCACGTTTCACACACAAAACACATAGTCACTACACTTTACAGTAAATCCTGTGAAGCGCTTTGAGACGTCTCAACAATGTGATAAGGCAAATCAAATGCAAGGATTATTATTATTAAACTAGGAAGTGATAATTTTGAAATACTAGAGGGAGCCCTACCATAAATTCAAATCAACAGCCCATACTCTATTGTTCCAACATGGGTCAATTATATGATGCTTTCACTTCAACATCAGTGGCTGACGTTTCTCCTACTTATCTGATTCCTGGGCGGGGTGAAACTTCAGGCAAGTTTCGTTACGCCATAAGCCTCTTTTTACTTAGCAGTAAGTAGGAACTCAGTTGTTAGTCGATTGGCGAATCACTTTCTGGGGTTAATCTTAAAAAAAAATGTGGTCATTCAATCCACAAAACTATTTGGGACACTGCAGTGCACAATTGGTTGCCACGTTTTGCTCACAAAATATACAGTGAATCCACTTTGAGGTATACTTTGTGAAGTGCTTTGAGACGTCTCAACGATGTGATAAGGCGCTATATCAAATGCAAGAATTATTATTATTCCTTCCTGTGTTGGGCAGGTTCATAATCATCCCCTACAGGAACATTGTGGTTTTCAACCCAACTGGATCCACCTTGTCTCCTGGAACTCCATTCCAAAACCTAATCACCAGAGCACTATTGAGGGAAGCACTGCATTGTCAGTGCTGTTGTCCCCATTAAAGGCCTTAAGACATTAACTCAATTTCTTTGCAGGTTCGTGACCATCCCCTGCGGAAACATGGGGGTTTTCGACCCAACTGAGATCCACAACAGGGGACAGCTCAAAACCCACATGAAGGAGGCCATGGTGAAATTGGGCTTTCACTTACTCTGCTTCTTCATTTACCTGTACAGGTGAGAGGCAGCAGCCCAGGGAGCTCGAACTGAGCAAGAGAAATATTATGCCTTCAGTCACCCTCCTACCCTCCCTCCTGATCCCAAACCCTAGCTCGGGTCCAAATCCCTGACTGTCCAGTGCCTTGGGACGTCCTCTCGAAGTGAAAAGCGCTATACAAATGTAATTTGTTGTTGTTGAGAGAGTTTTACCTGAGGGTGGTGAGCTTTACAACCGAGTCCTGGTACTGAGGGTGGTGTAACGGGTTAGAGTTTAGTTGGTGCTACAGTAAAACTCAAATAAGTCGTATCAGTTGGGACCATAACATTTAATATGACTTACGCGAAGTACCAACTACAGGCAAACTGTAAAAGTCGTAGAAAATGTCATTTAATTAGTAATCTAAACTGCGTAGAAAATAAGTGCATACACGGTGACCGGTCAAGACTACATTTCCTGCTGCTCAATGCGTCTTGACTAGTCAGCACATGTGCACTTAACGGCAAGTGTCGCTCTCGCATTGAGTCACGAGAAGTAAAGTTCATCTGTGCACGTGGCTACGGATCAAGGCCTTGTTTCCAGTGAGTAAGTGCAGCCGGTAAGTGTGGGTGTAATGGAGCGTAGGGGAGCGGCGTTATGAATTAGAAGGTGATTAATACAAGCAGTGTAAAGAAAGCTTAAGTGGTTTTGATAGGAAAGTGAATGAGACTCGGTGAACGTACAACTTAAGTGATTATATGATTTATAAAGAAAGATAAGACTTGTGCAACTTTTACTGTATATCATTGAACAAAATTATGAGGAGTTTGATAAGGTAAATGGGGAGAAACTATTTGTATTGGTTGATAAGTCAGGAAATGGATTGATTTAAGATCACCAAAATAACAAAAGGGAGTGGATAAGAGGATTTTTTCCACACAGCGCTATTAGGACATGGGACGTCTGACCAGAAATGCTGGTTGAAGCAGAATCAAGATTAGATTTTAAAAGGAAAATATAGAAAAGGCTGCGTCACCACATGGACAGCTTTTAGAGCTTTCAATGTGAAACGAGTTCTGCATGCGATGAAATCTTTTTTCACATTGGCCTACACGGGGAACTTTTCCTGTGTCTGGATTGGAAGATGTGCTCCCTGGAGGGCTGCACTCTGTGCTTACCTCTTATCAGGCACAGGTTGGCGAGAGCCCAGGTTCGGGGACCCCAAGGTCTGCTTTGGGGGTAACTGGGTGTATAACCAGCTAAAATTGCATAAGTTACCATTGATATCACTGTCTGGCAAGCTTTCCCACTGCTTGCCCAGCTAAGACCACACTACCCATTGGAGCTTTGGCTTGGAACGTTAATGATCTGAGTGGGTAGAGTCCATGTTCTGAGTGACCAGTGTGGCTCAGGAACTGGACAACCAAGACCACTACAGAGTGTTGACTCAATTCAGATATTCCATTGCCAAGCACCTCACTGTGGAGCCAGCTAAGCACCAAGGGGATGTCACTTACCATCACCCCTCCTCCTGAAAGGAGAAGTCAGTGGTCATTTGACATCCAACAAGCACAGGTTTCAGACCTCACCAGGTGGATAGTAGGAGCCAGGAAGTCCCTGCAAAGCTTTTGTGGTGAGCAGCACAGCTCAGCATGAAATATGTGAAGGGTCTTCCTTAAGAACACTGCATTGGGTGATTACAGATAAGATCGTAAAAAAATATTGGCTGCCATGTTTCGCTAACAAAATATACAGTCAATCCACTTTACAATAGATTCTGTGAAGTGCTTTGTGATGTCTCAATGACATGAAATGCAAGGAATATTATTATAAGAGGTAAAAGGTTCAGCTTGTGGATGGATGAGAAGTGGTCTGAGTGCATTTCATCTCTTTCTCTGCAGTATGATTCTAGCTTTAATCAACGACTGAGACATTCCTGGTCGGCGACTCCTCCAGATCCTCAGGGATTCCCGTCAGGACAGTCCCGCCCACTCCGTTGAATTCCATTGGAAAATGACTTCTCAAGGAGACAAGTAAAAAAGGCATCATGCAGTTTATTTTTTTTGCACCAGAGTCGAAATGTTTTTTGCATTATTTTTTAGCAATAAAAGTTGGTGTTTAAAATATAAACCATTCTTGTTGACGAATCAGGAGAGTGAACTGGGATTCAGATGTTAGCATGAGGTGGTACCAATGTTTGTTTCTGGCTGTGCCAGGGAGGATGTTACTGGTTCATAAACAACTTGCATTTATGTAGTACTCTTCATGTGTGGTAGCATCTCAAAGTATTAATAAGTGGCGGAGCCTGACGCTGAGCTGGGGGTAGGTGACCATAAGCACGGTCGAAGAGGAAGGTCTTCAGTCGTGATCTAAAAGAGGGGAAGGCAGAGGGATTGAGGGTACATTTTCCAGGGGTGGCAAGTGAGTTTGGTGGCAAGGGGTCGGTGTGGTGTGGGAGAAAAAGGAAATAAAGTGATCTAACACTGACAGAGAATGGGGAGGTTATGTGTTGAAAGGAATTAATGAAAAGGCAGAATAATCTGAGATCAAGTGTTTTATTGAATTTTAAGAAACACGGGTACAAATTATCCTTAAATTTTCTTCTTTGTGAAGCATCACATGCATCGCAGTGATGTGGAGTTAATTGGATTTTCTTAAACCTAATATGGCAGGAACAGAAATATCCGAAGCAGATAACACTTCAAACTTTTTTTTTTCTTTTCGAAAGATACGAAATGCTCTACAGTTTATATAAAATAATATGGTTTAAATTTAGCAAAACAAAAAGGTAAAAATAAATATGGGGAAAAGGTGGTGGAAAAAACATCATTATTTAATGTAACGATGAAGAAATACTTATTTTAAAAAGTTCTTTTTAAAAAAAAAGTTTGAAGACAAAATAAACACAGAATGCGAACAGGACAACATGTGTGGAGAGAAAACCTTTTTGAACATTTAATATCAGCCATATAAATACCAAAAGCTCTAAGACTAGCTCCATCACTGCTGTGCACAAGTCAAGACAGCACAGAAATCTGCTGCAGCTTAAATAAATGGGACCAACCTTTGACTAGGCTCAATACTTAGAATAATTTATCAAAATTACGTGCAGTGAATAGAACGAGAAATTAAATGCAATGTTGTTTAGGGAACCCGAGACTAAATGGACTTAAGAACACTTAACCCCAGGGGGCATGAGCAAAGTTAGAAGCGGTGGATCACAAAACCGCGAACTTTGGAAATGAGGGAGCTTAATCTAAACTCACATACTGAGCAACTTGGGAGCCAATTTGGGAGTAGGGAGCAAATTCAACAAATTGGACAATTCTCTCAATTCAGTTAGGGTAGACTTTAAAAAAAAATTGAACCACAATGGTCTTTTATAGTCCTGTAATGTCTTCCTAATGATTCTCTGATGGCACAAAAATAGTTCATGACATACTGATCTGCAACAATGGAAAAACACACTGCTCACCGCCTTGACAGTTTTAATCTTTCCTCAGCACTAAACTTCTTTTAGGTCTTTTTAAATCCAAATCACTTGATTGTGTGATTTATATATTCATATCTAACGTACGGCAAGTTCAAACAGGATTCCTGATGTAAGAAATCTTAGTGAAGGACTCCCTAGTCTCAGGTAATACTTGCACTTGATATAGCACCTTTCACGTTGAGAGATCTCTAAAGGGTTTCACAGGATTTATCCTAAAGTGTAGTTCCTGTATATTTAGCAATGAACCAATTAGTACACAATGTCCCACATAGAACCATGAAATAAGTGTATGACTGATTTTATCTGGATGATTGTTGGTCAGGACACCAGAATAAACTCTTTTCATCAACAACGTGCATTTATATAGCACCCTCCACGCCAGGTGGCGTCCCAGAGCACTTGACCATGTCGGAGCCCAATGCTGAGCCAGGGGGAGGGGGAAGGTGACCATAGGCACAGTCGAAGAGGAATGTCTTCAGGCGCAACCTGAAAATGGGGAAAGAGAGGGCAAGGGGAAGCGATTGAGGGAGGGAGTTCCATAGATTTGGGGCGTAGTGGCTGAAGGCACGACCGCTGATGGTGGAATGGAGGATTCAAGGGACAAGGAGGAGGCTGGAGCCAGTAGAGCAGAGGCAGCGGGTAGTGCTGCAAGGAGAGAGGAGGTTTTCAAATCATGCCATGGGATCAGGGTAAAGTAGACCTGAACAGGCAGGTGGGAACTCGGTTTTAACATCTCATCCGAAGGACGGCATCTTTGACAATGTAGCCGAGAGTGCTACCAACTGAACCATGCTGATTGACACACAGCCAAGCTCTGAAAGTAGATCGGAAACAGAATGCTCATAAGTTAGCCTGACACATTTCCGTTTTCCTTATTAAGAAATCATCAGATATTAGTTCCAATTGTAAAGTTCTAAGCCTTACAATGCATGATTTTCTTTGTCATGACTTGATCTTTGTGCTCAAAAGTGGGCTCAGTGATCCTTGTAATGGAAAAGATGCCAATTTTAGAATCCTGTTCTCCCAAGCCACATATGGCTCACATTAAGTACAGAGAAAACTACACAAGCTACTGTACCCAGGTGAGCATTCCCCTATATCAGCCTCCCTTGTGACTGGGTTACAGACAGTTAGTTATCTACTGTGCATTTCATACATCACCTATATCATTTGAAATATATAAAAATGTTTCACAAGGAATTGCTTGGGACATCCTCCTGATATGAAAGGCACTATACAAATGTATTTTTGTTGTTATTAAAAAGTAGCAAGTATATCCATAACTGTTTGTGGAACACTGCTGTGTGCAATTGGCTGCCGCGTTTAGCCCACAAAATATACAGTCAATTCTCTTTACAGAATATTCTGTGAAGTGCTTTGAGACATCTCGAAGGCATGATCAAGTGCTATACCAAATGCAAGGATTATTGTTATTAATGAATGGGGCCAGGAGGCGAGAATACATCTCCTTTCAACAGGAGTGTAAAGATCATGCTGTGATCATTGCCGATCCAGTCTCCAGGATATATATGCATTCTAGCATCCCAGGATAATGTTTCACCAATACCTTATCCAAAATGTCTGGTCTATAGATTAAACATTGTTAATTCAATGACTAATGTAACTGTTTTATAGAGCACTGACCTTGAATTACAAGTCAAGTGATAGCTTTCTATCCACTAGGAAATGCAACATTAACCAAGCGATAAATCCGTACTGGCTCCGTACTCGAGGAGTTAAGTGTAGAACCTCGATATGTTGTTTTACTAAACTCTCCTTCAAACTATTTTTCCTGGCTCTGGATAATAATAATCCTTGTGTTTGATAGAGCACCTTTTCACATCGTTGAGATGTCTCGAAGCACTTCACGGAATATACTGTATATCTTGTGGGCGAAACCCAGCAGCCAATTGCGCACAGCAGTGTCCCACAAACAGTCATGGAGAGTGGCCAATTTTTTTTTGTGTGGAATTATTACCCCCAGTTTGCGACCCACCAATTGACTAATAACCATGTTTCTACTTTCCTAACATTTCACCCTGCATGGGAATTGAACCTGGGTCATTTCACTTGCGATGCAAGTGCTCTAACCACGAAACTACAGGACTCCACTTGTTTTTCTCAAACCCCACATCGCCTGCCTCAGTCAGTGTACCTCATCCGCAACACAGCTGAGACCCTCACCCTAGCCTTTTGTTAACTCCAGATTTGACTTCTCCAACGAGTTGCCAGCCTCCCCAGTTCTACTCTCCACAAGCTCCAGATCATCCAGCATGTCACAGCTTCTCTCGCAAACCAAAATACCCAAGCTCACCACTCCAGTCCTCACCCAGCTCCATACACTCCTGATCTCCCAGTCGACCAACTTTAAGATCCTTATATTCAAATGATTCATGGACTCCCTCTGCACAACTACGAAATCTTCTACATTCCTACTTCCCTCCCAGCGTCTTCTCTCATTAAACTGACTTTTTCCATTTCCTCTACTTTTCAACCCACTTTTCCTGGATGAGCCTTCAACCATTTTGCCCCCATTTTCTGGAACTCTTCCAAAATTAATCCATTTTATCTCACTCAGTTTTCAAAACTCACCTAAAAATCTCTCCAACTGTGCCACCTCCTCCATACCCCACTCCCACTCATACTTTGTGAAGCACTTTAAGATGGTCCCCCACATGAAAGATGCTATATACAAATGTAAGTGTGAAAAAAATAACTTCTTTACTAACAAAGTCCTTGAAAGGGTCAAGAATCCCATCCTGTTTAATAATCCTTGTATTGGATATTGTGCCTTATCACTTCATCAATTTTGTTGGCCAGAATACCAGGAGAAACTCTCTTCTCGAATAGTGCCAATGGATGTTTAACGTCCACCTGAACAGGCAGACGGGACCCCGGTTTAACGTCTCACCCAAAGGACGTCACCTCCGACAATGCAACACACTTCCAGCACTGCATTGGAGTGTCCCAGGAACAAGAGTAGGCCATTCACCCCGTCCAGCGTGTTCCGACTTAGAGACTATGTGATTCCAAGTCCTGATGTGGGGCTTGAATCCACAACCTTCTGACTCAGGGAGAGCACCACCACTGACCCAGGAGGACTATCATTACATCAAATGACTTCCATTATCAACACCTAGCTAATTTCCTCATTCTGTAGCAAAGGTGTGTGTCCTGGAAATATCAATCGGAGAGAGCTTTAATAAAACACAGTAAAATGTTAAATCTCCTAATCCACAAAAATATTGTCATGCAGCACATCAAGAAGACATTCCCTTCTCTTTGCCAGTAGTTTTACCAGATCTTTAACATCCACCCGAACAAGCATACAAGACTCTTGTTTAAAAGTCTCTTCCAAAAGACACCTGACAATTTAGGCCATAGATTGTGAGCTCAAGGTTCCCAACCTCAAAGCACACACATCTTCTGACCCAGCAATGAGAATGCTACTGACTGAGCCAAGCTAACAGTCACACAATAAGATATTCAGTTTTGCAAAATCACGGGCGTACCAATTATGCGTACAGGGTTAGGCTCAAAAAAGCTACTGCTGAAGAGCTATGCAATCATATTATCCAAACATATTACATTTACAGCAAAACCTTGGGAGTCTTAAATCAAGTGCTGGCTTATGAATGAATGGTTGGCAAAGTGAGATTTGACCCACTTTGGAAGTGATTTCAAAGAATTCAAATGGTCTTTGAGCAATCTTCCAGATGAATGCTCTCAACAGGAATTTGAACAAAAAGGAGGAAAGTACAGCAACGATTGTAACTACACGGCTGGCAGAATACTGCATTGACTTATTCCTGATGCAAAACAATCATAAGTCAGGACACTTCCATATTTGATTCGTGTACTGAATCAATCTTGTGTAATACTGCTTATGTGCCAGACGAAAACAAGAGCCTGAGAAGTTAAACGTCTGGATACCAGCCTATCTGTGTGTCTTTTTCCAGTGTTTGTCATTATCAGAGGCATCAAAATCCTTTGTCATGATCAAAGTATAAGCACCAGACATGATTTGCAAAAAAAAATAATTTTCAGCTGAGCAGTGACACAGAACTGGAGATCAGATACTAGCCAATGTAAATCTCAAAAGCACGTGAATAATAATCCTTGCATTTGATATAATAGCTTTTTATGTTGCTGAGACATCTCAAAGCGCTTCACAGAATATACTGCAAAGCAAATTAGCTTAATATTTTGTGGGTGAAACATGAAGATGGGCACTTGTGAAAGGGACGATAAGGATGGGGTTCTGCCAAAGTCTTAATTTGACAAAGTTCTGTTTGGGGAGGGAGACAAACTGTCCTTCAAATCACATGCAACCTACTAGATTAAAATCACCATGGCAGATGGGAAAATTCCAACAGCTTTGCTGAAGTGACAGTGGTTTTTTTATATAAAAAAGGAGCAGCTTTTACAACTGAGAGTAAGCAAGAGTATAATCAAAATGCATGGTTATAAAAAGGTGCAACAGCTCAGCCCAAGTTTTATCCACACAAATAGAATAGAGCTGACCACCCAGCAAACAGATACTACCTTTTATAAAAATGAAATGGCAGATTTTGGCAGAAAGCAATTATTGCTTGGTTGGACAATATCAAAGTTAGACAAGGTTTCAAGGGAAATGTGATGCTTTGTGGTCAGGGATGATAAACTGCTTTTTTACAGGTATTCCATCCCCTTAGGGATGAATTGGAACAAAACTTGGAAATGTTAGAAAATTGCTGTAACAATATTTTTAAACTAATAATTCCTACTGTCTAACAGCAGTTTATTGAATGATTGTATGCCATAGCATGTGTGTATAGCGTCACTCCTGGTAGTGCACACGTGTGCCCTGATCTAAAAGTTTCAACATAGGGTTAAACATTTTAATCCTTACCCCGAATGCCACAGGCTTTACAGCCTTTACTCTGTTAAACAGGCCAATCTGCTCTCCTCCTACAGTGCTGTGTTATCAGATCTGGGTGTGGAACCAGAATTCATCTGCGCGGTTGACTAGTTTGGTGGTATTATTTGTGGGTATCGTATAACGTCAAACCTCAGTTTCTTTTTTTTACAAAAACAATAAACAGTCAATATGCCTGTTCTATCCAATTCAGTTGATTATATATCAAATGCATCTATTCAGCTTCAATTGTATATATCTTCCTCAGAAACCTGAGCAATTTAAACACAGTAACTGAAAACGCACGAGCCTAGGTCATATATATGTATTATATATAGATATAAAAATAAAACCAGAGAAATCAAAAACACAGCAACAATAACTACAAAATCCACCCCAAATACTATTTTTCCTCAGGCAAACACAAACTTGTTTTTTGTTAATTATGTCCAATATTGTACACAGTAAGGTATGAAACCACACTGAGCTAAATCCTGCTTTTAGTTGTAGCTAAATATCAACTGAGCTCCAAGTCTTAGGAAAAATTCAGCATTACATTCATGGAGTATACATGCATGTGTCAAGAGGTGAATTCCCATCCCCTCACCCATAGAGACATCTCTGAAGTTGGCTTCTTACTGAGTAAAAACAGCAGCTGGTATCCTGCTGATCAGCAGTTGAAAGCCATGACCAGTCAGTTGCAAATCCAATATCACAGACATCGGCATTGAGGAAGCATCAGGTATGATGGAGACAATGGGGAAGTACGTCAGGTATCATTCAGTGTGATAAACATTGAATGTACTGCTAAACTGACAGATTATATTGCAAGTGGGTGACATGAAAGTGTTTTGCATGATATTAATGAAGACTTGGGCAGATTCAGGTCTCTTTTAGAGTGAACCATCAGTCAATCTAACAAACTGGATTCAGTAAGGTGGAAATGCCCAATCATCTGAACACCATACTTTGGAAATTAGACACAGAAGAATGCCAGTTGGCCCTCAAGCTCGTTCCACCAAAAAAAGTACCACAACCGTAATTATTTGTACCCTGAATACAATTAGGGATTTGACAAAAAGTTTTAAAAATCTTTGTGGAGATTTCACACAAGACTCGTACATTACAGAAAGGGGTAATGGGCATCCTGTACAATGGTGAGTGATGAGATACTGGGTTAGGTGTTGGACCAAACAGTTGGAAAGTGCAAACCTGTATACTGGAGAAAGAATCTAGACACTCTGAATTGTTGGTAAACTGTTTAAAGGAAGTGGAATCCTTTAAGTCCCCCTATCTAACCAAAGCATGCCTTTAATGTAGGAATCTTATCTTCTTCCCAAATGGTGAGTTTAAAGGTGTAATGGAACTGAAATGGTCCACAACTGATCCGGAATGCTTATCCACTAGGTGGTTTAACATATTGTAGCTAGCCTCGGTACACATTACTGTTGTAGCTACTCCAGTTATATTAAAGTATCGGCATACTAATTAATTGGTATCTGCATGCCAATGAATTGGTATACCAAAGCATTGGTATACATAGTGTCTGGAAAAGATTATGCTGAATGTGCTTTAATGAAAGCGGAGCTACAGTACATCAATGAGTTTATCAGCTCCCAGAGTGAATTCAGTTAGGCAGGGTTTGGTTGGTTTTGTAGTTTTTGCACCATTGGTTTTGAGTGGATTGTATTGCAAATGAGCAATTCGATTGCAGCCAAAATTGTAAATCTTCAATCTGTAAAATAATCTCAGGCTACCTTGTAAAGTTTCTTGGCAACAAATAGTCTTCTGCCCAAGACTGATTTACAGACTCTACAATAGAACTGCACTTTAAACTAATGGGGTCCAACTCACACCCATCTCTGCAAAGTGAAATCTTATTTTATTTCTTGCCTTCAAAGTGCAGACAGGTATTTTCCAAAGAAAACAAACCTGAATCTGGAGGAAAATTTAATCAGTCTTAATCCTAATTGCATTTTACATAAAAAATAAACTGTGGACTCTAAAGAATGTACAATAAAATTGCTGAAGTACAAAATGTTTTGATTGATCGGTTAGCTAATTGATCAATCCGGTAGCAGGCTGTTTTTCTGGGTTTATCCGTACAGGTCAAATACTAGTCATGTCACTGAATAAGATATCAACAACACTGCTGCACCCTTTCTCCTGCCCCTTAGACCCGTGCACATCAGCTTTCCACGCTCCCTCATTCCCACTGCATCGGTAACGAAAAATTGTGTGCATGTCCATGTGCACTCGCATATGCGGGGGGGGGGGGGGGGGGGAGAAAGAAAAGAAAAGGTGCGCGTGTATGTAAAGTGTTTGTGTACATTTGGGAATGAGGCAAATGAAAGATACATGTGTAGAAGAGATTGTGTGTGACTGTATACGTTTTGTGTGTGTGTGTGGGGGGGTGGGGTGGGGGGGGGCAGTGAGAGAGACAGATCTATTGCAGGAAGAATGTGAATAGATTGGCCCATTCAGTAACCAAGAAATCTGTAAGAGTCTCACTGCAAATGAATACCTTGCAAGTGTTTAACTGAGGAGCAAAATAGAAAAGGGCAAACATAGCAGACATAATCTATTGCACTAGTCGAGGCCCATTATAGGTTTCTTTATTAAACATTTATATTTTCTCTCTCTCTCTCTCTCATCCTACCCCCCACTCCCCACCAATTTCTGAGGAGCATTCTGCAGATACAAGGGCAGGCAGTGAGTCATCTGCTTCCTTTATTTTGCTAACCTGGAATCCAGGAACCTAGCATGTTCACATATCCTCTCCCAAACCTTTGACCATGGGAGAGAAAAACAACAGGCCTCCAGTTAGCACCGTCCTCAACCAAAGTGAATTAACATGTCAAATTGGGTGGGTGGGGTCTAAGGGGATGGAAATCCTGACATAGATCAGCACACTGGCACGGCATTTAGCTTGGAACAGGCTTTCTAAAGACTGAAACTTCACATCACAGGTCTTAGCAAAGGGATATGAGCACTTTCCCTAGCAGTGTTGTAGTCGCTTACAGTGTCCAGATTGTTTTCAAGTTTCTTAATGCTAGTTATGTGGCGTTTCCCATTGAAGTTGAATTTTTTTTTGAAGTTTCACTGCCAGGATACGATTCAGAATAATGAAATGAATTACCATAAAACAAACGAAGACCATGATGACAGAACAAGTGCCAGTAAATAAGATTAAAATGATTAAGCTGAAAAAGAATGAAATGTTAAACATGAACTACTTTCTCTCTCTCTTCCAAAAACACAAAACAAAGTCCTCAGGGCAGCAGGCCCTGAAGTGAAGTCCATGAACTGAGCTGTAGTTTTTTTTCCACTAATTCAGGCTAACAGATTTAAAAGAAAAGAAAATAATCCATTTACTGCATGTGAGCTCCAGACTAAAGCATTTCTCACCCTAGCAAAGCCATCTAAATGTGTTAGACTCCAAACAAGCACTTAAAACTCCAGGGTATAGAACGGAAAGACTGCCAGACCCAAGCCACAGAAGGCAGGGAAAACTCTCGAGTTCGATGAAGTCTCAGTGGAACAAAGTTCCTCACGACCAATGGGCAGAATTCAAAATGGCATCCAACTGAGGCCTAAAGACATTGTTGCTTCTGGACTTGTAACTATGTAGCAAGATGGTAGGATGCTGGTACCAGTTTAGAGGCACCGGGAATGAAACCTTCACAACAACCATCTCTGTCCAGTGATCGACCACAGTTGGTTTGTGCCAACGATCACGTTGTTTGTTCGGTGACTATTTTCATTTTGAAGCAGTTTTCTGGTAAGTCACCGTCAACTATCCATGCTGCTGCAAGCTTCTGTAAACGATAAAAAAAAATCCTTCATTTGGTACATAGCATCTTAAAAGCACTTCACATAACTGCCAAATGTAACGAGTGAATTTGTAAGCAAGCATGGTAGTCAATTTGAGCACAGCAAGGTCTCACAGTCACGAGGTCCCTTCCCTCCCCCTGACCATTTCCCCCCTGCTCGGGTCATGACCCAACTGTGCAGCGCCTTGGGACGTCCTCCTGACGTGAAAGGCGCTCTATAAATGGAATCTTGTTGTTGTTGTTGTTGTTGAGGTGAATCACCAATTTGTCTGGAAGTCTGTAGGTCAGGACACATTGGGAGAAGCTCCCCTCTCTTTGAATAGGTACATGGGTCATCTGTTTAACATTTGAAGGATAGCATCTTCAATAATGCAGAACCCCCAGTAATGTGCTGGAGAATCAGCCTGAACTGTAAACTCAAGTTGTGACATGGGGCTTGAATCCACAAATATCTGACCTGGAGATGAAAGTGCTACCAACTGAGACAAGGTTGCCTTCGTTTTTGGCTTATTAAAATTATTAGTTGATCATTGCTCCCAAGAGGCAAAGATAGATTATAAACCAGAGTAAAGAATGAAAGTCACCTTCAGACTCCTGGCTGTCTACAAAAGGCGCTGGTCCCCATATCCGGACAGTACCATCATCGGAAGCGCTAGCCATCATGGACGGGATTTGAGGGTTCCAGCTCACACAGTTTACAGTACGAGTGTGTCCTGTTAACTCTGCTATCGGCAGCTCACTCCGCTTGTGCCAAATATAAACCTTGTGATCTGCAAAAGAGTTTTTTTCCCCCCCAAGAACAAAATGACAGTATGTACAACCAAACACACAATCTGACAGAATCCACAATGTGGTCAAAATTCCACAAATCATTGAAAAGTTTATGAAATAACATCCACCAGTGGTCTCTGCTGACCCCCTTGCCAGCTTTTCAGTGACTTTGAATATAGGCAGGCAACATATCCAAGGGCTCTACCAATACTATAGTGCCATAATTTCCTAGGATCTGAAGTAGGAGTGCGACTCTGGTGACTTGCCTCCAAACTCCTCTCTTGTTGGGGAAGAATTAAAACAGGACAGACAAAAACAAAATAGTGAGAAAGTGGGAAACTGGTAGACCGGGGTCAATGAACAGATTCTTCACATTCTCTTATGTTTTTTTGTATACTGCCTCCATGCTTTCTACCCTGCCTGGACTGCCACCAACACCCCACTCCTCTGATGATGCCTCTGACTTACACTGTGCTGCTAGGCTGCCTTGCCTCTACATTTCCTACACTGCTCCTACCCTTGCTCCACATCTCCTACAATGCTCCTACCCCACAGAGTTGTACGACAATGCACACTTATTCTCTCAATAATAATGAAATGAATACTTGTAAATGAAGAGTAATAATCATTGACTAGAAGCTGGAAAATACTTCCCCACAGACAGCTACATGCTGAAGACTTCTTTAGGGCTCACAGCACCAGGATTTTATAGTCAAAAGATTCCACACCCTCTTTAAACCTTTTTCGATCAAGCCTATGGTCACCACCCCTCCCCGACATCCAACCCCACTACCATGAAGCGCTCAGAGAGGTTATCCTACATGAAGGGCAGTATATGAAGGGCATGTTGTTAATGGTGCTGAGAAATAGCAGGAACAAGGGGAAAATGTCCGAGGGAAGAGTATTTTATACATTTAATGGTGGTGATCTGTTCAATATGGCATTGGGAAAGGCCGTGAGCAAATCGTGTGCTTTTTATGTGGGTCCATGTATTTTCATACTACTGATAATCCTTGCATTTGAGATGTCTCAAATAACTGTAAAGTGCAATGCAACACTCCTGCTGCTTGCACTGTATTGTCAGCTTAGTCTATGAGCTCAAAATCCTGACATGGTACCTGAACCCACAACCTTTCGACTCAGAGGCAAGAGCACTTCAAAAATGATCACGCCAATGCATGATTTTGTTAACACAGAAACAGTACAATGCATAGAAAGTTTAGTGTTGATATGAAATTCTCTCCAGTGATCTCACTTAGGAAATTGCAATGTTCATCAATAAAACTAAATTGTGAGCCAAAATCTGGGGATTTTAACGGTGTCCCGAATGCAAAGCTCCCCATCAATTCATGATATAACCCATGCCAGTGCCTCTTACCTTCACTACCACTGGCTATAAAGTCTTCGTTATTGCCTCCAAAACATGAATGAATGGTGTAAAATCCTTGAGTGACACCTTGATACTTCCGCACCAAAACACGGTCCTGCAAGTCCCATAAATGAACTCCCTGTAAACAAATCGCACATGTGTCATAAGCCTTCACAACACTTTCTTCATTGTTCTGCACAAAACAATTCAAAATAACAATCCTTATCATTATAGCACTTTATCACACTGAAACATCAGACAATTACTGTCTAAGAAAGTGACAGTAGGCAGTCATAGTAGCCATGAAGTTTCAAAAAAAATCTGTTAGCCAAGATGTAAACTCAAATCAAGAAATACGGAATACAATAAAATCTCACCTGTCCTACCCTTTATACCATGTAAAGAACTTATTGAGTTCCCTTAAATAATTGAGCACTTCGAGATGCTACCCTGCTATTTGATTGCAAGTTATTGTACAACTATCTCAACCAATGAGCAGATAATTACAATGGAGGTTTACAGCTGGTGATCGATTAGTTTTACCAAGCAGGTTAGAATGGTTTAGTAATTAATGGTAGTTAGTAAGTATCACAAACTTGCCTCAATGTTTGGTATTTGATGTGCTTAATTGCATAGTTGGGAGCTTGATGTTCTTGCTCTCCTGAGGTAGGAAATACGACCTACCTGTAAAATCATTTTGTTTCTTTGAATCAGTGTGTAGTTTGGGACATAACATGTCAAGCGACTGTCAGGATGGTGGAAGGCAAACTAGATGGACTTTGGTCTTCTTTCCTCTAGCAAAATCCTTAAGTTATGTTTCAATTTAAAATCACTCAAATGTGTAAAATGTGTAAATGCAGTCTTAATTTGGAAGCCAGTTCCTTTTTAAGAACTGCAAAAAAAAAACGTCCAAATTAAGGCTAGATTTAATACATTTTTCACAATTCTGTGTAATCGTAGCCTACAGGTCCAGTTTTCCTCAGAGTTTTTAAGACTAGGTAGAATTTCAGGGCTCAGGAGGGATACAATTCCCCCCCTAAGTGGGACAGCAAATGACAACTATTTGACATTGGATTCATGACAGCTGAGATGCATACTTTCCTAACCCAATTTCCCTTGGGAGTTTTTTTAAAAAAAAATTAATTGCAACTGTCCCAATCGAGATCAGCACAGCCTGGGAACTGGAACATCTTCTTCAGTCTCAGTGTCACCATGCAGTGCATCTATTTTCTCCCCCAATTACTTCTAACAATCAAGTTAGGTTGTATAGCACAACTCAACAGGAGGCAAAATCCTCATATTGGGAAGTGCCAAAATCTTATGGAGAAGACAGATTAGATTTTAACTGATAGATGATACTCTACATACCTGAGTTGCTACATTTAACAAAGCTAGCCTTCCATTCTTCGAAACTGTAAAGGACATTATAGGATGATCTTCTTGCACTCTGCAATGTAAAACAAAACAAGTACAGCATTTTAACACAGACAAATATTTTAGTCAAGCCAGAGTCGAGGCTTGAAGAAACACTCCCCAAAGGTCAGCATTTCTCCCCCTACAAATGTTACATAAAATATATTGCAAAGATTAAACAAACACCGAATTAAACAAATTGCAATAAAACAAAGCCGCTGCAAGCAGTGAACACTTAAGAATTTTTTCTTGATCCATTAAGGTTGCTGCTGTACATGCCCCAGAGATGAGAGATTTTATCCATGAGAGACTAGACACACTGCGTCTGTTTTCATTAGAACTAAGAAGGATGAGAGGAGACCCAAGTAACTGAAATACATCATTTAAGGATAAAAAGAGTCTAGAAGACTTGTTTCACACACAGACGAGTATTAGGACATGGAACATCCATAAGAAGTAAAGCAGACACCATTCAGGAATATCACTATAACAATAAATTGCATTTAAAGTCACCAGTGACTTAAAAAATATATTTAACAAAAATATTCAGAACTTGATAGAATTTAAATGTAACAACTGCGGTAAATGTCTTCACAATTATTTGATCCTTCAAAACAGAGTGCAGTCAGTCAGATTCTTTTGGGATAACAGATCAATCTTATTTCTAGAATCTGGGGACAACTCACTGAATTAAATTCATGCTCATTGTGAACACCCTAGGCTGAATTTGAAGCTAATTACCAGTAATTTAGTGAAAGAGTTATTACAAGAACTCCACTAATCAACAATAATTTTATAGAGTCTAGTTTCTCCCATAAAAGGTGATTGCAGTGGTTTCCCTGTTGACCATGTATGAAAATAAGCCACGCACACTCAAAAGCCCCAGATTTTATAGGCTTGTGCTGAGTTAAGATGCCTCAGTTAAGTGGCAATAGAGGGGTGCTCTTGAGCTGGGGTGGAGGAAACAAAATCCTGTTCGATCATAGTACAAAGACCTCTGCTCCACAATGCATGCTTGAATGTAAGAACCATGTATGGCTAACCGCTGATCAAAAAAAATGGAAAAGCAACATTGTCAGAAGCCTGGGAGCCTATTTCAAATAGAGAATGGGAAGTGTGAATGTGCAGTTATTACAGAAAGCAAGCAATGCTTATAACTTCCACAGTGGTTACATGGATGCAAGAAACTTCAACCACAACGGGGTTTAATTTGCAATATCAGCAACTTGGATTTTGCGTAGGGAGAATGTATCAAAATGTTTACAAGGAAGAAGTGGGCAGATGGCATCAGGCAGGCCAGAGATAGCGAGGCAGAGGTAGTGGCTAGGGAAGTAGGATTGCAGGAAAATCACAGATGTTGAGTGGGGCAAAGTTAGGAAGGCAAAGACGAGGATCTTAAAGTTGATCAGTTGGAGGATAGGGAGTCAGGTAACTGGGTGAGGATAGGGGTGATGGGAATACAGAGCCTAGCGTTGGTGAGGATGTGAGCTGTGGAGTTCATTAAAATGTTTAGCCAAATTACAAAAGATGACAAAACCCATGAAAAGGCCCAAGAACAAAAGGGATACGTTTCAAAGTCTTACATATTTCTATCGGTGAGGTCCTCGAAGTTGTAGCCTCGTATCCTCTGGTGTGTATCCGAAGCGAGAACAGTCTTCCCATCATTTAGGCACCACAAGCACTGCACTCTCACACCTTCCCAGGAGTCAAGCAGATTGCCCTCCAAATCCTACTCAAGACACACAGAAACGTCAGACATTATAACTTTGAAGAGGTACAATATCTTGAAGATTTCTTTTACCCTCCCACCCCCACCTCAGTTTTAATTTATGGAAAATGTACCTTTGATAAAGCATTGCGTCCTACTTTGCTATATTTCTTAACCAAAGTCCTTAAGGAGTCAAGAGTTGTGAAAATGGGGATGTATGACACAAGTCAGAGCGAGTTGAAGATCAAGATCTGAACAATTTCTTTAAATCCAAATTATTCAGGATCCTATTTCAATTCAATAATCATCCTTGCATTCTGATATAGCGCTTTATCATGTCGTCGAGGCATCTCGAACTGCTTTGCAGAATATACTGTAAAATGAATTGACTGTATAATTTTGTGGGTAAAATGCGGCATCCAATTGCATACAGCGACGTCCCACAAAAAGTCGTGGATTGAGTGACCAAATTATGATTTTTCTTAAATTGTATTTATTTTTGAAGGGATTATTACCCCCAGAAAAGCGATCTGACAATCAACTAACAGCCAGGTTCCTACTTGCTGCCAGGTGAAGAGGCACTTGGAGAAGGAAACTTGCCTAAGGTTTCGCCCCACCTGGAAATTGAGCGAGCCAACCAACACGCCAGAGAGGCGAGCGCGCCAACAATAAGCTGCAGGACTCCACACAAACTTCTTAAAAACTACAAGCACTCATTAGAAAAGAATGTTCTTGAAATACTCCTTGGTCAGTTGGTAACTGTAGCATGCCACATCAAACATTGCCAAGATGTTAGCAATTGTCAAAGGACGGGAAATGGCTGGAGGTGGTAGTGCAGGAGGGGGAGGGGTTGCCTCAGGATATCCAGAAAAAGGAGAACATATAGAGCGGAAAATTGAAAAATCTAATTAAGAGTCAGAAGCTAAAAATCTTTGCCAAAGCTGCATACCATCATATTTAAAGAGCAGGTGTCCCTGGTGCCTTGGAGTGCATTACCTGCCTGCTGAAAATATGCCCCAGCAGGCAGGTAATGCACTCCAAGGCACCAGTCTCTTATTAGCTTTCAGAAAATATATTTATTCAACCACCTATCCAGCTGATCATCTGCAGATAAAAGTGCCATATTCCATTATCCAGTAATGCAGCAGCGCCAGACTTCTGTACAGCAGAAACAGATGAATGAAAAGAGGGTGGGGACAGTACTACATCCAGCTGGGTCGATGGCAAAGCCCGTCTTTAAAGAATTGCAGATAAGCAGACATGCACACAAGATGAACAGTGTGAAACGTACACACTGGTAAAATTGACCACGTTGTCCTCCAGTCACAAAACGTTTGCCATCTGGGTTCCATGCTACACTTGTTAGGCTATCCTCATGGGACTGGCTCATCTTGGTTCTTAGCTCTCCAGTCTGAAGGGAAAAAGGAGATTTAACCCAAACTGATTGCAATAACTGTCTGGCATTACAACAGAAACCATCAAAAACCATAATTTTTTCTGGAAAAAAACTCTGTAGGTGGGTTCAACACCAGAAACGTACTAATCAATCTAGCAATTTCATTGTCATGCATTTCACTTGTAAATATGAATTTGTTTCACACAACTTGATTTTTTCAAAAAACTGGCATTAGCCCTGACATTTATCTGCTAGTTTAAGGTCAAACTGCTCCAAGCAACGATATCCTAAACCAGCTCAATAGGCTCAGGAGGGGAGCCCAGATAATTGTCCGCAAAACACTAGCTTGGGTTTGAGACCATGTCCATGCTTGACCATTTTGAACACACTAAAATTTAGTTCTACACCCTTTACAATGCTGTCTTAATAATAACCCTTGCATTTGATATCACGTTTCAAAAAACATAATCCCGCTGGTACTTTTCGCAAAGAAACTGCAAGAAATTGGCACATTACTCTTTAGAGTGAGATGGAATAAATGACTGTACTCACTACTTCTTATAATGCATCTCATAAGATCAGGTTATTAATGGGAAAGAATCCAGTAAACAGGTTAGGGGATATGGCAAGCATACTAATTCTGATTTTTCATCCTGCATCATTACTTAAGGATGAACCCAGTGGAGAGCAACACAATGATCATGTGCAAAACACCAGTCACCTAAAGTTGACATCAAACTTTTAGCAGTACTACATACCTGCACATTCCAGAGCCACAGCTCAGAGCAGTCATCTGGACCACATGCTAAAAGATAGTTGTCATCAGGACTCCAGGCCAGGTATGAAACCCCATAAGCATGGCCCTCCAGCGTTTTAAGCAATCTAAGCTGGTGAGTATCCTAACAAGAGGAAAATAGGAAGTTAACAAGGCCAGGAGACGAAATGTGCTCACATTATTGTAATAGCGGTCCACTGGAACAACAACTAGGCAGGGCTGGGTTCAATCTTCCACTGTATATCATTTTAATCTGGTGGCTCCAGATGCACTTTCACTATAACCATTCCCCAAACTATACTTGTCTAACAGCAACAAATACAAAATTGGGGTTCCTTTACAACATAAAACAAAATTACATTTGTATAGCGCCTTTCACGTTGAGAGGACATCCCAAGGCACAGAGCACGTCCCTTTGACAAATCAAGGCACACACACACACACACACACTCGTGCGCACGATAAGACTCAATGCAACATTTCCACAAGTTTTCTCTCAGGGAATGTTGATACTGTTCTAAGCCTGTGGCTATGTTTCTCCAGAGAAACAGGAAACGCTGTGCCAGCCATTGGTCACCAATTTGCAATTCTGGTCTTAAATAATTCACGTCTTCAAGAATGACAGGCATTGCCGTTTCTTTGGCTTCCAAATTAATTGCTCCCACAGGTAAGGAACGTAAAACCCGGTATCCTAAATCACAGGGTTCCCATTCAGCTCAACGGTCTTACAAAGTCTCATGCCCAATAATCAGCACTGTTAAAACGTCTATCAATGATTTTAGGCTTCAGGGGAAGTGAGGCAAGCAACAACAACAAATTATATTCGAATAGCGTCTTTCGTGTTGGGAGGAGGACATCCCAAGGAGCTGGACAGTTTATGATTTGCACCTGAGCTGGGGGTTGGGATTAGGAGCGGTAGAGGGCAGGATTGGTGGGGGTAGGAGGGTGACCAAAGGAGTGGTCAAAGAGGAAGATTCTCAAGACAGGCCTTGAAGGAGGCAAGGGAGGGGGCAAGGCAAAGGGACTGCGGGATGGAGTTCCAAAGAGTTGGGGCAGAAAGGTCAAAGGTCCGACTGCCATTGGTGAGGTGGGCAGGGGACGTGGAGCAAGCCAGAGGCAAGGAATTCCTCATGACATACTTGCAGGATCAGAGATTCTTCCGACTCAGCTCCTGTTAACTCAGCAAGCCAAAGTCCAAACACGTATGGTTGTCCTAGCTGAGCAAGCAGCAGGAATCTTGGCTGACAGGGCTTTCAATGGCAATCTATGCTGTTTTAGCTTGTTAGAACTCCAGCAGTACACCAACGTACACTACGGGGACCTCAAGCCTTGAGCCTTGCCAACCTGGTCTATTACTCGCCAGGATTAGGCAAGCAGTGCGTCTCTCTCCAGGGAGAATGTGCAGAGAGCAGGCATCATAAACATGTGGCACTTTCAGTCTGGTTTGGATATTTTTAAGCAACACTTAATCTCTGCAGCCTCGGCCTCTCCCGCACTATGCTCCCTTAACTCATCTCCCCCTTCTCCAACAACTCTGCTGATTCACTGTCCCTCATAGGATCAAATACAAGATACTTGTCCTCAATTTGACATACCATGGTCTTACCCCTCCCTACCTCTGTGATCCTACTGCATGGCCGCTCCCTCTGTTCAGCAAACTTTGGCACGTTTTGTGTCTCCCACCCACTTGGCATCATCATTGGAAGGCAAAAGTTCAGTCATTCAATGATCACTCTTAAATTCCATCCCAGAGTCTCTCCGCTCTTTCCCCCTCAGTCTTTACAACCGCTTTAAGACCTTTTTTTTTCAACTGCACTATTTGGTCAGTCAGCTGTGTGAAGTGCTTTCGGATGCCCCCTCAACATGATTGTCACAATATAAATGTAAATTGTAGTTGTTTCCATCAAGTTGATTTCTAGGAACTTCACCCTGATTTTTCAATTCCTTCCATTCCCTTTCCCCATTCTATGTCAGGAATAGCCGAGCCCCACTCTCTCACCTATTTCTTCCATTTTGCTTCTTTCAGCCCTGACCCACCGCCCCACCAGATGCCCAGTGCTTTGAGACATCTTCCCAACAAGAAAGGTGCTTATAGAAATTTAAATAGTATTTATAAATGCAACTTATTGAATTAAGCTGCTTTTGGGTCTCTTAATTCGAGAATACTTACTGGATCAATTTGCCATATAATGACGGTGGTATCCTTGGACCCGGTTGCTAATTTTGTGCCATCGTTGGAGAACTTGCAGAACCAAACCTCGTTGCAATGTTCAGTGAGAATCTGCTGTGTGTAGCAAGGGAACTGTTTCCTTAAAAAGTTAAAATGAAAAATTAGACTTTGGTTGCAATAAAAATTAACAGCACATAAAAGGTAATACAGTCCACCCTCGCTGTAGCACTGGCAGATCTAGCGCTACCTGATTAATGAGGACTGTCTGGTAACTTACCTCTTAGGGACAATCTATTTTTTGTGTGCAGTTTGAATTGCCATACAAATATACTATGTATTTAAGAGTTTGGTTCCATGCTGTTCAAGTAGTCTCTATAATTCTGTTGTATACAAAGTGTCTTGCCAAATCATTTCTCATTCCATCACCAGAGAAGGTAGCACATGCAAGAGGGTTCAAGAAAAACAGGTTCAAACCAGATCAGGCGAGAGATGCTTAACAGCAGGTAGAATGTGAGATTTTGGAGGTTGGCCTCACTCAGCTGGTAGCATTCTAGCCTCTGAGTGAGACTGTTGGTGCAGTCCAATGTTTCAGAGAGACATGAAATAACATAACCCAAACAAGCAGAGACTGTCAAAATGTGTCCTGGGAGGCTGAACACATTATATGAAGACCCTGCTGCTTTTCAAGACTTTTCAGCAAAGCTTCCATCTGCTCTCAATGATCTCCCGTGAAGCGTCTTTAGTACATATCTATTCACTGTGCAGATCTGAATCTTCATACTTCTACTGTGCAGAAGATCATCAATTTATAGATCTGAATCCTAGATGCACATCACCATCGAGATTTCTGACTTTTACAGACTATAGCTCATCCTACAACTTGTGGAAGAAACAACAGAAGAACCTCCCTTCTCTTTCCAATCAGCGCTTTGGGATCTTTAACATCCACTTAAACAGGGTACAGACCAGGAGCTCGGTTTAACGTCTTTGCCAAAGAATACTGCATCCCACAATGCAGTGCCCCCCAGCCACCCCAGCAATACATCAGTGTCAGCTTAGACTGTCTAAAACATTTTTTAGTTACTCAATCCACAACTGTTTGTGGGACACTACTGTGCGCAATTGCCTGCTGCATTTTGTCCACAAATTACAGTCAACGCACTTTACAGTAATTTCTGTGAAGCACTTCGAGATGTCTCAATGACATGCTAAAGCTCTATATCAAATGTAATTATTATTATACTACAGTGGCAACGGAAGGCTCTTCTCTCATCTATTTCATCTTCCCTGGGGTACACCCAACTGGTGTATTCTCAAATCTCACAAGGATATGGAATGCTACAGCTACCATCGACGACTATTTGAATAAATGAAGCTTCTGTAGTAGGTACACGACTCAACTCCACGACCACCGATGTCCTGACAGCTGCCTGTCCGACATCGAGTCCTGGACGAGAGACAACTTTCTTCAGCTCAACGTGCGAAAAACCGAGGCCCTCCTGATTGGCTTACGTCAGCGCCTCCGCACCTCAGGCGCTGACACCATCAGCATCCAAGGCTGCACTCTCCACCTCTCAAAGCCAGTCAGGAACCTCGGCGTTTTGTTCAACCCTGAGCTGTCCTTTCTCCCTCACATCCGCACCACAACTGGCACCGCCTTCCATCACCTCCGGAATATCGCCAGACTACGGCACTACCTCACCCCTCACGCTGCTGAAATCCTGGTTCACGCCTTTGTCACCTCAAGGCTGGACTACGGGAACTCTCTCCTCGCCGGCCTTCCCGCCACCTCCCTCCACAAGCTGCAGGTCATTCAGAACTCTGCAGCTCGTGTACTGTCCCGCACCAGGCTTCGGGACCACATCACTCCCACCCTCGCTCGCCTCCACTGGCTCCCCATCCCCCAGAGGATTGATTTCAAGATCCTCATCCTCACCTACAAGGCCATTCACGGCCTTGCTCCCTCCTACCTCTCCAACCTACTATCCCCCTACCTACCCGCCCGTACCCTCCATTCCTCTGGCTCTGGTCTGCTCCACGTCCCCCGCCCCAACCGCCCTACCATCGGTGGTCGGGCCTTCAGCCTCTCAGCCCCCAGGCTCTGGAACTCTATCCCCCAGTGCCTTCGCCGCCTCCTCCCTTTCCTCCTTCAAGGCCGGTCTCAAAACCTTTCTCTTTGACCGTGCCTTCAGCTCCCCTCTCGACTCTCTTCCCCCTCCTCGCTCCCTCCCTTCCCTCCCCTCACCCTGACCATTTCCCCCCTCCTCGCTCCCTCCCTTCCCTCCCCTCACCCTGACCATTTCCCCCCTGCTCGGGTCATGACCCAACTGTGCAGCGCCTTGGGACGTCCTCCTGACGTGAAAGGCGCTTTATAAATGGAATCTTGTTGTTGTTGTTGTTGTAGGTACAGGAATAATTATCGCTAAAAAGCAAATGAGGATCCATTGCCAAAGAGTAGTCCTTCCACCATTTCTTTATTTGTCAATCTGCTTAGGTCAATAGTATTCTGCTCTTAGGGTCTGTCTATCAAGTGGATGTTGAAGCTGCTCAGAGATTTTCCCCAGATGTGCAACCATCCTTCAAGTAAATTGTCATTCACCTCATCACTTTTTAATGGCCCTTTTGTGTAAAATTGTTGTTCGTTTGCCTAAAAAAAGTCACTAAACTTACTGTCGTGTACATGTATACTAATGTACAAGATACTATAAAAATCCCTTTCTAGGAAATACTCAGGGAATAGGAACTTATGTTGACTTTTCAGGGTGGCATCTTAATATCTCATCTCTAATATACTGAGCCAATGCAGAATGGGTCTAAAACAGTACTGTGCCCCTTTGGGGGCATTCCTCAAAATTACCTTGTAAATATCAGAATGTGGATCAGGAGAAACCAACTTGATCTTGAAAACATCCTTCAACAGATGCAATGCTCACAACAGGGATTCCCCCACCCCCACTTAATATCACAATCAGTGAAGGTGTGCCAAGGAATAAAAGATCCACATCTCAACCAACAAGAGTCATCAAATTTTTACAAACCAAAAACTTTGTAAAACAGTAAATTGAGCAATAAAAGTATAAACTTGTTTTTAGTTTCTCTACGTGAAAGAGGATATGGGAATAAAATAAAGATTTAGAATGAAACTTATATGCAGCCAAGCAGGGAACAGCAGCATGGAACTAAATACTTAAATAGGAATACGATCCCAAGCAGCTTTCCTTTTGGAGGATATGTTGTATCCGTTTGTAGGTGGAGACTTGCAACACGTGGATTAATTTGGGATCTTCTCTCAGATGCTCCACACCATCTGGTCTGTGTTAACTGGAAACTCATGTCCAGGCTGCGCTACTCTTGCGAGAGTGGTTTGGCGAGGGCAGACTGTACTTACCAACACATTGGTTCAGAAATCGACTGGAGCAGAAAAGAAAGATCTGGCTCCTTTGTGGCAATGTCTTCAGAGAACCTGTAGTGACCTCAACTGAAATTGGATCAAACAAGAAAAATAATTTAAGCTGCAAATCCTTCCTTCGTTCCTCCAGGAGTGTGTGTAGCAGCTAAATTGGATTTGGAAGAAAATAGGGGAAGAAGATCACATTTAGTGAAAGCTCTTAGGTAACCAGCAGTTGTCCACACAAATCTCTCGAGTTTGCTCCAAAGATTCACCCTTAATTGTTTAACTGAACATTGTTTGAACCCCGAATCCTGAGGAGACTGAAAATGTGGTGCTGAATAACAGCCACTTGCATTGTGGTCCCTCCACACTTGAATTTTGTTGAGAGGTCCTGAAATTTATTTCACTTAGGACCTATACAGTTAGCACTCAGATGCTAAACTCAATAGTTCCAACGCATGTCTAAAACTTGGGACTCAAGTTCAGCCAAGATCAGATTTTAAAGCGTTTATCAGGGAGGGGAGCAGTGAAAGAAGAAAATAGTCATCAATGTGTCTGAAAATCACCCTTTCATTCCAACTGTGGCTTGGATTCAACCTAGAAGGATGTTCTCCAGATAGAAGAATAAGATTATGGAGGAGCAAGCAGAAAATTGGATTAGATTTACTGGCTCAAGTGAAATGAATGAAATTGCTCATTTTTGTGTTATGACAGTTTCTGATTCTCTAACCCCAGTATTATTAGACACCAAGTCCAATGCTTTCTCAGATTCCAGTATCCATCTCAGAACTAACCGATACGGTACAGTAGAAGGCAGGTGAAAATCATACCTCCCACATAGATTCATAGTATAAGCAAGCAAGTTGACATTTTGAATCCAATGTTGCAAACACTTCATGTGATTGCTATTTACTTTGCTAGCAACCTCATTATGCTCTCCGGTATGAAGGCACTAGGTATGAAGGTATGAAGGCACACCACAACAGCCCTGGATACGGTTTTCTATAAAGAAGCTTCTGAAGGACATGGTCCTAATTAAAAGATTTTCCTCGTAACCTTTCCCTCCAAACATAAAGAGAAGACAAGTTTCTGGATAAATCAGTTACTTTCAGTAATGGCATTGAAAACCTATACCTCAACCAATTCAATAAGGGGTAAGAATTCATGGAAGCCAAGCCCCATGAAGCCATTAATAACAATCCTTACATTTGATGCAAGAGGTTCACAGGGAAATGAGTCAAATGTGCAGTGATTGAATTGTAACAAATAGTCAACTTGCACACAGCATTGACTCACAAACTGCCATGAATTGAATGACAAATTTATCTGGAGGATTGTTAGCTAGAAGAAACTCTCTTCGATTTTCCAATAGTGTTGCAGAACTTTATTGCCTATGCGGACAGGTAGACTGGAGCTCAGTTTATTGTCTTATCTGGTGGAAGGCAACACCGATAAACCAGCACTCCCCCAGCAATGGCAATCTGGGCTGAGCTGAAAGTTCCAATGTGGAGCTTGAACCAACAACCGCCTCATGGAGAGCATCCTTAAATAAGCTCAATGTCCTGGCGTCTACCAACCATTTGATAAATGCTGAAAGGTGAACATTCCAAAATACAGCCACAGCTTAGGAGTGGACCATTAGCCTAACTAACTATCCATCCAACTTATCAACTGAGTAGAGCTCGCACTCTTAAGAATCAAACTCCCCCCAAAAATATCCAATTTCCCTAATGGGCACAGATGTGATGGGCTGAATGGCCTTCTTCTGCGCCATAAATTTCTATGGTTCTAAGTGCAAATGAATAAAGGTGTTATTCTTACCTGCTGCAAACATGGTCTATGAGCAGAGATACCGAGTCCAAATTATTGTCCAGTTTAGTATTGTGATACAGACACCGATCCCGTTGGAGCTCCACTGCTTGACGTAGTAGCGTCTGTAAACGCCGAGGAGGCAACATCACTGACGGTGGGAGGTAGGCTAGAATAGAAAATGAAAGTTAAAATAAAGATTGATTCCATCCTTTGGGGTCACTGGACTCGATTTTAAAATCTTATTCCCTCTCCCCTAACTGAAGCCACCCACATCTCACACTGCTTCCCACCCACTAGCTGGAACCCAGTCCTCTTTGCCAATGACACTCTGCACCTGAATGAAAGCGATGCAAGTAGGAGTGAACAGAACTGTAGATGCAAAATCTCTCTCTTTCAAGTAAAATGAAGTAAGACGTCCCAGCGCCTTGGGACGTCCTCCCGGCGTGAAAGGCGCTATACAAATGTAATCTTCTTGTAAAATGTGACCCAAGAACTCATCAAGTTAGGTTTACACACCCAATTGATCTCATCATTCTACAATATCCATCCTCCCATCTTACAATTATATCAATTACATTAAATTCTTAAATTTAGTCCCAACATTCCAAAATATATTAACAGAAGAATTATTGGTCCAACTTCAACTTCCACATCTATCTCATCACCTAACAACCCTGAATTCTGATTTTCTCTCTTGTCATAATATTTTTTGCCTGACATTTTCACCCTTAAGGGGAACATCATCTGGAGTGCATTCAGCACATACTTTGTCCAACCAATTATAGCACAATGAAATTCACAATGCCCTACCATAGTCTACATCAGTTGCCTTGTTAATGCAGATCACGATTGCCAAATTGAAGCCACTTACTCTGAAGCTTGTCAAGTAACTTTGAGCGTGAAACAGTTCCTTTTCCTTCCCATTCTGCTTTCACTCGTAGGTCGTCTGTATTGCTACACATGAGATACCTGTTTTTTGGGGGGAGGAAGGAGAAAAAGAGAAGAGTGTTAGAGATAATCTTTCCTGGTCCAATCTCAGTTCATGTGTGCACGTCTTTAATTCCACTTCCAAATGGAGCATGAGATTTGAAAAAATGCAGCTATGCACTAAGAGAGTTGGTGAATTTTTTCCAGCACTATTGTGCATCAGCCTGTTTTCGTTGGTAGCACCCTTGCTTCTGAGCCAGAAGATTGTGGGTCCAAACCCCACATCAGAACTTGGACCACAAGTCCAAGATGGCACCCCAAGGCAGTGCTGTGGAGGTGCACTCCTTGGATGAGACAAAAAAATGAGTCCCAATTTATCTATTCAGGTGGACTTAAGAATCGAATAGCACTATTCAAAAAGAGAAAAGTTCTCCCAGTGTCCTAGCCAACAATCCCTCAAGTAAAATTGTTCATTCAATCTATGGCTGTTTGTGAGATATTGCTGTGCGCATATCGACTGCCATGTTCGCTGACAGAACACCATCACTCCACTTTACAATACATCCCGTGAAGTGCTTTGGGACATCCTCCTGATGTGAAAGATGTTATACCAAATGTGAGAGATTATTATTAGTTAATTAACAAATTAGACAATACTTTGGAGACAGGGTCTCAGATTAACAAGTAATTTCCTGCTAACTACAGAAGCATTGGTAGACTGTTGGAAGTAGTAGGCTGGTTACTGGAACATAGAAATTTACAGCACACAAAGATATTCGGCCCATTGTGTTTGGAGATGTTTCATAAATTTGACATGCTAATATCTAATTTTGCAAACTCATCATCTTACTGATAGCAGCTGCTATGCGCTCATACATGGCTTTTCCTTTTGCCGAGTAGAAGCAGTGCTGGATTTGGCTATACAGACAGAAAATAGCTTGCTGTGTATTCTAACAACCGTCACTATACTTGAATACTTAAGTGTAAAGCTTTGAAGTGACACTATAAAACGCAGGTTATTTCTTTTGTTTTTTATTCCTGCTTCAAGAAGCAAGGCTTGAATTTAAGTTACAGTGCATATTTGAACTTTCATTCATGCCTTTCACATCAGGAGACCATCTAAACCGCTTCATATGATTAACTTGGAAGTGAATTTTATAGGTGAACGCAGAACCAATTTGCACACAACAAATTGGCTGTGCAAACAACCAAGTAGAATGATCAATTTTATCGCTTTTCTTTTCAAATAGCATGACTGGATCTTTATTCTTTATCTGAACAGGCAGACAGGACCTCTATTTAACATCTCATCTGAATGATGACACTCCCAACAATACAGCGCTCCCACACTACTCTGTTGAAGTGTCATGAGTTCAAAGTCTATCTTGGGGCTTGAACCCACAATATTAAATTCCAAAGGTATAGCGCCTTGGGACGCCCACCTGACATGAAAGGCGTTATACAAATGTAATTTTGTCTTGTAAAAAATTATGGACTGAAGACAAGGCAGTGGGTAAAACTAAGCATTCCTTAACATAGGGAAAGTAGATTTCAGAGCAAGAGGAGACCAAGTCCATTTGCAGCACCTAGGAGCATTGGCAAAAACCTGGGCACTGATCAACTCTGTAGACTTCTACAACAATTTACACTTATGTTGTACCTATGTGGAAAGAACATCTCAAATTACTTTGTGACAGGAGTATACATCAGGCTTAGGAATGCTGACTCGAAGCCAGAACAAAAAGGAACATTCAACATGAGGTTAAGATAGCCAGAGAGGAAGCAAAGCAGAATTCCCATTTTTAATTTGAGTGTGTAAACAGTTGGAGAGAAAGTTTGAAGGCGTCAAAGCAAGAATGATCATACCAGCACTTAAGCTGAAAATCAAATAACTAGACAAATACCAGCACATCTTTCTCTGTATCCTCCAGCAATTTTACAGTTTGCCACTAACAGCTGAGATAGATCAGATTTTAATAAAATTTGCCGAGACTCAGAGAACAATGTAAATAAATAATGCTTGCATTTGACAACAAATTTTGAATCATGATAAGGACTTCACAGGTAACTCCTGGCAAGATTAATACCAATTCGTAAGAAGTGATTGCAGTCATTTTAGGCATAGCAAGGTCTTACACACATAAAATGAATGGCCATTAATCTGAAATATCGTTAGCTGGATCATCAGAAGAAACTCTCTTCCTCTTTTCCAACAATGTCTTAGGTGTACATCCGCAGTCAGACAGGATAGTTTAAAGCCACATCCAAAGATAGTCCTTCTGACAACAGTTCAGCAACTGCTCTGACCGCATTGAAGTCAGTACAAAACCCACACGAGGAACCAAACATGACGCACGTTCAAACATGGTTATAAATGGCGGAGAAACAAAATACAGCAAAATTACTTGGAACAGCAGGTCTTTCTTTTAAAATGAGATTTGTGAAGGCACTAGATATTTAACTCTTCCTATATCAATACTTCTAGTTTCCACGTTTTAAAATTAGAAGGTAGCTTACTGCAGGAAAAAGACATAGTTCTTCAGTATCAAACATAGCTAGGACCTGTAGTACACTATTTCTGCTGGCTCTTTGCTATATACCATACAACAAAAAATGATATTTACATAGCACCTTTCACATCGGAAGGATGTCCCAAAGTACTGGACAGTCAAGGGTTTGTTCTCCGGCTGGGGATTTGGAATCAAGAGGGGTGGACCGTGTCGGAAGGCACAATCAAAGAGGAAGGTCTTGAAGACGGACCTCGACAGAGGTGGCGAGGCGGAGGAATTCCGGGATTGGAGTTCCAGAGCGTGGGGGCAGAAAAGCTTATGGCTCAACCACCAATGGTGGGGCGGGCAGAGTGGGGAACGTGGAGCAGGCCAGTGTCCGCTGAGTGGACAGTTTGGTATGGTGTTCATAAGTTGTAGAGGCAGAAAGAATGTCAACCATGGAGGGCTTTAAAGCGAAGACGAGGATTTTAAACTTGATCCTCTGACAGCTGAAAATGCTTCACAAGTCTGATTAAGGATTAAAGCATTATTTCTGATAGAAGTAACTGTTACAGTGACAGACATGAATCTATAGTGTACCTCTTTAATCTTTTAGGGATAAGCATACATGCAAAGTGCATTCAACAACAACTTGCATTTATATTGTGACCTTCATCTAGAATATCATCTCAAATCCCTTGTTTGTCTTTAAAATTTAAATATCCTTCCCCATTTTCTTTCTACTAACAGAAGTATAGACACGGCACCCCTTCACTTCCAACACCCAACTTTGCTTAATGTGTCAACCTCGGCAGTAAGACACTTGACCACGGATATGCATTGCATATGGGCAACATCTGTTCACAGGATTCGCAAACATTCCAACAATGCTCAACTGAACAAAAAAAAGGCAAATTTGGTTCCTTCAAACAGAGAATCCTAGAATGTTGCAGCACAGAAACGGCCCATTTCTCCCATCAAATCGGTTTTCTCCACAAATAATCTATTCAGTCCCCACACTATTTAATATATTTTTTAAAAAAGCAATGGCTCTGCCTCAAAATGGATGAACACAATCTATTGTTGAAGCAGTTTCTGATTGCATGAACAGCTGATCTAGAATTCACAATATCCTTTCCACTGGCCTCAATAAAGGTTGCTAGAATTTTAGTGGAACATTTTGACTGACTAAAAAAACTCCCCAGCTGCAGAGGTGAATTAATGCTAAGAGTTTGACAAGCTGGCCGCATCTGGGTGTCTGAGGGGGATGGGACCTCACTCTTCTCATGTAAAATGCAACAAACCAAGATAATGATCACTTTTCCAGCTCTATGGATCTTGTGTCAACTTGGTTCTGTTAGTAGTACACTCGTCTTAGGGTCAGAAGGTTGAATATTCAAGACCTATATCAGGACTTGAGCTGCTTCAACAATGGATTGTGTTCATCCATTGTTGAGGCAGAGCCATTGCTTTTTTAAAAAAACATTAAATAGTGTGGGGACTGAATAGGTTATTTGTGGAGAAAACCGATATGATGGAAGAAATGGGCCATTTCTGTGCTGTAACTTAAACTCAGTCCATCTAGGTTGACACTTCAGCACAGTACTGGAGTGCTGCGTTACCACAAGATTTTAAAATCAAGCTTCCTATCCAAGTGGATGTTAAAAATCCCATGTCACTATTGGAAAAGAGAAGGGAGTTTCTTTCAGTGTCCTTGGGACGTCCTCCCGACGTGAAAGGCGCTATACAAACGTAATCTTATTGTTGTCGTCAACAATGACAATATGCAACCATTTAACTGGGAACCAAATCCAACACTGCAGAATATTGCCAAATAGTGGTCCTTTTCTGCCAAGCAGTGAGAGCTAAAGCAATTGACAATTTCTATTTTTAAAGTAACATTTGAGAAAATTGCTACTGACCCACTCAGGATATGTATTCGCTCTGTGTTGAATTTCAGAGGCGTCAGCTCACAGCGCAGGACCTGGAGAGCTTCCAGAACTTTCCCGTCTTCCAGATATTCCAAGTATTTCTGTTGCAGCAGCAAGAACTTCATTTTCTGAAAATATATACATAGAACAAAATGGGAAGACTGGTAATTTCAGTACCTAATTATTTCAGTGGATTTTGAAATTCAAATGTTCAAAAATGAACAGGGAATTCTGAAACAAGGAATCCAATCAAGAGAGACAAATAAAATATGTCAAAGCCATAAAGCCATGCTAATCCCAATACAAACTTTACCTTGTGGATTTCACAAAGACAGAAACAGTTTCAGCGGCTGCTTTCATGTCAAATAAGTTTATTATTAAACACAGCATCATCGTTTGAGCGTGTGCAGAAGTTTGTCACCAGTGGCCACAACTGAACAGGATACTGACCGACTGGAAAGCTGCACAACACTTAGCCAACAAAATTGCACATTCATGCAACTGTCCTTTTAGGAAACATGGAAAAAATGGTTCAACTTTGAGAGTCATTTTGAGCAACATTTTTCCCTTCACTTCTTAGATAAGTTGTTGTAGTTTCTGTTCCTCTTCAAGACTTTAAATCAGTGGTGGCCAACCTGTGGCCAGTCAAGAGCAGTTCCCCACCCCCCAATCAGTAGTGTTTTCAGTTTTGTGATTTTAATGGTATAAATTCAATTAAGAACTTTATTTTGTTGACCGACAATACAACAACTTGCAACAACAATATAGCACTCTCCATGCAGGGTAGTCTCAGAGTGCTTAACAGTGGTGGAACCTGACTCCGAGCCGGGGGGTGGGGAAGGGGGGAGCGGCTAGGAGCATAGTTGAAGAGGAAAGTTTTCAGGCGGGACTTGAAAGAGAAGAGAGGGCAAGGTGGAGGGTTTGAGTGAGTGTTCCAGAGTTTGGGGGCATAGGGGCTGAAAGCACGACCTCCGATGGTGGGATGGAGGGTGTGAGGGTGCAATAAAGTTTGGCTGCCACTGTCCTAAATGCTGTTCTATAACTGGCTAGTCGGAAGCTAACTACTTCAGTGCCAGTTTACCAGGATGCCCGGATTAAGTCTGATTCCTAAAACAGGAAGGCTATAATACAACATACCACCTTTACAACATGCTAACTGATGGCTTACATGTGGAATTCACGAGTGCACACCTACCACCTAACCTCTGGACCAATTCATGAGGATAAGTGTCTTCTTAATTCACAGCATTTTATTTGAAGATATAAAGCATATCATTTTTTATAAGCTGCTGTAAAAAGCATTGCACACTACTGTAAGCATCACAGAATGAAACAATGCCATACTATAACTGATTAAACACATAAGGAAAGTCCACCATTTTGTTCAGTTTGTCTTAAAATGATCACAGAGTATAAATTGGTGGTGTTTTTCCTCAATAGGTTCTATTTACGGGGACTGTTTTCAGCACTGTTTTCCTATTACTCATTTGATTGCATGATTAAGGAAAGAAGATATAAAACCACAAAGAGCAACAAATCTGTATTCCAGGAACAGCTGCATCTGATACATTACACATAGCTGCCGATTTGTACAAACCACAAGCACAAACAACGAATCAATGGCCCATAGTCTAATCACATGTTCAGCAAATTCAGTCCAAACCAGCAGCAGACATGTCAACGCCTTAACTTTAAAATGGACTTTTGTTTAGGGCTGTTTCCATGAAGCAGTGTTATTGCTTCCCCCTTCCGTGTCTCCTCACTCCCATGCATCACCACTCAAGCAAGCAATGATCTTCGAAACGTTACAACAATGTTGTGTTGAACCGACCACTCAGAAACAGCAAACAGAGCGAACACTCAATTGATCTGGTCAGAAGCAGCACCCCTCCTGGCAGGAATGTACTGCACAAATTCTGACAGCATTTGATCGCACTCAAAAATAATACAACCCTCAATGTCAGCAGCTTCAAACAGCATCCCGATAAACTGTTCATATTAGTGCGCCCAGTGTATTCTAAATGCAAATGGGCAACGTTTTCTACTTAAACCGGAGCTCCTGGTTCTATGAAGATGAAGCAGACAATTCAAAGCAGGTTTGTGGATTTCTAACTATGCTCATGGCATCTGGTTCATTTTTATATTGAATTAAGCCCAACACCATCCTTAAAACGGGCTCAATTTTAAAGTGTACAATTTTGAAACTATTTGCTTTATAACAAGATTCTAAATATAGAAATAAGTGCACTTGTTTTATTAATGCAAAGCAGTGATCAAGGTGGGAGTCCGGCTCTGGGTGTCAAACACATTCAGCCTTCAGGGTCAAATAATCATGGACCACAGGGCACACGGCAGGCTTGTTTCCTGTAAAAATAGCTACCCCGACTTCACTTCCTGAACTATTAAAATCATATGGCAGAGAGAAATGAACACAGAGTGGCAGGGAGAGACACACGTACACGGACAGAGTTAGAGAGAAATTCATGCCCAGATTGGCAGAGACAAATACACACCCATGTGTATCTCTAGAAGTGATACTGATTAGAAATACTGAAATAGCAGAGCGAGAAATGCACACAAAAACATTACATGTGCACGCAACAGTTCTTGTGAATCCAAGGGAAACCTACGGTATAAGCAAACTCATGCAATAGCAAGGCACAAAGTAACAGAGCACTGACATCTCTTTGATGCCACAAGAACATGAATGTTAGGATAGATCACTTGTGTTAAGTTCATATTTAGCAGTGAGTTCAAGTGCTTCTACGTGGTAGATTGGAAGGAAAAATCTCACCTACCACTCTGTCTTTTAATCTCTGCAACTAGGTGTATATTTGTCTCTGCCACTCTGGGCACAAATTTCTCTGCCACTGTGCGTATATCTCTCCCTACCACTCTATATGCGTTTCTCTGCCATGGCGTGGATCGGGGTGCCTCCCTTTGCCACTCTTGTCTATGCATGTGCCTCTGCCACTGTGTGCGTTTATGGAAGCCTATCTGTACCTCCTCGCTCCCTCTGTGTGTTTCTTGCCACTACGTGCGTGTCTGTATCTCGGTTAATGTGTCTGTGTGCGTGTCTCTCTTCCACTCTGTGCAGGAGCCCACACGTGCGTGCCGCTCTGCCTCGAAGTATGCGTTTTTCTCCCTCTGCCACTGTGTATTTTTTCCTGTGCCACTGTTAGCGTTTCTCTATCTGTCTATGTGTGAGTTTTACTCTCCCTGTGTATGTCTCTTTGCTATTCTGTGTCTGCATGTCTCCCTCTGCAAGTCTGTATGACAATGCATCTCTTCCTCTGCCACTATGCATGGGTGTTTCCTGCAGTCATTCTCGTGTGCATCTTTCTCCCTGTGCCATTGTGTATGTATCTCCTTTTTTGCCACCCTGTGTGCGCACACTGTCTCTGCCACTATATGCACGTCCCTCTGCTTCTGTGTCTCATTCTGCCACTCTGTGGGCATACACCTCCCTACCACTATGTACGTACATGTTTCTCTGCCATTTTGTGGCTGTGCCATTCCATGAGTGTGTATTCTTGCGCGTGTACTTTTCTCTTTCACTGTGTCCGCATGCAACTCTCTGCCCTTCTGCATGCACGTGAGCCTCCCTCTGCCATTGTTTATGTGGGTTTGCATGCACGTGGGTATCTCTGACACTGTGTGGTGCCACAGCAAGCTCCACTCCTGGCCAAAATACTTGCAAAGAATACTTTGAATTTGACGACGTTTCCCTCCATGGTCTCACCCCACCCTACCTATACAATCTTAATTGCTCCCTCCGCTCAGCAAACACTGACCCGACTCATGTCCTCTGTCTGATTCGCCCCACCACCCTGGGCAAACTTTCAGTGATTCAGCCCCTACTCTCTGGAACTCTAAAGGCACCATATAAATTGTTGCTTTAGCTTTCTGTATCCAGCATCACTTTTTGATGATACATCAAATGATACATCAGAAACCAGACACATGGTGGCGAGTGGGGTTCAATCCAGGGTGGTTCAGCATCCAAGACATCTTGCACCATCTTTGCCCTTTTGCCTCCCTGAAAAAAATCAGGTCTTCCAGATTGTAGTAAACTAATGCAGAAATGTTTTTAGACCTTGAAGGGTTAAAAAGAGAACAGGAGTTTTTTTTGTGTACTGACCCAAAACGTCAGTTCCTCTGTTCCCAGTTCTCCCCTCCCCCGCACTCCTAGACAGGAAGTTCTCCAGTGCTGCTGCAAAACAAATGAATCAGCTGGAACAGACAAACAGCTGATCACCTTTGTTTATCTTCCCACCCAACCAGCAGCAACATCGGCTTTTTCTACCCTAACAAATAATTTCACATTTTAAACATGCATCTCCATTGACCATTGTTCTGTCAAACACTAGCCTGTCCATCCTGACATATCCAGAAGCTTTTACATTGAAATGAACTTTTTTTTAAAAAAATGGAAAACACCAATAAAACATCTGTCTCACTCTGGAATTTTCATTGTTCCTTACCACAATCGCGTGAGGTGAATGCACCAAAGACTTCAATTCATTAAGATCGTTTTCAGCCTGTTTTAAAAGAAACAATCAGTTCAGTCCAAATTAGGCAGTGAAGAAAACCCGTTTATAAAAGGCAGAAGATTTGACAGAAACCATCACCTTTTCCCATTCTCCTTCCATCACGTGATTGCGGAATTTGGTTGCAGATGAATGCTCCAGGCGACAGCCTGACTCCTGCATCAAAAGATCCACCGTTTGGCTAAAAGAAAAATTCAAACTGTAACCTACCATGACATTTAGTGAGATCCAGAATAGTCCATCACAATTTAAGCACAAGATTCCATAGCATTTACAAAATTCACTGCACAGTACATATACCTACACTGTACAGTGGGCACTCATTCTCCTTCCAAACCCTTTATGTAATTAGGCGAGTGCATGTTACAGAACCATAACAACTGATGGGTATTTTATGTGTAAAGTATACCAGCCATGCTGTACACAAATTATCTCCCAGGTTTGCTTAAAAATAGTCATTACACTTTACATTAAAAAATCCTGTGTAACGCTTTAAGATGTCCTCCCGACATGAAAGATAGGACACCAAATGATCAATGTGTTGCACTACGTATGTGCAGGTATAGCCCTGCAGGTGCTGTAATAATCCTAAAAATATCAACATGCCTTTTGGGCAAGTTCATGCAATAGTATGGGAGTAAAGCACTACTAAACCACCCCAGACAGATCAAAAACACTTGTTTTTTTTTTGGTCAGCCTGGTGTCTGACACGTGTGCAAACCCATCACTATGCTTAAGACTATCCAAACCAAGCTGAAATTTCCATGCATCCCACCTACACATAGAAATCCCAAAGCTAGATTGTTGGAATGGAATGCGCACTCTCTCCCTGGAGGGACGCATTCTGCTTACCTAATTCCTGAAAAAGGATTAGCCACAGATTGGCAAGAGCCAAAGCTCGGGGACCCCAGAGTTGGGCTACTGCTGGGAGTATAACCAGTTATAACCACATTAACCACATAGCTTGCCATTGATATTGCTGTCTGGCAAACCTTCCCGCTGTTTGTCTAGCTAGGACCACCCTACCCTTTACGGCTTTGGCTTGCAGGGCTAACCGAAGCTGAGTGGGATGACTCCTGCCCCCAGTGACTGGTCTGCCCTTCCAGGTCTTGCCAATGAGCTAGGCTGTCATCAGCAGTGCCCTGGAATACTGCGTACCTGCCCAAAAAACACTTGACATTGCAATGGAGCAAGTAAACATCCCATTATTAATGTGTCATATAACCTTTAACATAGTCAATTACAATGTTAAAATGCTGAATAACAACAAATTGCATAATTTGTTTATCACACATTTCATGTAAAAACATCTCAAAGGCGTCACCAAATTAGAATAATTTGAAACAAAATAAATGTCAGGGGCAATTGCTGCAGCCAACCAGAAAACAAGTTGCCAACAAATCGGATTTTTGGGGGGTAGTTTGCTAGAGTGAAGGATATTAATGAGTACCCCAACAGAAACTCTTCACTCTCAAATGGCAGCACACAATTTTCTCACGAAACAACTTTACCCTCTCCTGAATAGATTTTTCTGTTTTCATGTTTATTCACTTTGCTCTGCCACAACTACAGTCATTCATAAAAAATTAGAATGGAACGATCCAAACACATTTGTACATTTTGTCAAAATTGGAAGCAGTTTCATCTTCACCCCAATTTTTTCTTCACATTAATGCACAACCTGACCTTTACATCTACACAAAGTATCACTGTCCACTGTATGCACTCAAGAGGAATTCAGCCACAGTATGCAAATATTATTTTAAGCTTTTTTGTTCTAAAATTCAATGCCAGAAGATACTTAAGCCCTTCTCTTACAACATAGGGAGTACAACCCATTCTGTCCTGTACTCTCAACTCAAAGCACGAGCGAAAGACAAATAGCAACAGGTAGAACTTTCCTGGAAGTCGAGGCTAACATGCCAATAAACACTACTGCAAAACAGAAGGGAACTTTCTCAAATGTCCTGACCAACAATTCTCCAAATAAAATGTTTCTGGGCTATGCTGGTCACAATACTTGAGCATTTTGAAACATTATCATGAGACTAAAAATTCAAATTCTTCTTCCACTTCTCTCTTCATTCCAAATTTAACAACAGTATACAAAATCTAGAGAATATTCATCCCTCACAATTTACATTGCTCAACCCTGACCAGTAACATTCCAAATAAAGCGTTTTCCTGATCTTATTAGAACTCCAGATTTCATAGAATCAAACAGCACAAAAGGAGGCCATTCAGCCCATCGTGTCTGTGACAGTCTTTGAAAAGAGCTATCCAAATTAATCCCACTCTCTCCCCGCAGCCCTGCAAACTTCTCCTCCTCAAGTTCTCTCTCCCCATAGCCCTGCAATTTGCTCTCTCCCTATAACCCTCCAAACTTGACCACATTTAGATATAAAACATTTTAGCGGCTTTACTTCACTACATATAATATCATAAGGGGACCAAAAAAGTCGTCATACCATTACAATATCTATTTGTTTTAGATAATAAAGTAGCTCTCACGACTTTCTGGTCACCTGATTATACCTCTGGATCAGAAGGTTGTGATGTTCATGACCCACATCAAAACATTAAGCTCACATCCCAATGCAATACAGAGGATCATACTATAAATCAAGGTTCCCCCTCCTCCGTTGGAAGTGGACATTAAAGATCATGTACTGCTACTAGAAAACAAAAGGGAGTTTCTGCCTAACAATCCTCCAGATAAATGGACCGTTCACTTCATGGCTATTTATGGGATCTTGCTGTGCGCTGACTGCCATGTTTGCCTACACTTGGGACAATTCTCTGTCAAGCGCTTGGGAGACGTTTCGAGATGGTGTCGAGTCGCTCACGGAAGATTATCGTCTGCATTTTGCTTATAACAACATCGATTCTTTTAAGATCATTCCAATAAAAAAAAGCCTATACGAATAAATGAAATGGGGTTGAATAGCCGCTGTTTTTTTTTCCTCATGTTACCTCTGCAGACGTTAAAACAGCCCTGCAAAACAAATGTCAGCGTTCGTACTCACTTCAGCCCCAGGCCGTGCAAGTGTTGCCCGATCAGGCGGATCACGTCCTCGTCGCTCTGGGACAGCCGCTTCTTCTTCTTCAGGCCGCTCTGATCGGGGCCGGCGCCCGTGGAGGCGGCGGCGGCGGAGGAGGAAGAAGAGGGCAGCCCATTGGAATGAGAGGCCGGGGCGGCCAGCGGGTTCTGGGCGGAGGCCGCGGCGTTGGAGGCCGGCGGCTCGGCCTGGCTCAAATCCCGGACCGCCGTCGAGTCCCCATTGTGGGCTGAAGCGCAGGAGGGGGCTTCGGCGTTTTGGTTCCCGTTGGCCTGCATGACTCCGCTGCTGCCGCCGCCGCCGCCGCCTCCCCCTCCCCCGAAGAGCAGGAGGCCGCTGCTGAGGTGACCCGGAGGGGGGTTGGGGCCTAGAAGCACCGCCGCCCGCTCTCCCTCGCCGCCGCCGCCGCCGCCACCACCCTCCTCCTCCTCCGCCGCCGGCGCCGCTCGCTGCTTCTTCCGCGGTGGCGGGGACGCTCCGCCGCTCTCCGAGTCGGAGGAAGTGGAGGAGGAGGCCAGAGTGGACGCTGCCTGGGCCGCCGCCGCTGCCGCCGCCGTGGTGCCGCCTGTGTGTCGAGGAGATGTTGTCGTGGGGCCCGAATGGCCCCCGGGGGAGTAGATGGGTGGTGGTGGGGGGGGGGGGTTGGGGAGGAGGGGGGAGGGGAGGGGGTGGTGCTGCGCGCGGCTTTAACGGTCAAAAAGTGGGGGCGCGGGGGCTCCGAACCGCTCCGCAGGGTGTCAGGCTGCGCGCGGCTTTAACGGTCGCTTCGCCGCGGGGTTTCCCTCCCTGTCCCCGGGGGAGAGGGGGTCCGAGCACCTGAATCGCCGTCTCTCCCGTTCTTTCTTTTCTTCCCCTTCCCGGGCTCGAGTGGCCTATATTTTCCTCTCTCTCTCTCTCTTTCTCTCTCTCTCTCTTTCTACAGCTCGCTCTTTACCTCTCCCGCCCGCCCGCCGGCTACTTCTTGCCCGTTCCCCCGCTCCGTAATATTTTTCGGTTGTCGTCGTCGCTCGAAGCCGCGGCTAAATAAATGGAGTCTTCACCACAACACTGAGTCCACAGCGTCCGCGGAACCTCCTGCACTTCCGCTCGACCACCGAGGAGGAGAGGGTGAGGTCATCGCGCGCCGTCACCCTCCCAGCCCCGGTGACGTCACCGCGCACGATTGCGTGCCGAAGCACCGCAATACCGTGACCAGGAACCGCACGAGCGACCGACTGACTCCCCATTGCCTCCAGGCGGCGCTATCGCCGCCCTGGGATTGGCTACTTCCTTCGCACTCGGCTGCTCCTTCCCCCCCTCGTGTAATAGTTCGCATTTTTGCAGAAATATAAGAAAAATGCAGGTGCAACAATCCATGTAAATCGACGACAACTTGTATTTATTATAGAGCCCCCGCACCCCCGCGCGGGATGGCGTCCCAGAGCGCTTTGACGGCCGGCGGCGGAGCACGACGCTGAGCCAGAGGAAGGGGGGGAGGTGACCGTACGCGCGGTCAAAGTGGAAGGAAGGCGTGACCTGAAGATGAGGAAGGAGGGGGCAAGGCCGCGGGATTGAGCGAATGTTCCAAGGTTTTGGGGTGTGATGGTTGAATAGGACTCGGTTGGACGCGCCCTGAAAATCCACCCTGACCTCTCGATTTGAAAGGCGCTACATCAACAACAACTTGAATTTAGGTACTACCCTTCACACCGAGTCTAGGAGCGATTATTATTAATGATTGCAATTGATACAGCGTTCAAAGCACTTCACAGGTAAATGTCAATTGTGGTGAACTGTGTATTTGGAGGTAAACCCAACAGAACGGTCATCTGCTCAACAACAGCAAATTACATTTGGATATCGTCTTTCACGTCAGGAGGACCTGAGGCGTTAGACAGTCAAGAATTTGTACCCGTGCTGGGACTCAGGTATAACAGTGCCGGTTGCCTGCGCTCCACTGGGTCTGGCCTCCTCCTTGTCCTCTGAATCCTCCGCTCCATCATCGACGGCTGTGCCTTCAGCCACTACACCCCGAGGCTTTGGAACTCCCTTCCTCACTCCCTTTGCCTCTCCCCTTCTCTTCCTATTTTCAGGTCTTGGCTGAAGACCTTTCTTTTTGACCGCGCCTTTGGTCACCTTCCTCCCCCTCCCCCCTGGCTCAGCCCCGGGATCCGTTACTGTGAAGCTCTCTGAGACGCCGTCCGGTATGGAGGGCGCTATACAAATCCAAGTTGTTGTTGTTATAAACCTGGATCTAAAGTGATTTGGGGCCATGCATCCCCAACTGCTTTCCACTTAACAAGGGCTCAAACCTCAGCCTTACCAGATATCTAATGATCAACTAGTGACTGCATAGGGGAAGTCATATGGGTTTTCTTTGGGCTTGAGTTGGTTACAGGGTGACATGTCTGGCAATGGAAATTAGAATTGAGTTGATCTTGTACAGCGGTCTCATTACCTGAGCCAGGCAGGCCCACAGTAATGCAGGGCACAGTTGACAATAAACAAGCCAGGCAAATGTCCAAGTTAATTGGTGGGACTTGGAAGATCAGACCAGTCATTGGGGAGTGCGGTATAAACTGGTTAAACTCCAGCGTTTACTCTGGAGGCTATGAATTTATAATATAACAATCAAACTTACATTTGATATAATGCCTTTTATGTCTGGTACTCATCTCAGAGTGCTTCATAGGATATACCCTATATACAAAGTGTAGTGACTTTGCATTTTGTGGGCAAACTGGAGAAATAGGTAAACTGGGTGGAGTACTCCATTTAATAATAATAATAAATAATAATTCTTGATTTGATATTGAGTCTTATCAAGTCTTTGAGTCATCTCAAAGGGCTACACACAATATACTGTAAAGTAAATTGATTGTATATTTTGTGGGCGAAAGGTGGTAGCCAATTGTGCACAGCAGTGTCCCACAAACAGTCGTGGATTGATTGACTCCCCCTGGCTCGGTCCCGGGATCCAAAACTGTAAAGCGCTTTGAGACGCCGTCCGGCGTGGAGGGCGCTATATAAATCCAAGTTGTTGTTGTTGTTGACTAAATTTTTTTAAACAGGAATTATTACTCCCGGAAAAACGATTCGCCAATCAGCTAACCTACTCGGTTCCTACTCACTGCTAGGTAAACAGAGGCGTGTGGAGTAAGGAAACTTGCCCAACGTTTCGCCCTGCCGGGAATCAAACCCAGGTCCTCTTGCTTGCGAGGCGAGTGCTCTAACCACCAAGCTACAGGACTCCTGTAGCTTAATAAATAATAATAAATAATAATCCTTGCATTTGATGTGGAAATTCAGACACAGGGAAATTTCCATGCCTAGTAACATGCATATTTAGAACTCTTGGTCGGGTTTGAATACTATTTCACATGACAAGTGGATTTCAACATATGTCAAGAGAACCAACTGATGAAATGTAATGAGTAACTGCACCCAATCCCTCCAGATCGCACTGCCCTTTCAGGCTCAATAACCACACTTAGACCCATCAGAGGGCGCTGTCTTCACTTGCTCGACATGATACCCAGTAGTAATAAGGAGAGCTCCATATTCACCTGCCCAGAAACTGCATTTAGTACCACCAGAGGGTGCTGTCAACTGATCAATAACAGGGGAAATCCATCTCCAGGTTGAGCATTGCAGCCAATTTGAGAGTACCAAAAATTGTATGGAAATTTCCCTTTGTCTGGAATGGAGTATGCGCTCCTCCACAAGGATGCAACCTGTTTACCTAAAAACCGAGAAAGTATTGGATGCAGGTTGGCAAGAGCCAGGGCTTGATTCTGGAGAAAAACACGGAAGCTAGGTGTACTGTCGACTTTTTTTAAAAAACAAATTATACATATTTATTTGTTGATATATATATTTACGTTTATCTCAGACAGTATCAAACCCATTACAGAAAAGACACATGTTATTATCCCGTTACAGGATGCAACATGCTGTTGACAACCATCCTTTTGCTTATCCCATCAATTCACTCATCCATGTATCCACTCACTCTCCTTTCCTCCCTTTGTTCACCCCATCCTTCCTATTCATCACTGACAGTGCAGTGTCGGAATTGAGTCAATCTTCTTTGGTGGTCTCAGTAGTTATGTTCCTGAACCAGAGAGGTCTGCACATTTGATGATGGATCAATTATCCCAACTTATCATCAGAACTTGAAGGAGCAAACCATTGATTGGGGATACAGATTCTTCACATTTGGCTACTGTTAACCATGAAAGTCACCACTTAACAGGTAGGATGGTACCTATCCAAGCTGGAAAGCTTGCCAATCAATGTTCAAAACACTGCATGGCATTGGTATTTAAATGCCAGAAGTACCCCAGTGCCCACTGGGGTCTCCAAGTCTTGGCTCTTGCCATCTTGCATCTAATACTTTCTGGGATTAAGTTAGTAGTGTATCCCTCTGGAATAAAGTGCTCACACCATTCCAAATAAAGGGAGAATTCCATGCATATGTGGAATTCACAGCAGTTTGGTTTGAATATTGTTAAGCATAGTGATGGGTTTGCAAATGTGTCATGTTTTGTGACCAAGACAAAATCCCATCCTTCCATCCACCCATCTCATCTGCTTGTTCAGAGGAATATTAAAGATCTTGCAACACTTTTGGAAGTTCTTCTGGTGAACCGGCTAACAATTCTCCAGATAAATCAAATTTATTTCCAGACTGTTTGTTGGTGCACAAACTGAATGCTACTTTTGCCTATAAAACCAAATTGTACACTTGACACCTGTGAAGTGCTTTGAGACATTTTGGCAGCCTGACTCAGTTGGTAACATTCTCGCCTACGAGTCAGAAGGTTCAAGCTCCACTTGGGAAATTGAGCTCATAGTTAAACCTGAAACTCCAGTGAGGTGCTGGGGGAGTGCTGCAATGTTGGAACAAGATGTTAAACCAAGATCCCGTCTCCTTGTTCATTATAGATCATGTGGCATTGCTGAAAAAAAGTAGAGTCTCTCCTAGTGTCCTGGCCAACAAGCCTATAAAAAATTTAAAAAAGGCAAAATACTGCAGATGCTCGAAATCTGAAGTTCTGACGAAGGGTCATCTGCCTGAAACTTTAACTCACTTTTCGCTCTCCATAGATGCTGCCTGACCTGCTGAGTGTTCCCAGCGACTTCTGTTTTTAATCCTATAAAATTATCCATTCACTCATTGCTGTTTATGGGACATTGCTGTGCCAAATTGGCTCCAGCGTTTGTTGCAATATATACAAGTCACTACACTTTACAGTAAATCCTGTGGAGCGCTTTGAACTGTTTCTTTATGGATATCAAAGGCAAGTATTATTATTTATCTAACTACTCCCCGACACACATGCTCACTTCTGCCTCAATCACAATTGCAGGTCAGGCACTCCATGTCCTAACAACCCTCTGTGTAAAAAGAAGCGCTAACCTCTCCCATTTTTAGTTTGGTGATAACCTAATACCAATCCTCCCACCTGTTAATGCCTGTATTTAGGGCAGTGACCATGGTACAAATGCTTCCATTTGGGGGTAGCTTGTATGGAACAAGTCCCTATGGTTGGGGTAGGGGTGGGGGGGCAGTGACAATTTTACAAATAAAAGTAATTGTAAAGTCTATACCCATCTTTCTAAAATGCTCTGAGATGCTGCTCTGCATGAGGGACGCTTTACAAAATGTAAAGTTGCTGTTGTAGTTGGAGCAGTGACCGGTACGAAGCGCCTGTAACGGTAGCTGGTAGCGGTGACCGTAAAGCCCTCTGGTTGACGGAGGGATCAGTATTATCTGCGCGGTCGCATCACCTGGTAACGGCGTGCGGTGCTGGTGAACACCTACCTGTAGCTCAGTGGAGACCTGTAGCTCAGTGGTTAGAGCACTCGCTTTGCAAGCGAGAGACCTGAGTTCAATTCCAGGCAGAGGGCGAAACCTTGGGCAAGTTTCCTTACTCCACACAGAGCCTAATAATAATCCCTCCAAAACCAAAAACAATAATAAATTGGTCATTTTCAATCTACGACTGTTTGTGGGACATTGCTGTGCGCAATTGGCTGCCGCGTTCGCCCACAAATAGACAGTCAATTCACTTTACAGTGTGTTCTGTGAAGCGCTTTGGGACGTCTAGAAAACGTGAAAAGCGCTGTATCAAATGCAAGGATTATTATTATTATTATTATTATTATTATTATTATTATTATTATTATTATTATTACCTGTCCTGTAGGGCATTGTCAGCCAATGAATTGGATGGTGGTGGAAGCGCCCGACCATGTGATACGGAGAACCACTTGTTATTTGAGCTGTGTCCAGCTCTGCCTCTCTCTCCTCACGGTTTGCTCAGTGTAGAGGGCAGGAGCCTGGGGTGGGGGGTGTGGGGGGTGTGGGGGGCGCACAGGGGTCTGCAACTTCAGAGGTTATTTTCCCACAGTGCAGCCAAATCAGGATCGGAAGGGGATTGCGTGGAATGAACGTGTTCTTTTTGGAGGGGGGGATCGCCGGAGAATGTCACGTCTTTCCTGCTCTCCCCCCACCCTCCCCCACACCCCCACCCCCACCCCCACCCACACCCCCCGCACTGACAACTGAGCCGCGCAAAAAAAAACTCGGCAGTTCTCAAAACTGTCCATTCACTTCTCGCTGTCGTTGCCGGCGCCGGATCCCAGTCGGGATCGGATGCAAATCGCTGGCGGGTCAGTGGATATTCAGTGAGAAGCAGTTGTGACAAGAGAGAGAGAGAGAGAGAGAGAAAGAGAGAGAGAGAAAGAGAGAAAGAGAGAGGGGTGAAAAGTTCTGAACAGGGAGATCGCAACCACCAAACCCAGGACCCGATGCTCGGCGGTAGGACTCAAGTGCGTCTCTGTGGCCGTTTGAGAGCTTGAGAGCCTGGGACCTGGGAGCTGGGAGCTGGGAGCTGGGAGCTGGGATCTGGGAGCTGGGATCGGAGCTGGGATCGGAGCTGGGATTCCCATGGAAGCGCTGGAGTTGGACTGACATCTGATGGGATTTGGGGTGGGGGCGGGGGGGCGTGTGGGTTCTTTGCGCCTGGATTTGGGGAGATCATGGCGTTTACGTTCGCTGCCTTCTGTTACATGCTGTCCTTGGTGCTGTGCGCTGCCCTGTTCTTCTTCGCTGTCTGGAACGTAAGTATGTGGAGCAATGCAACGAATACCCCCCCCACCCCCCCCCACCACCACCCTTCCTGCTGGAGATCAAGGGGATGGACTGATGGGGAGAGGGAAGGGAGAGCAACGTGAGATGGTTGGGGGAAACGGTGGGTAGGAGAGAGTAGGGCAGAGAGAGATAGAGAGAGAGAGAGGGGGAGAGAGAGAAATGGGTGAAAGAGGAAAAGGGGATTGGAGAAAGAGGCAGAAAATGAAGGGGAGACAGAGAGAGAGAGAGAGAATGAGAGAGTTGGGGAAGATGGAAAGGGTTTGGAAGAGAAAGCTGGGTGTAAGAAGAGGGGAAGTAAAAGAGAAAGGCAAAAGCGAAGAGGTAGAAAGTCTACAGAGACTTGTACAAAGGCGAAGGAATTGAGAAAATATGGAGATGGACTGCGGTGGAGGTAGAGCACAATGCAATGAGTAAGAGAGCTGGATGGTCACACACATAGATTAAGACAATAATGATCCTTGTTATTAATAAAAAAATTCTTGCATTTGATGCCGTGCCTTTTCATGTTGGGAGGACGTCTCAAAGGGCTTCACGGGATTTCACTATCAAGTGTAGTAACTGTCTTTTGTAGGCGAAAGCGGCAGCAAATTTGCATACAGGAATCTCCTACAAAAGGCCATTATTAAGGCGTTTCAAACATCGTATGTTGTTTTACAGGGAATTGCTATTAAGTGTAGTGACTATGAATTTCTAGGCTCACAATGGCAAGCATTTTAGCTGGTTGTGAGATGTTATCCTCGTGCAAGGTACTAGATAAATCTGCCAATAAATTAAACTCCAGCAATACCCCAACACACCTTGTGGGGTCCCCAAGCCGTGGCTCTTGCCAACCTATGCCTAATCCCCTCTGGAATTAGGTAAACAGGGTGTTTCCCTTCAGGGAGAGTGTGCGTATTCCATTCCAGTACCATGGAAATTTCCAAGTATAAGTGACATACAAATGTAGATCTCTGTCTGGTTTGGATACTCTTAACAACAACAAATTTCTATTATTATAAATTTCAATTCAATTTACAGTATATCCTGTGAAGCGCTGTGATGGTGTCAGACACCCAGCAGATCAAAAAATAGGGAAATGCAGTAACCGATTTACACACAGCAAGATCTCACAAACTACCGATTGATGTGGAGAATTGGTGACCAAAATACAGGAAGAAACTTCCTTTTCTTTTCTAAAATACACAATCAATCTACTTTACAATATATTCTGTGAACCGCTTTGAGATGTCTCAACAATGTGATAGAGTGCTATATCAAATGCAAGGATTATTATTACAGTGTCAAGGGGTCTTTAGCTTATTGGAGAAATAAAGCGATGGAAAGAATGAAGGAAAATGTAACACAGATGGTCAGAGAGGATCTTTAAGTGTCAGGATGTGACTGGGTTGAGTACATTTTACATCACTGGAGTCAATTGTGTCCTTGGTTAAAACTAGTGTATTATGAGGCAGATGGGAGGAAAGCCTTTGAGTATCCTGTCTGTACTGTGTGACTGAGCCAGACCTGGTACACAAGAGCAAACAGTTAGAAATGACTGGCTGGTAGATGCAGCTGATGCCTGAGATATCTCTGCTATTCAATGATCATTTCCAATAACTCAACCCTTTTTATTTAAAACATCTTCCCAAAATATCTCGTAACTGTGCTGTCCCATTGTGCAATGTGGTTTGAGAAATATTTTGTACTATTTTGGAACATTTGGACCCGTTTGCATTTGTATTAATGTCCAAGCATTACAGAATTCTGGAATCTCTAGCCCTCTCCTGCAGTTCGCACCCTATCTTCCAAATGCCCATGTTAGGATTTTGAGCTCACAGTCTAGACTGAAACTCAGTCCTGGGGGATATGCTGTATTGTCAGAGATGCTAAACTTGGGATCAAATGTTAACCATAGGTCCCATATGTTTGTTCTCATGGACCTTAAACATATTTTGACACTATTGGAAAAGTGAAGGGTGTTCTGGCCATTAATCTTCCAGATAAAGTAATCATTCACTTGCTGTGGGCAAAATGGCAGCCACATTTGACGACAGATACCTAGGCACTATATTTGACAGCAGAATCCTGAGAAGCACTTTGAGAAGTTTCAATTTTATAGATCCTATAGATCCTTGTAGCAAATGCACAGATTATTTTTTCCTTAAACTCCTCCCATCATATCTATCCCTGGTAATTTATTTGGGTTCATAAAGGTGAGGAATGTCAGCATGTAATGGAACATTTTATTCCCCGATGTTGACATCAGTTAATGCTCTGTATCTATAGTGTCCGTCCAGCACTCCCAGGTCAGGTACAGCACGGGTTAGACACAGAGTAAAGTTCCCTTTACATTGCCCCATCCAACAGTCCAGCTCAGATTAAATACAGGGTAAAGATTCCTCTACACTGTCTATCCAGCACTCCTCGATTTACAACAACTACAATTTACACCCACACAATGCATTTCACAATGAGAAAAGTCTCTAAGAGCTTTACAAAGACTGAGCAGGAGCTGGAGTACGGTGAGTGGGCGGGTGAGGGGGTGGTGAAAAAAAGAAAAAAGAGGCAGGATTTGAGGGGCGGGATTTGAAAGTGGAGAGGGAAGGGCAACGTGAGGGGATTTTGGGCGAGAGTTCCAGAGAGGGGACAAAGTGTCTGAAGGCTTAATGATGAAGGTGGAGTAGTTTGCAGCATCGAGTAGGTCAGAGTTGGTGACTGGAGGGAGTGGCCAGACTAGTAGAATTGCAAGATATCACAGAGAAGGAATGGTGAAGACTGTGAAGACGAGGGCAAGAATCTACAATTGATTGAAAGAATCATTCCCATGAAACATACTCCCATGAAATTTTTTTGGCAGAATCAAATGAAGTGCTTTGAGCCATTCTCCTCATGTGACAGATGATATGTTAAATGCAAAGATTATTATTATTTTAGTACAGGTGCTGTATCAAATGCAAGGATATATTTTTTAAGATGGTTCAATCTCAGGAGCCTGCCCAACTCACACCGGCCAGTGTTCTCTGGGTGCAAAAAGGACGAAAAGGAATTGCACATCTCAGCACCGGCAAGCACACAGTCAGCAGCTGGAAGTGGAGACTCTTCAGCACAGCAAGAGCTTCCACACGTGTCAGACTCCCTGGCTGGCAGGGAGAAGATGAAACAGTGAATGAGATCGCAACCATGGCAACAATTTACAATCCTTCAGTGACATTGCCTGATTCTGCCAAAATGTTTTCATGGGAATATGTTTCATGGGAATGATTCTTTGAGTTTTTTCCTACATTCCTCCCTATTCCCACCCTGCCTGAATCTCCTGACCACAGTGGTCCATCCCACTGTAGCACTGTCACGTCTGTAGCTGTGGGGATGGGGGGCAAGCAGCACAGCTCTCTGCAATTACTGTCAAGCATCCCAATGATTGACAGGTTTGCCTGCCGCACTGTCCCAAACATTGAGTCAGTTAGTCCGGTGTATCTCCCTTTGTACTGCCATCCGAACACCACTTATTAACCCTTTAGGCAGAGAAGAGGTGAGTGAAGTGTTGGCATCACTGGGAGAGAGTCCCGTATGCAGGGGAAACAGGACTGGCATGTCCATGTGTTTGTGTGTATTTGATTACACAGTGAACACAAACATGTGTATATATGATTGTGTGTGTTTAGCTGTGTGCATGTGGTTATTTTGTGGATGAGTCTGAGTTTTTGTCAGTTGGCGAAGTGTGTGTGTGTTAGTGTGGTGGTGGTGGATTTTTTAATGTGTGTCAGTATGGGGGTAGGCTGTGTTGTGTGTCTGTGTGTGGGTATGTGTGTCTCAGTGTCGAGAAGGATGTCAGTATGGGGGAAGATGTATGCTTGTGGTGTAAGTGTGGGGTAGGGGGACAGCACATATCTGCTATAACTCCATATACAGGTTGTGTGTGTTTCAGATTATCGCATGTGATGAATTATGTACGGACCTCAGGAGCCCCATCGATCAGTGCAATCCTGTACATGCGGTGAGTCCATCTCTGACAGCACACAATGTAATAGATTCAACTCTCTTTGCTGGAATACTCTCCACAGCCAATGTGAGAGCGCCTCTCAGTTGGGTCTCCTATCTCAGCCTACACGGGTGTCTCCGATCTCCCCTCTCCATCCCAGCAAAGTTTTTAGCCACAGTGTTTAGCTTTGTATCAACCTTGAAAATGACTCCACATTGCTCCCTCTCTTCCTATCTTCAAAACTCTTCTAAAAATCTACCTCTCTGACTGTGTCTTCGGTCACCACCCTATACCACTATTCATTCCATCTTGCTCTGTGATCCACACGTCAATGAAAACCTTTCAAGACCTGATCCTACATGAAAGACATCATATTAGGGTCTTCCCTCTCCTCACACAGGGGTTTCATCTCACACACATTTAAGGTGTGCCTTGTTGGTTCCCGTGCCCATCGCCCCAATTCTCACCTGGCTCCTCTGTTCCTTGCTCCCAAAAGAGTTCTTCCACTCAGCAAACTCAGGTCTGTTACACAGTCCCCTCATCAGTTACCCCAACACCAGAGTCTGAGCCTTCAGAAACCAGGGCTCAGACTCTTGAACTCTCTCCCCCTCTACTGCTCCATCTTGCTTTCTCTCTATCTCACTTTAAATCCAGCCTGAAACTCTACCTCTTGGACTGCATTGACAATCATCTATCACTTCCTCCTTTTCTCAGTACCCAATGCCATTTTTGTGAAGTCGTTCAAGACATTATCCTATGATGGGAATGGCAATATATAAATGCATAAAGTTGTTGCCTTAGCCACTGTGGGCTGAGCTCAGTGAGTGAGACTGACATTCATTTCTCTTTCTCTGGCAGCGTGAGAGGCTGAGAAACATTGAGCGGATCTGCTTCTTACTACGAAAGGTGAGTACTTTCTAGTCCAGATACTGATGCCATTGAATCACAACAGCCCATATCTAGGTACTGGCAGGTTAGTTTTCTTATATGAATATTGGGAGTCAAAAGTGTAATATTCAAGTAGGGTCATAAAATCAAGTTCAGCCTCATTCAGTCGGATGCACCATTACCTCTGGATCCTACCCAGCTTTGGGACGCTACCCTGCATGAAGGGCGCTATATGCAAGTTGTTATTGATGATTCAGCAGGCTGAAGGATTGTTTGTGGTACAATCCTTCAGGTGAGAAATTAAACCATCCTCTGGTTGGCCAACAAAATAAATGTTTCTTGATTTGTGCATAAATCTATGCTGTTTTATTATTTCTATCATTATATTGTTGGCCAACAAAAGGTTGGCCACAACTGCGTTAAAGCAAGGTTCTGTGTTCCACTGATTAAAAACAAAAGAATTGGGTATTGTGCCTATATCAAGTGTAAGCCATTTTGCTCACAGGAAGTACCATAGTGTAGTGGTTAGCGTGCTCGCCTCAAGAGAATCCAGGTTCGATTGCTGGGCAGGGCGAAATCTTAGGCAAGTTTCCTTACTTCACACACCTCTGCTTACCTAGCAGCAAGAAGGACTCCGGTTGCTAGTTGGGTGGCGGGTCACTTTCCGGGGTAATAATCTCCCACCCCACCCCCCCAAAAGATGTGGTCACTCAATCTACCACTGCTTGTGGGACACTACTGTGTACAATTGGCTGCCGCGTTTCGCTCACAGAATACACCGTTAATCGACCTTGCAATATATTCTGTGAAGCGCCGCTTTGAGACATCTCAACGACATGGTAAGTCACAATATCAAAAGCAAGGGTTATTTATTTTAATATCTGATATGACGATCAGCACCTTTGACAATATAGTGCTCTTCCAATGCTACACTGAGTGTCAGGTTAAACTGTGAGCTTAAATTCTGCCATGAGGCTTAAACCCACAAGCATCTGACCCATAGGGAGAGTGCAATCAATTGAGTCGAGCTGGCACTGTATTTTTGTGATGTCTGTATTTCATAAAACTTGATTTCTTTAATTCAGTTCTGTGCGTGGTCGTTGCTTCATATGCAAATGAGATTTCACAGTGATCTGTGTTGCAACAACACAACAACAACAACAAAATTACATTTATAGAGCGTCTTTCATGTTGGGAGGATGTCCCAAGGCACCTGACAGTCAGGGGTCAGGACCCGAGCATGGAGAGGGTATGAAGGAAGGCAGAGAGGTGGGAGGGCGACTGAAGGCACGATCGAAGAGGAGGGTCTTGAGACTGGCCTTGAAGAAGGCAAGGGAGGAAATGAAGTGAAGGGACTGTGAGATGCAGTTACACAGTGTGGGGGCATAGAGGCTGAAAGCCCGGCCGCCGATGGTAGGGTGGGTCGGGTGGGAGACAAGGAGCAGGCCGGAGCCCGCTGAATGGAGGCAGTGGAGGAGTCTGGCTATGTTGCGGAGGCGGTGGTAGGCAGTGCCGGTCATGGCGCAGATGTGGGGCAGAAAGGAAAGTTCAGGGTCAGATAAGACATCCAGGTTCCTGACTGGCTTAGTGAGGTTGAGTGTGCAGCCGTGGAGGCTGATGCTGCCAGAATTTGAGGTGTGGAGGCGCTGGCGCGAGCCAATCAGGAGGGCCTCAGTCTTTCTGACGTTCAGTTGGAGAAAGTTGTCCCTCATCCAGGACTTGATGTCGGACAGGCAGCCAGTCAAGACGGCAGTAGTCTTGAAGTTGAGAGTGGAGGTAGAGAGATAGAGTTCAGTGTCATCCGCATACATGTGGAAATTTACCCCATGTCTGTGGATAATGGGGGAGAATGTAGAGGGTGAAGAGGAGGGGACCGAGGACAGAGCCCTGAGGAACACCACATGACATGGTGCGGGGGCTGGAGGAAAAGCCGTTTGCTGAGACGAAGTGGAGGCGGTGTGAAAGGTAGGAACTGAACCAGTCAAGGACAGAACCTTGCAATAACTACAGCTTGGGTTCCTAAATCCACATATTAAATAAATTATGTAGGAATGCAACATTCTTTGTTCTATTATCTGATTTGAATAAAACTGAGTTTTCTGCATACAAACATTGCTTTGAAGTATAAATATTCCACCCAATTCTGACATTTGAAATTACATTTCTTTGCCGGCCTCCAGATATAACTTGCACTAGCGGATTCTCAGCAATCGTTAACAATATTTAGCAACAACAACTTGCAATTATATAGCGCCTGTCATGTAGAATAATGTCTCTGAGCGGTTTACAGTGAGGGAGAAAGGGGAGGGGGGATATGAGTAAATCACAGTTGATGCAGTTGGATTGTGGAGTTCTGTAGCTTATTGGTTAGAGCACCCACCTCGTAAAGGACCAGGTTTGATTCCCGGGCAGGGCGAAACCTTAAGCAAGTTTCCTTCTCCACACGCCTAACAGTAAGTAGGAACCTGGTTGTTAGTCGATTGGCGGAGCAGACAGTTTTGAATCAGCTGGAGTTTATGGATCATGGAATTACGTTGGAGTCCTGTAGCTCAGTGGTTAGAGAACTTGCCTCACAAGCAAGAGACCTGGGTTCGATTCCTGGCAGGGTGAAACCTTGGGCAAGTTCCTTACTCCACACACCTGATAATAATCCCTCAGGGGAAAAAAAAATTTGTGGCTTCAATCCATGACTGTTTGTGGGATACTGCTGTGCGCAATTGGCTGCTGCATTTCGCCCACAAATATACAGCCAATTCACTTTACATTATATTTTGTGAAGCGCTTTGAGACATCTAGAAGACGTGAAAAGCGGTATATCAAATGCAAGGACTATTATTATTACTACTTGAGACTGTCGAGGACTGTATTGGAAGAGTGTACGTAAATGAGGGCTCTAGTGACATTTGGTTTGAAACAGGAGAATAAGCAAAGGTTAAGAAAAGCAATCTTGGTCGAGGACTGAATGTGAGGAAGGGAGTGAGGATTGCCAAGGTTGCACACTGGTTCAATGAGAGCGAGGTCAAGGAGAATGGAAGTCAGTGGTGGAAGTAAGAAGACATTGGTGGGAACTGGAGGAATGGCTTCTGTCTTGTCCATGTTAAGCTATAAGAAATTGAGACTTAATAATCAAGTGTAATGGTCATCAATGGACTTAGAATCAAGAGTAGAAGTGAGATAGATTTGAGGGTCATCTGCATACATGTGGAAGTTAACCCTATGTCTGCAGATGATGTTGCCAAAAAGGAGCATGTAGAATAAAAAAGGAGGGGACTGAGGATACAATCCTGAGGTGCTCTGCAGGTACAAGGGTGGGAGGAGAATCATCTTGAATTCCTGCATAATATTTGTTAGCTTGGTAGCACTCTTTGGTCAGAGATTGTGGGTTCAGGCCCTATGTTGGGACTTCCAGCTCACAGTTCAGGTTGCTGCTCAAAATGCAGTATTGGGGAGCACTGTATTGTTAGAGATCCCATTCTTCAGATGAGATGTTAAAACAAGGGTCTGAATGCCCTTTTAGGGGCATGTTAAAGATCCTGTTAGAAAAGAGAGAGGAGATGTTCCCAGTGTTGTCAATAATCCTCCAGATCAGTTGATCTTTCATTAACTGTGCACAAATAGCTCTTATGTTTGCCCATAGAAACAGATATTCCACATGACAGCAATTACTTATGAGACATTTCAAAGCTGTATTAAACGCAAGGATTATTTTCATTATTTCTGCACAGTCTGCATTTCCCAAACAGCTGCTTGATGTGCTCATTAGATGGGGGGTGGGGGGACAACAGGTTGATGTATTTTTATTTTTGGAGTGTTACAGCAAGATTGCTGATCACAACATCATGTCCCTATGGCAACGGCTGCTGGATGTAACACGCAGCTGCTGGATGTCAAAGAGCACAGATTAACATTAGTTAAAGCACAAAGCTACCGGCAGATAGCTGTGGGATTTTTACTAATCAATATTCAGAATGGACCACTTCTCTTTGACCTGTTCACGTGCACCACCCTAACTCTGCAATCTCCTCCAGCCCCACTCCTCTGCCCACTGCTTCCACTCTGCAAACTCGGGACTGCTGCACGCCACATGTCTCCTACATCCCACCAGCGACAGCCACATTTTCAACCACATTGCTACCAGCTCTGTGGAACTTTCTCCCTTCTTGTGCCTTTCCTCCCTAGTTTCAAAACCCTTTCTAAAAAGACTGTGCCTACGATCACTTTCTCCTTATAATATTAGTAATAATAATCCTTGCATTTGATATAGCGTCTTATCATGTGGTTGAGATGTGTCAAAGCGCATAGAATATACTGTAAAGTGGATTGACTGTGTATGTTGTGGGCGAAACTTCCTTCTTACCTTGCTCAGTGGTCCACACCTGTCAACTACTTTGAGACATTCATTCAGGATCATTACTGTTGGTCCTGTGTGTGCCCAATGGAGGAAGAGGCGATGACCATAATAAATGCACATTGTACACAATGTCAATGTAGAATGACACCCTACTAAGTTGGAATAACTGTCCCTGAACTCTTTCACATTCTGAATGGGAAGCTGCCCTCACCAGAGTATTGACCTCTGGTGAATGCAGATATTTCTGACATCGTGCACAGGGCTTGCAGCTGGTCCTCACACGACAAAGCACTCTGGGCTTCTGAGGGATGGCAAGACAAGGATCATAGTGTTGGGTGGAATTGTTTTTAGACTGAGAAGCTGAGGCAAAGGGGACAAGGCCGGTAAAAAGGGAGAAAGAAAGAATGCAGCACTTTATTACATTGAACCGTCTCAAAGTGATTTGTAGAGAATTAACGTCAAGTGGTAACTATTCTTGCTGGCAAATGCAGCAACCGTAGAGTTACACAGTGATAAGACATGGAAACAGATCATTCAGCGCCTTGGGACGTCCTCCCGACGTGAAAGGCGCTCTATAAATGGAATCTTCTTGTTGATATTTGGCTCAACATGTCATGGTGGTTTAAAATTGCACACAAGTCCTAACCCCTTCTATACCCTTCACCAG